CTCTCTTTTTTCGAAGGTTTATACAAATGGATTGAAACTTTGCAATAATATTTTAGTGCTTAAAACAAATACAAATAAAACATCCTTAAAATTTTTTTGAGCAAAGAACCAAGTAGGAAATACATTTTCAATTTTGGACTAGGTGCGACCCTTGTTAAAATCAATTTTGTCACTTTTTTCTTCGAGGGTTTATACAAATGGATTGAAACTTTGCATTAATATTCTAGTGCTTAAATCAAATACAAATAAAACATCCTTAAAATTTTTTTGAGCAAAGAACCAAGTAAGAAAAACATTTTTAAATATGAACTTGGGACAGGTCAAAATTAATTTTGTCTCTCTTTTTTCGAAGGTTTATACAAATGGATTGAAACTTTGCATAAATATTCTAGTGCTTAAATCAAATACAAATAAAACATCCTTAAAATTTTTTTGAGCAAAGAACCAAGTAAGAAATACATTTTTAATTTTGGACTAGGGGCGACCCTAGTCAAAATCAATTTTGTCACTTTTTTCTTCGAAGGTTTATACAAATGGATTGAAACTTTGCAATAATATTTTAGTGCTTAAAACAAATACAAATAAAACATCCTAAAATTTTTTTGAGCAAAGAACCAAGTAGGAAATACATTTTTAATTTTGGACTAGGGGCGACCCTAGTCAAAATCAATTTTGTCACTTTTTTCTTCGAGGGTTTTTCCAAATGAATTGAAACTTTGCATAAATATTCAAGTGCTTAAAACAAATACAAATTAGACATCCTAAAATTTTTTTGAGCAAAGAACCAAGTAGGAAATACATTTTCAATTTTGGACTAGGTGCGACCCTTGTTAAAATCAATTTTGTCACTTTTTTCTTCGAGGGTTTATACAAATGGATTAAAACTTTGCATAAATATTCTAGTGCTTAAATCAAATACAAATAAAACATCCTTAAAATTTTTTTGAGCAAAGAACCAAGTAAGAAAAACATTTTTAAATATGAACTTGGGACAGGTCAAAATTAATTTTGTCACTTTTTTCTTCGAAGGTTTATACAAATGGATTGAAACTTTGCATTAATATTCTAGTGCTTAAAACAAATACAAATAAAACATCCTTAAAATTTTTTTGAGCAAAGAACCAAGTAGGAAATACATTTTCAATTTTGGACTAGGGGCGACCCTAGTCAAAATCAATTTTGTCACTTTTTTCTTCGAGGGTTTATACAAATGGATTGAAACTTTGAATTAATATTCTAGTGCTTAAAAAAATACAAATAAAACATCCAAAATTTTTTTTGAGCAAAGAACCAAGTAGGAAATACATTTTCAATTTTGGACTAGGTGCGACCCTTGTTAAAATCAATTTTGTCACTTTTTTCTTCGAGGGTTTATACAAATGGATTAAAACTTTGCATAAATATTCTAGTGCTTAAATCAAATACAAATAAAACATCCTTAAAATTTTTTTGAGCAAAGAACCAAGTAAGAAAAACATTTTTAAATATGAACTTGGGACAGGTCAAAATTAATTTTGTCACTTTTTTCTTCGAAGGTTTATACAAATGGATTGAAACTTTGCATTAATATTCAAGTGCTTAAAACAAATACAAATTAGACATCCTAAAATTTTTTTGAGCAAAGAACCAAGTAGGAAATACATTTTCAATTTTGGACTAGGTGCGACCCTTGTTAAAATCAATTTTGTCACTTTTTTCTTCGAGGGTTTATACAAATGGATTAAAACTTTGCATAAATATTCTAGTGCTTAAATCAAATACAAATAAAACATCCTTAAAATTTTTTTGAGCAAAGAACCAAGTAAGAAAAACATTTTTAAATATGAACTTGGGACAGGTCAAAATTAATTTTGTCACTTTTTTCTTCGAAGGTTTATACAAATGGATTGAAACTTTGCATAAATATTCTAGTGCTTAAAACAAATACAAATAAAACATCCTAAAATTTTTTTGAGCAAAGAACCAAGTAGGAAATACATTTTCAATTTTGGACTAGGGGCGACCCTAGTCAAAATCAATTTTGTCACTTTTTTCTTCGAGGGTTTATACAAATGGATTAAAACTTTGCATTAATATTCTAGTGCTTAAATCAAATACAAATAAAACATCCTTAAAATTTTTTTGAGCAAAGAACCAAGTAAGAAATACATTTTCAATTTTGGACTAGGGGCGACCCTAGTCAAAATCAATTTTGTCACTTTTTTCTTCGAGGGTTTATACAAATGGATTGAAACTTTGCATAAATATTCTAGTGCTTAAAGCAAATACAAATAAAACATCCTTAAAATTTTTTTGAGCAAAGAACCAAGTAAGAAATACATTTTTAATTTTGGACTAGGGGCGACCCTAGTCAAAATCAATTTTGTCACTTTTTTCTTCGAGGGTTTATACAAATGGATTGAAACTTTGCATAAATATTCTAGTGCTTAAAACAAATACAAATAAAACATCCTTAAAATTTTTTTGAGCAAAGAACCAAGTAAGAAATACATTTTCAATTTTGGACTAGGGGCGACCCTAGTCAAAATCAATTTTGTCACTTTTTTCTTCGAGGGTTTATACAAATGGATTGAAACTTTGCATTAATATTCTAGTGCTTAAAACAAATAAAAATAAAACATCCTTAAAATTTTTTTGAGCAAAGAACCAAGTAGGAAATACATTTTCAATTTTGGACTAGGTGCGACCCTAGTCAAAATCAATTTTGTCACTTTTTTCTTCGAAGGTTTATCCAATTACAGTGAAACTTTGAGTGAGTATACAAATATTTATACAAAACAGTTTTAAATATCTAAAGAAAGAAATGTATTCTATATGTCGTCAGACCCAAATTTTATAAATTTGGCTGTACATTTAAAAACAACGTGACTTAAAATTTTGTCCAAAAAAATGATTTTTATTAATTCAGAAATGTGTGACCTAAGGATTAGAATGCTCGTACAAGGTTTTACTGTATTTGGATTTATCCTCGAAGGGAAAAAAGTGACAAAATTGATTTTGACTAGACCTGTCCCAAGTTCATAATTAAAAATGTATTTCCTACTTGGTTCTTTGCTCAAAAAAATTTTAGGATATTTTATTTGTATTTGTTTTAAGCACTTGAATATTTATGCATAGTTTCAATCCATTTGTCATAAACCCTCGAAGAAAAAAGTGACAAAATTGATTTTGACTAGACCTGTCCCAAGTTCATAATTAAAAATGTATTTCCTACTTGGTTCTTTGCTCAAAAAAATTTTAGGATATTTTATTTGTATTTGTTTTAAGCACTTGAATATTTATGCATAGTTTCAATCCATTTGTCATAAACCCTCGAAGAAAAAAGTGACAAAATTGATTTTGACTAGACCTGTCCCAAGTTCATAATTAAAAATGTATTTCCTACTTGGTTCTTTGCTCAAAAAAATTTTAGGATATTTTATTTGTATTTGTTTTAAGCACTTGAATATTTATGCATAGTTTCAATCCATTTGTCATAAACCCTCGAAGAAAAAAGTGACAAAATTGATTTTGACTAGACCTGTCCCAAGTTCATAATTAAAAATGTATTTCTTACTTGGTTCTTTGCTCAAAAAAATTTTAAAGATGTTTTATTTGTATTTGCTTTAAGCACTAGAATATTTATGCAAAGTTTCAATCCATTTGTATAAACCCTCGAAGAAAAAAGTGACAAAATTGATTTTGACTAGGGTCGCCCCTAGTCCAAAATTGAAAATGTATTTCCTACTTGGTTCTTTGCTCAAAAAAATTTTAGGATGTTTTATTTTTATTTGTTTTAAGCACTAGAATATTTGTACATAGTTTCAATGCATTTGTATAAACCCTCGAAGAAAAAAAGTGAGAAAATTGATTTTGACTAGACCTGTCCCAAGTTCATAATTAAAAATGTATTTCTTACTTGGTTCTTTGCACAAAAAAATTTTAAGGATGTCTTATTTGTATTTGTTTTAAGCACTAGAATATTTATGCAAAGTTTCAATCCATTTGTATAAATCCTCGAAGAAAAAAGTGACAAAATTGATTTTTACTAGACCTGTCCCAAGTTCATAATTAAAAATGTATTTCCTACTTGGTTCTTTGCTCAAAAAAATTTTAGGATATTTTATTTGTATTTGTTTTAAGCACTTGAATATTTATGCATAGTTTCAATCCATTTATCATAAACCCTCGAAGAAAAAAGTGACAAAATTGATTTTGACTAGGGTCGCCCCTAGTCCAAAATTGAAAATTGATTTTCTATGGTTTACTTTGGTCAAAAACATTTTAGGATGTTTTATTTGAATTGACATAGTTCTGACATAAATTACATACCAATATTACTTTTTGTTATGCATAGCTTAAAAAAATCGAAATCTAAAATTTCGACTACCCCATCTGAATTTTTTTCATACTCTTCACTGTGGAAACCAAAAAACAATTTTTTTATCTTAAAACACTTGACAAAATAGCGACATAATTCAGGATTAATTACTTTTTAATAATATTTTAACATTTACGAGAAAATGTGGTTCAAATAAGTGTGAAGTATGGCCGAGATTTGGACCAAAATCAGCTATACTGGTTCATAGTGTTCCCGAGGGTGACAAAATTCAAACTAAGTGTTTTTGTTGCTGACATAATTTTGACATAAATTAGGTATAACTTTTGAACTGTGTCCATATGGGTCTCGGCCGTACTTCACGCTCACCCTTCAAACCTATGCTGAACAAATCTTGGTCTATCCATAAGACTTTTGATGGTACGGTGTTAATATATCCGCATTGGGTTTACACTAGTTTTCATTTAAATTGACTTCGAAACCACCCAAAACTTCTTCTTTGACGTTTCTGTCGTTGCAAATTGAATGTCAAAGTTATGCTTTTGATCACTTTCAACAGACATAACTTGGAATGAAAGTGAGAATTTCTAGAATCTCTTTTTTGTAAAGGTCCTTCTTATGGAATGTTTGGAGTTACTGGAAAATGTATGTTTTTTTAAAAAAATATTTTTTTTTATTTTTTAAATTTATTTTTCTTTATTTAAGAAATTTTAAGATTCATAAAAAGTGATGTATTTATCATTTAATTAATAAGCAACTCTGATTTTCCCTTTTGTGTTTTTGCAATCAGATCATATCAAAATACTCTCTTAAACAGAACAAGACACGGTTTAAAATAAAATTAAAACTAGTTTGGAATTTAAATGGTTTTTTTTGTTTGCCAATTTAGCAATTTATCTTTTTTGTGTGACTGAAATCGGTTGAAAATTCTAAACACTTAAATTACATCAAATTTTTGTTGCCATATTTATTTTAAAACTTATTAATTAAAATTGATAAGTGTTACATCTCCAAGAGATTTCAGTATTAATTTAATTATTAAAATGTAAATTCTACACGAGTGTTGCCTTAATTATCTTCAATTTTATTGTTCAATTATCACACTAAATTTTTACGGTTTCTCTTTATCACGTTAAGGCTCATATCTTATGCTTTCTTGTAATAAATTAAAGTTGCGACTTTAAATTTTAACATAAATAGGTATATTATATACTGATAATGATTTAATGTCTTTTTCTAGGATCATTCAAATGTCTTTTTTAATGACATAATAAATCAAATGTTTATTCAATCAAACTTTATTTGAAATCGTTCCGAGTATTGTCAAAAGCTTTTTGACTTGACGAGTTCTGTTCTAAAGAAGTTTTCCCGCATTTTTTACAATATCAAATATGTCATTATTTGTGCTCAAAACCTGACATAATCTAGAAGATTTTACCCAGATGAACACTTTAATTGTTTGGGTCTTTCGGGTATATTCTTAATAATAACTTAATTGACTAATTATTAATATTGTGTGTTTGAGAAATTATTATCAGTTATTTAATGTTATCAACCTAAGGCTTTCCGTTTCAGCCTTTACTATATAATTAAGATCATGCTGCCTCATGAGTAGGACTGCTAGCTCCACTCTCTGATTTTTGAACGTTATTTAAAGCATCAGTAATTAATTCATGTAACTCCATTTGATTTACAATTCCTTGTTGTGCTGAAATACTTCGTGCTAGCTTTTCCTTTTGTTTTGCCATTCTTGCTGCCTCGCGCTCTTGTCGAAGTTTCTCAAAATCGTCATCAACTGCTGTACTGTCATGTTCTTCCATGCTTTCGCTCTTTCTACTCAATTGTGATTCAAAATTTTTAGGATCAAATTCAGATAATGTGTTTGGTTGATGAGAACTTGTAGGCACTAATTTTGTAGGTGCTGAAGAACTTAGCAAATCATCTACTCCACCTATTGGAAACAGGTTTTGATTATTTTCATGAACAGTAGCAGAAAAAAATCGTCCATATTGAGGCGGAATCGATCCAGGTACATCAATTGGATCACTTGCTTTCGAAAATATACTTTGTGCTGTTGGTCTGGAATCTATATTGTTATTTCTCATTGATGTTATAGTCATTTGTTCGTCAACTTCTTCAATTACTTGATCTGTTATCTTCATACTACCAATTGCTGTTGGATGTCTTCTTTCATTAATACTTGCAGAACTAGCAGAAGTTCCGAGACCTTTTTCAGTATTGGTGGCACTTCCAGGACGACTTCCATCATCTTTACTCAAGAAACGTTTTAATAAGGATGTAACTGTATTTACTCGACTCATTGTTCCAGCCAACGAATGCATAGAAGTGTTTGACGCCGATCCACTTACATTACGTCTACGACCGCTTGCCGTAAAATGAATACCACTAGCATTGTCCTCATTATCCTAAAATTATAAAGAAAAAAAAAACCAAAAATGAAGATATGAACGCTTTTATATTAACTCTTTGTTAAATAAATGGTGATTTACGCAAAAAAAATTTTAAATTCTTTTTACCAATATCATTAGTTTTAAATGGTTTTAAACAAAAACATATTGAATTTAAAAAATCTTCTGCTATAATAAAAGATATAAAGCCGAATACATTCCAATCCCACAATTAATAATTAAAAGCTAGCAAAGAAGCCAATGTTTGATACACATGCCAAGTATTCAAGAAAGAAAAGGTTAATGAGTCTTTTTTGGGGCACTATCTATGAATTAAAATAAATTTTGGTCTCTATAAATTTATCATTTATAGCTACAGTTCTATAACTTTGAATTAATGATTGCTATTGTGTTGCCTTGAAATTTTTTTTTACTTTTTGTGTAGAGCCTGTGCATAATAGATAGACAAACTTTTGAATCAAATCCTTCACCAAAAGAAAGAAAAAATTGGTTAAAAAATGACAGGAAAATTATCATTCATTTAATTTATAATAAGAGAAGCTCTTGGAATAATGCATATCCGCCTAACCTTATCACTGTCATTATCATTATCTGGAAATTCATAATTCATTGCTGTTGTATTTTTACCGACCATATCATCCAATTTAGCCATTGATGGAGCAGTGACAATATCTCCACCTCCTTTCTTAATTTCAATGTTGGCCTAAATGATGAAAAAGAAAAACAAATAATAATTAAGATTAATTCTGCTGCTGAAAAATTTAAAGCAATTTAATTACCGTTGACGCAACCGGTGGTTCTTCTCGATTACCCATAGAAGCAACAGTATAAGGCTATTGAAATAGATAAATTAGAAACTATTCAAATATATAATTTTGATTTAGTTTGAAGTACCAGATCTGATGTAAGGACGGAATCCCAATATTGATCTTTTAAAAGTTCTGGATGGTCATGATGCATTTCATCAACAATTAAATAGCTGACTTGAAGATTTCTATCAATCATCCAATTGACTTCAAAATCATCATCATCATCGCCGAATGGATTTATCAATTGCTCTGCGACTTTCAGCCATCCCATATAAAAAAAGAATTGCAAAAGACTAAATATTGGGAAGTAGAGATCAATTCTATTTTTATATCCATTTTCTTCTCCTTTTCCTTCTGTCCATTGTTGTCCAAAAAGTGCAACAAGGAAATAAGAATATACGGCAATCGTAACGACTTGAGTATAAACGAGCGGAATACCTAAATTAATCAAATATTCATTATTGCCGTTATTAAGATGCACATACATATTTTACTTTAAAAATCTACTTACTGATAGTGTCATAAGCAATTAAAACTCCACATTGTCCACGAAACTTATTTAATTCGTCAATAATTGTTTTGACTGCAAAATCGTCACGAATTCTTCCTTCTTTCCTAGCTCTTGTTATAATACTTGCTGCCCAAACAATTGGTAGCCAGTGTTTCGAATGCTTTGGAAATTTCATATTCAAATCCTCAATAATTTCTCGTTCATTATCATTTAAAAGACCAGCTTCGACATAATGATTAAGTGTTGGAAATCTCTTTTTTACTTTCGGCGACAAGTTTCCTAATACCTTTTTAAGTAAATGAAAAGACAAGTGAAGTGCGACACATAAGGGAATGCTTTGATAAACATGCCATTTGTATTTACTCACCATTGAAATGCATAAACATACATAGCGCATAATTGTTCGTCTCATGACGCGACCCTATTAAAAAGAAATAATTAAATTCATAAAACCAGACATGAAATAGAATGAAAATATAGCGAAAATTAAAACAAGATAAGAGACTTCCATTGAAAATTGAAGTAATTTTTCAGGAACGTCATTTTTGAACAACCTATATACGAATTTGTTAATAATTCTAAATTTGATTGGAGCATGTATGTGATATGATCTTTTTTCAATTTCAGACATGACTTAAAATCTATTGGATTTTGGCCTTTAGTTTCGAACATGAATTGAATACGACTTTCCTGATCTATGCAAGAAAACTGGACTCAACTCTTTAGTTCACATCTGTAACGGCGACTTCTAAAGTAGTTCAGAAATTAGCTTACTCTCTCATCCTGGCCATGTACAGTAGCGCTAACAAAAACAGCAATTGGATCAGGCCATGGTATACTCTGAAATAAATTTATTAATATAAATTATTATTTCATCTTTTTCCGTAATTCGATTTTGCACATTTAATTCGAATACTTTATATTACTAGATTAGTCTTTACGGACCTTTACACGTTGTATATGAATGGAAAAGTTTCTGAAGCTGCTTATAAAATCTCAAAGTTGTCAGATTTATACTTCTTAGGAGACACAATTCCGAATTGTTTAAATATTAACTTGATATATAGTTTTTGTAGATTTAAAAATCTAATAAGCATAACACACGTGAAGAGATTTTTTCTTTTCTATATAATATTATGAAACTACGAAATAGAAGAAATATTACATGAAATTCTGCCACACATTTTACATGTTCAACTGATTTTATAAGCTTTTTGCCGACCATAGATATTTATGAATTCTATACAATTTTATTGGATTTCATATTAGATTAAAAAGGTCCAAAAATTAATTTTTTTTTCTATCAAATTTGACTCCAAGCATATCGTAAATGCCAAAAAAAGTCAAGCAATTGAAAATATTCAGTGACAAAAACATTATTTACTGCACATAATATTTAATTAAGAAAAATTGAACAGTAATGATCTTATTTGACTCCTGCACTTTAAGTTTTTTAATCTCATTATGCTCAGATTGTACTTTTGTATAAATAAACAAAGAATGGTCTTAAATCTTAAAAAATTAAGTATGAAATTACTTGCTTAGAACATACTTAAGAGTAAACTTAAATGAGTATGATATAATTAGAAGTGATTTATCACAAAAATATACTCTGAATATGCTCAAGAGTTTATTCAGGAGAGGTCACAATGAGGTCACACTCAAGAGCATCCTCAATAAGCATCCTAAAGAAAAACAGCCCTTTAGTTGAGCATACTATCGCATATGCTAAATTTTTAAAACATTTTGGGAGGACGCTGTGTTCTTTTCAGTACACTAGAGTTTCATCATTTTCAAAGGTTATAAGGTAATCTTTTGAATTTTATCCAAACTCGTTCAGAGACGTTTCCATTCATATATAACGTATAAAGGTTGGTTTAGTAAAAAAATAGCATTCAAAGCAAATGTGCAAAAAGCATAATTGAGCCACGGTATGTTTTCAAATTAAAGTGATTCATTTTTTCAATCCGCAGAATAATAAGGAGAAATAAATTTCCATTACCGTATATTGATTCCACCAACGAGTCATGACAATAGAAACATAGAAACCCAGCACGAAGGATAGAGGAATTAAATTGGAATGTTCATCGCAATATTTAACCATTGCTTCAAAAGTCTTTTTTTGTTCATCGTTCAGACCGAAACGATACGTAAGATTTAATGTGTAATAGACTAAAAGAAACGAAGTAAGATCAAGCCAGACTAATTTGTAGATTGATCCTCGCCATCTGAAAGTGTAAAAAAATTTTTGAAAGGTAATATTACATTGATGAAACTTCAAAATCATTAAGTCAGTAAATCATTTCATGATCAGTATGAGATCATGACAAATAACAAAGTGACAACACTAAGTTTAATTGAATTTAAAAACTTTAATTAAGAGTTGATATCAAGTTACTTTTAAAATATACTCTAAATGTTTCCTTTAAAGCATTCAACTATTTCAACTATTTTATGGTCATTGATATACGTTTCTATCACATTTAAAATGCACATACTTTAGTTGTTAAATGAAATTTCAAGTGCACACTATTGATGAATGATAAGAACATTCATTTATCTTGTCACGATCTTTAATTCAAGTATGAATTATTTGAACTTTGTATAAATGTGACGGGCCCGATTCTAATTATCATTTTAAAATATATGTTGATGACATAAAATGGTTTATTCTTTGAGACGTTTCATAGTATTTTAGCTCCAAGGAAATTTTATGATACTTCATTAACATGTTATTGCTAACTCAATTAAGTTTAATGTACAATTAAGTTCATATTATTTTAAATGATAATTTTTTTAAAAAAAATATATCATAATATAATTGGTTCAGAGCTAAAGAGCTATTAGTACACATTGTGGTATATATTTCATTCATGAATTTTAATGTTCATCAAATTTCCTTTTAAAATGACCATAAACATGCTTATCATCAAATAAGAAAAATACAAGTTTCGATATTAAATAATATGAAAATTTTGTCCACGTTGTCGTTAATAATGGTTGGTTATGTCTAGTTGTTAATGTATTAGTATGTATTACTCATTTAAAACAAAAACTGTTCAGGCAATCAAAATAAACATTTTCGGCATATGACCTTGAACTTAATTCTTTTTGACGTAAATTGAGAGACATCTGAACACAATTCATAACATTGGGGAACCCGCAGCAGATGATTTTTATTTCATATTTATTGCTATTCGCTGATTTTTGTTAAAAATATGCGACAAGAATAATTTAGAAATATTAAAAAAGAATCTTATAAAAAATATAATGTGATTTAAAAAAGCAGGAAGTAGCAAGAAACAAAAATCTATTTATAAGAATGACGTATTACGCAAATTAATGAAGAAATAAGTTCAAAAAACACATAAAATAGTTTTCATTCACAAATTAATTTGTGAGTTTCTTTCATGTGTAAAACAAATTTCAGGTCATGATTAATAAACGGAACAAAAGCAAGACAAAAATTAATCATTTAAATATCGGAAAAGACGAACACTGTCACGTGATTCTGAGCAATCAGTTCTTAACAGAATTGAACAAAATATAAGATTTTTTTTATCGATCTTTTTGATAAGTAGTACTTTTTCGACCATCATGAATGACTGCATAATATTTTTATATTAGATAATAATAAAGTATACTTGAAAGAAATCTGTGTGTAGTACTAAATTTCAGAGTTTGATTATAAATACGTTGATGAATGACGCCTCGGTGGCTCGAAACTATGAATGAAAGAAATATTATGGATTGAATAAAAAAAAAACTGATAATTACAATTAGTGTATACTTTACGGTCGCATGTCGCTTGAGATTTTATATTGTCGCCATTGGAAATGAAGATTTTTCTTATAAAAGGACTGTATAAGTTCGAAGTATTTTTGATCATTTGATAATTAACAGTATATAAACTCCATTTCTAAATGATCTCCATTTCTAAACTTGTTCCGCCGAGAAAAAAAAATCTTGGAAATATAAATTTACAAAAAAAAATCCCAAAATGATTCAGTCTCCATTATAGCCTCCAATGTAACAAAGATTGGACTTAAAGAAGTTTCACCTTCAAATTACGTCAATTATTCGTCATGAAAAAAATGATCTTTTCAACAACGATCAGCATAAAGTCTTAGTACATGTTTAACTACTTGTGTATAATGAAAACCTGTTGAAGTGAATTTGCCATTAAAAAGAGAATTTCAAGACCAGCTTATGAGATTTTTTGAGAATTTTGATGAAGATGATTTTTAAGAAGTAAAAAGAATTAAAAGAGAAATACGAAGTAAGGAATATGCCAAGAACATCATAAATATTGTATTGTAGTGAAATGACACAGAAACAAATAGGAAGAAATTACCATTTTGTGATCAATAAAAGTTTTTATATAGAAATAATAATTATGCAAATGATTTTTAACGCCAGCGAACATTCTTGCTTGCGATTACCGATAAAAAAAAGCGGAAGTTTAATGAACTTCGTTACATGTGTTTATTTTATTATTACTAGTTAATACTTTCATAATAGATATTACTGACTGATAATGAATGTCAGACTTTTGGTTTTACACAAATAATTTTCCATGTCATGATTAGGCAATTATTGTGGATATTTTGTTACATCGATATATTTGATAATAAACCAATTCTATGTACATAATGGCAATTAAGAAAATTTCTTTAGCCTATATTCAATCAACCTACACGAACAGTGTAATTATAACTCATATTGAATTGCATCAACTCATACGGAATTTCCAAGTTTTGACGTTGTTCTTACCTCATCAACAGCTTTAGGAAGCATCCAAATCCACGACAAGTTGCTACTTGACCTGTGTAGCTTACTGTCATCTTATTGTTTTCTTTTTAAATTATCAATCCTAAGAATTTAACTTGCATCCAACGAAAGTTGCCTTTTTTTTAACACTTGCTTTTAGAATTTTCAAAACTTTTCCAGCTTCACTTTGCGAACTCAACTCATATCATCTCATTTTTGACAAATCACTTTGTTATCTTAACTTTGTTAAATTTATGATTCACAGGCACATTATTCTAAAAAGAAAAGGTACAGAAAAGTGATGTCAATTTATTTCATGGCTGATCGGTTCCTCTTAATACGAGAATAATAAGTTTTTAAAAATCTGAAGATTATTAAAATAAACAACGAAAGAACTTGTGAATTAGTTAAGACATTTCTTCAGAAGAAAAAAAAAAGGCTTTTATAAATGTGAAGTAAGTATGAAGTTTGGGAATGAGCGATCTTTTTAACTTGTTTGTATGTGAGACAATGTTTTTGAGCAAATTTATATGGTCTTGATATACATGTAAACTGCTTATTACTCACATCTTGCTGATCAAACAAATAAGAAGATAATTTTAAGAACAAAGCTATGATTTAATATACATTTCCAAGTTGTAGATCAACATTTGAGGCATATCTAATTATTGCACAATTACAGAGGAATCAGAAAAGCGAAAGTCACACGATCATCTAAGTTTATAAATAATAATAGTGAGGGAGTTTTGCAGTTGTTTTAAGAAAGAGTGATAGAAATTGATTTGCGAAACTTTTATGCACACAGTACTACTTTTTGCTGCATTACTACATTTTTTGTTTCAAACTCAAACATCACAAGAAACTATTCATAACTTTTTGCAGTCATACATCGTTTGACATTACATCTTTCATGATATATTTCAAAAAGCATGATTCACTATATCACACGGTATTAATTAAATTCACAAACAGTCGTCATGCGATAAAAGACTATTTAAATGGGTACATAATCCATCCTTGCTTACATAAATAATTATCATTAACTTATGCTGTTACAAGCTTTTCTTTATGTGTTTAGATTTTATAATCACTTAATAATGATAAAAGGAACTAAATAAATACTAAAATAATTTAATATAATACGGAGTTACAAAAAACAAGTCTATACAGTACAGAAGAACCTTTTCAACTGAGGAATCAGAATACAGTAAATCGGTATATCCTAGCTTCTATTCCTTTAATATTTCCAATTTTCATATGACGTTGAGACTCTTCTATTACTCCAAATTATTATACAGGCAACAAGATCATTTGCCAACAGATGTCGCATTATACGCAAACATTTGGCGCGAAAAGTGGATATAGAAAATAGTACAAAAAAAATTAAAATGATTATAATGGGAACAGTTGTTATAAAAAATAATGCAGGAAATTAGGCACTTACAAAATTGTCATAAGGTTTAGAAGAAAAGGAAGTAGAACTTGTAGATAAAGGATTAATTAATTTTTTCGATTATCCATTTTATCGTTATTTTTTGTGAGCAGATGTTGCATTTTTTTACGAACGCATTGAATTGCATGAAGAGTTGTATGAATTAGTGTATTAAAATAAATAAATAGAAAATGAACGATTTAAATCATCTGCCATCGTTTCAGAAGATAGAAAAGGTAGATTAAAGTGCTTAGAAAATCAATGTAAACGATTAAAAGCTAATTTGTTTACTTTTTAATTGAGTCGAGCTAGTTGTTTACTTGAACTTGAATTTTTTCCAATTTTATATCAACAGATCGGTGAAGGAACCTACGGAATCGTTTATCGTGCTAAACATAAGCGAAATGGCATCGATGTAGCTCTCAAAAAAATCCGTCTTGAGTCGTAAGTAGTATTAAAACAACAAAAAAAAAGACGATAGAGGAATTATCCATTTTGGAAAATCAAGAAGAAGAAATAATTTTGATGCATATTTAGAAAAGACTGAATTATGTGTGTGCGATTTACGTTGTTTAATAATATTCGTAGCACCACAGGATTCAGCTTTGCTGATATGTAGTATATCGACTTAAATAAAAGCCCAATTCTGAGATATTTCAAGTTTTAAACATTTAGGCAAAGCTGTTCGGTTCTTTAGCATCAGTTACTGAATATTTCAATAGAAACAATGTTTTTTTTTTTTTGTCAGGGAAACGGAGGGAATTCCATCAACAGCCATGCGAGAGATTTCATTACTTAAAAACATGAAGCATCACTCGATTGTCCAATTATTTGATGTGATTGTTGCTGGAGGTTGTATATATATGGTTTTTGAATACCTCGATATGGATCTTAAAAAGTTGTTAGATCGCAAGAAACAATTGCTTACTCCAAAACTTGTCAAAAGTTATATGCATCAGCTTTTAGAAGCTATTGATTATTGTCATATGAACAGGATACTTCATAGAGATCTCAAACCTCAAAATTTATTACTCGACTGTGCCGGACATATCAAGCTTGCAGGTATCTATAGCTTAATATTATAAACATATAAACAGTTTTCATATTAATTAAAAAAATTCAACAGATTTCGGACTTGCGCGTACATTCAATATTCCTTTAAGAGGTAAGAAATGAAATTTAGGAATTTTTATTAGAAAACTTGTAATGAAGCAGATCGCGCTTCACGAGAATATTCACACTATACGTTACAAAGAAGTTACAATAGGAATAGGAAGTAAGGATATAAATAGTTTTTATTCCGATTTCTGAGCCTTGAAAGCCACATTTCAAAAATTGCGGTAATCAAGCACATTTTGGTAATGTTTCACCATATTCCTGGGATACAATATTTGATTCTGACATTGTAACAAAAAGATTCCCCAATTTTCAAGTTTTTTTATTCATCCAGTGCCGGATGTCAGGTCCTCAAAAATGGGTATAGGTGAATTTTCAGTTTTTTGAAATTGAACAAAAACTACTCAACCAAATAGAAAATCAGCCTGAGAAAATAGGGTGATTATCACTCTATACAAGTTCATGATTGCCGTAAACTACCTGAATTAAAATCTAGCCTATTAATTCTACATTTATTAAATAGTAGTTAAAACTTGTAGGATGTACCTTAAACCTGAAGCAGCAAGTTTAAGTGGTTTCTCTAAAATATTTTAAACAATATCAATGAATTCAAATCAACAGTTTAGATTACGTTACATATCTCGTGCATTAAGTTGTAAATATATGTTTGTTATCGTTGAAAGCTTGTAAGATCCAGCTATTTTATTATGTTACACACGAGATATAAAAATAATCCTAAACTGTGCATTTATTGTATTGACATGTGAATTTATCATAAATACTTAACTCCTACTTAAATATATAGCATATACACACGAGGTAATCACTTTATGGTATAGAGCGCCTGAAATACTTCTTGGATGCAAATTATATTCAACGGCTGTAGATATTTGGAGTCTTGGTTGCATTTTTGCTGAAATGATGATGTTGAGACCAATGTTTCAAGGTGATAGTGAAATTGATCAATTATACAGAATTTTTAGACAGTTTGGGACACCGGATACAACAGTATGGAAGAATATACATCAATTGCCTGACTATAAAGAATCATTTCCAAAATGGGAGCGACAAGGCTTACCATCTCGAATTTATAATGATAATGACGCAATAGAGTTATTTGAATCAATGATAAAATACGATCCAGATGAAAGAATATCAGCTAAAGATTCCTTAGCACACAAATATTTTGATAATGTTGTCATTGTGCCTGTTGATTTACCACTGACGCCTGGCTCGCAACCTTCCAACACGAGCCAATTTCTGCTATGATCAATCAATAAATTCACAATATTTTATATCAAATTTTACTGCCGATTATTAGATTTGAATAAAAGTTTATTTGAGAAAAATGTCACACAGAATAAGAACTACAAAATTTAAGGTTTCCATAATTTAAGTATGCCTTCTGAACAGTATGTTGCAATTATATTTTGATGCGGATGATGACAAATGCCAATTACGTCTTTTTCATGTACGGTAAGTGTTCTTTCAAGCTTTCCTGATGTGTAGCTGAAGCAATAGAGAACCTTATCCTCACCAACGCAATAAATGAATTCACCCAGCGAAGATATAATAGCTGTTATAAAATTACCACCTTCTCGCTTTCCACTTGAAAATGATTTTACTATTTGCCCCTGCATATTCATTACAACCACTGTATTACTTCGATTGCAGACGATGAAATTATCAGGATTCTTTGGCAAAAGCATGATTGAATTTACTGCCAAGTCTTCACCAAGAGATTTAAATGTCGATATAGTTTCTGTCGTTTTTATTGACCAAACTTTTACTTGTCCATCCGATGATGCACTCAAAATATGATTTCCGTCTGTTGTAAATACACATTCATTGACGAATGACGTATGTCCCCGGAATTCTTTTAGCATCTTTCCAGACTTTAATCCATGCAGTTTTATTAAATGATCAAATGAGGAGGATAAAATTTGAGAGTTGTCACGAGAGAAAGCTAAGCATGTGATTCCTTTTGAATGGGCTTTTTCAAATCGTCTTAAGCACTGTCCTGTCAGTACTTTCCACACTTTAATTTGACCATCTTGACTCCCGGACACAATCATTTCAGAGTCTCTTGAAAAACTTAAAGCAAGTACCGCTTGATCCATCATCATAAAGTTATCCTGTGCCTGATACTTTAGATCTTTTCGAATTTTTCCCGTCAAAAAGTTGTAAATTTCAATGAAACCATCTAAGAATTGCAATAAATTAAAACCTGAATTCTTGCAATAAAAATAAAACAATTATTATACTTACCAACACTACCTGTAACGAGAAACTGTCCATCGGGCGAAAAGGTAGCAACCTCAACATGTGATTTTGCACCAAATTTGATTTGTCTAGCAAGTTGTGATGGACATTGCTCATCTTCTTGATCTCTTACAGCAGCCTTTCCCCTAAATAAATCAATTGTTGTTCCAGGAGGCAATAATCCTTGTGTAGCTTGCCATTTAAGGGCTTGACCGAGAAGAGAAAGCAAACGTGATGAAGGAACAACAGAAACATCGGCAGATAATGCATGAGCAATTGCTTGACGTCTTTTTTCTTTATTACTTCCTTCAGGATATGCTTCACGTTGATCGAAATACCCTCGTTGTAAAAGATTCTCTAAATGGATATATCTTTCAGGTTCGCGTTGCTTGAGCATTATCATTGGATCTGTTTGTCTCAAAAGGGATCTTGCTGCTCCCATTTCTCTCAGCTCAATCAATTCAATGACGATCTAAAACGTAATTATATATATTTTTTAAAAGAAATAAGGCTTAGTTATGTTATATTATCCATATATCGTACTTGTTCGTAAAGATCAATTAGCTTCTTGTCTGGGAGTTTTAGTGATTGTATAGCCTTTAATACGCTATCCCAATGACCATTGATTATATCCGACACAAAGCCTTCCACAGAATCAACAGTATTTTGCTGAAATGATCATTAATGAAAATTAACAAATTGTAAATTTGTTGTAAACATAAAATAAAATTTCTTTTTCTTTACTTTGATGCCACTCTCTTGCTGTAAGCATAACAACGTCTTTGTTAAGTTACTCTCCTTTAGGAACTGTTGAATAAGACGAATAACATCAGCTGACTCGATTTCAATTGACATTTTGCGATGAAATTAACTATATGTTTAAAAAAATGAATCTTAATGTTTTGAAAAAATAAATCTTATCTTTCGGAAATCCAAATAAATTCGGTTATTCGCCTGTTTGTAGCTGCGTACCCAGTTTCACGTAAATAGTTTTTTTACGTATAGTTATATTGAACAGCTTAAACGTAAGGGATTTAATTTTAGTCATATTGGAAGTTTCATTTCGAGCACATCAAAATTATTCAAGCGATTAAAAAAGGTTAATTAAATTTTCTTCAAGATGACTATGCAAGGACTGTCAATGGCTAGTATCAAAAAGAATCCAGCAGTAAGTAAAATAGAAGAAGAAGAAAACATTAAATCCTATAGTTTTTTCATTATTACGTCATTTAAAAAAAACTATGTCGTCCATGTCTAAAATCGAGGCAATTCTAGCATTTTTTTTTCACTTCTATTCCTTCTTGTTTTAAGCTCTTGCCTTTATACGTTTGTATTGTTGCTGGCATGGCTGGAGCTGGTTATTATCTCCTCCGTTTGGCAACTAGATCACCCGAAGTTACATGGAGCCACAAGAATAATCCAGGTTTGATATATTTTTTAATATTTTATTATGAACAGCACGCTAATTTCCTATGTCCCATTTTCAGAACCATGGGAACACTATCGTAACAAGCAATATAAAGTAAGTTTTGTCATATATTATTACATTGCACATTTTCAAGGAAGAAAGAAAATCAATAAAGTGCAACCTTCAAGTAATGCACAAGCTCACTAGCTTTTTTCCGCAACGCAAATGTTTTTTTATGCGAGATAAAAAAAAAGGCTATGAAGAGTTTTCTCTTTCATGATCATCAAATGAAAAAAATACAGACATCAAGGTCATTTCAATAATCTAATTTTTGCTTTCTTTGTCTTTATTTATAGTTCTACAGTCCAATTCGTGACTACTCAAAAACCGAATCACCTGCACCAAAATATAATGAATAAGCAGTAGCAATTCCAACCAGTTTAAAGAATGAAATTTTTTCGCTATAAAAATTTCTCGTCAAAGCAAAAAGTAGATCATCGTTTCAATCGGGCGAATAGTTCAAATGGGTTAAATTTTTAGTAGATAGAAGAAAATCTCGTTTACCAAAATTCGATTCGTATTACTTTTAAGAATTCTCTTATGTAAATAATCAATCGGCGAAATTTATGTATATTTTTTTCAATAAAAATATTTCGGAATTGTAGAACAACCTATTCTGTTCATTAATATCACGTTTTTCTTTTAACAATCATATCTTATCTTAAATTTTTCGTCATTTCTATAGTTGTTCCAGATTTTCTCAAACCTCTCAATTCAACAGTAATTATTGAAAAACAAGGATGTCAAAAGATAGATCTTAAGATTTTTTTTATGGGCATGCTCAATAAACAGTCGTCAAGCAAAAAAAAACAGCTATGCACAACTGATCAGTCAATGAACGCTATCTTTTTTGTTGATATTTTTTCTTTAAGCAAATATGACGAGATTCAATATTTGCTTCATATTTTTACAGCCGCAAAAAAAGGCAGCAATTTCGTAAAGTTGCGCCAGGTTAGTTATATACGATGATAATGATCGTAAACTTATTTTCTGTGTGCGTTTCTGGATTTGGATGTAGTAATATTTTCTCTATAGATAATTGAACTGTCTGATTTTATTTTTAGAAATCGAATTTTTGAGAAGCTTAAACATAAAGTATAGCCAGTAAAATAGTCACTTATGATGACATAAACAATTTGATTAACTTTTTTGCTTTATTTATTCGTATTTTACATATAGAAAATGGATATGAAAATTATATGAATTTATTTATTGCTGATGTTAATCGTGGGACAAAAGTTGTTGGCAACATTTTTAAAGGCATAAATATATAATAAACGACATTTTCTATTTTATGATACCTAAACATCTACGATGATGATACAGAAACAAGTGTTTCTATTAATTACTAATTGGGAATAATATATCTTTTTTGTAATATAAATAAAATCTTCTATAAAGTGTAGTCTGATTTATGTTGAAGAGTTTATTTTAAGAATTATGATTTTTTGCAATGATAAAAAATTAAGACATTTATGTCACACGTGATTGGACTGTTATTTTTTTGAAAATTTTAAATACGTTATGAAAAAAAAAATACTTTTAACTTTGCAGACTTTTGGGCTTACTCTCTTATATCATAAAATATTTTTATTTATTATTTTTTCGAGTTCAATCAACAAGTTTTTATTCTTTTCGTTTAGCAATTTAATATGCTTAATTTAAGACTCGCAAATTTCTTAAAAGTCAGCATAAAATGTGACTTTTTTGGTAAATAATAATAGGGAATTAATAAACTAGTATAAACATGTCAACATTAGATTGTAACATTAAACAGAATCAACAGCATAAAACATATATTTTGCATAAACTCAGCATTATTTTTAAAACGACAAACATCGGAACCATGTGACTGTACCATATGTTTTTTGTCTGGCTAATGCTTTGTTAGTGTTTTAATTTTCTCTCTTCTCCCAGCGTGTAGCATTAGCAAACAATAAGAAACACTTACACTTTTGAGAGTTTGCAGCTCTCCTTCAGATCGGGACGAGACATCGTGTGGTAAAGACCGTTATTAAAATTTGTGAATACATTTAAGACTGTAAAAAATTAACATAATATTGATTTACATTGATTTTTATAAAAAAATTCTGAAATATTCGCTTATTTGCCTCACAAAATTGCATGTTAATAATGCAAAAAACTTAATATAAAGTTGAAATAGTAAAAAAAATATAAATAAAAGAATTTGCGATAAGCAAAAAAAATATGCAAAAATGAAAGAAACAAAAAGTGAATATAAATCTAGTGAAAAATGATCAAAGTCATTAATTTATAAAGTGAATCGTAAAATGAAATAATTTCAACTAGCTTTAATAATTTAACCATCAAGGATTAAGTGGATTAATTTAATACATCTCTTGCAACTTTTTTTTGCACAATGGAGGTGATAAATTTTATTGAAGGTCTGTAGGTCTTCTGGACTTAATTTTAAAAATAATTGCTAATCATTTATTAATTATACATGCAATGCCATTATTTTAACTCAGAATTTTTCAAAAAATTGCATAAAAAACGTGTAAAATTAACAATTTTTATTAATTTGGTGAAAATTTACCAATACAATAAAATAAAAATCCACCCTTAGCTCACTAACACTCACTCATTTGTATAGCAACCCACCCTCAATTTTCATTCATACAATTTTCGGATATCAACATTTCATGCTCGTGGATATTTCTCTTTATATTTATTTGAATTTGGTGCATTTGCAACATAAAATGAACATAAGTTTATGTTGTATATTGTATGTGCATTGAAATTAAAAAAAAAAGAATACAAGTGTGTATGTGTGGACGAAGCAGCTGCCAAAAAAGAACACATTGTTCCCTTAATAATAAAGAGATAACATGTGGATGCCCTTTAAAGTTTTTTTTTTAAATCGCGCATAGAGAAGCTATAGAGTTATTTCTTGGAATTTATCGAAGGTTAAAAACAATCTGGAGACCACATGTGCAAATTCTCTTCTTCTCCTTCTTATTTGTTTATTTATGTTTTACAAGAACTTTCAAATATTTTTATGACGGTACACATTTCTTAAATAATAATTTAAATAGTTTCTTAAGGTATAATAAACATAAGAGTTATGACTGTTCATCTAAATATTTCTCATACATACTCTTAACGTCAGAAATGAATGAAAGAATGATTGAAGTTTGAATGAGTCATAGGTATTTTCTACCGATTGTAGCAGCTAGCAGTTACGCAGTTGATTCATAAGAAAACAAGTTTAACTTCATCGGAACTTTTATATAAATACAGTTTATAATACTAAACTCGGTCTTGTTCCTTTTTGTGCTCTTTTTGTCATTGGCTTATTAACTGTATAATAATTACGTTTCATGTTATTCAGGCAAAAACCTGTGCATATAATTTCAATGTGATAATATTTCTTTTATTTAAATCGAAACATTTATTCTATAAATCAATCAACAGTAGCTACTCAGCAAAATAATGTGTGAATGAAATTTCAACTTGTCATTTTTCATTTTTTTTTTTTATAGAAAAAATTAAGATACAATAATAAACTTTACAAAAATTTGTCCACTAACGGGATCAATCGGAGATTACTGCTGGTTTTGCTAAAAGATTTTTTCTTGCAGAGATTTCTGGCGAAACATTTTTCAATATTTTCTTTGAAAATACTTAACAGAGAAATAATAAAATCCAAAAATAAATTCTAAGTGATAATTAATTTTCCCTTTCCCAAACTTCTTTGAAATCTTTTTAAATCCGTGTAAACATATTGGTGATAAATGATAATTAAATTATTATTTTTTTTGAAAGAATCTCGTAATTTTTTTCTTTTTAAAGTTCATGTTTTTATGCCAATAAGAAACGTTTGACTTTTTTTTTTGATAAAACAATTACTTTTCATGTTATAGGCTTAATCGATATTGATTTAAAAATATCAGACGAAAAAAATCATTGAACTTTGCAAAGATTTTTATAGACTTATTGAATTTTGCAATAGCCAGATCTATTTTTAAATTTTATGCTCACTTAAAAATTGTTGATGCTGCTATCTGTATTGAATTGATTTCTTTTACAAAATTCTTTATTTATTTTAATATACATTCTTTAAACTATGCAATTTCTCTAGAATTGATTGATGGCTATTGATGACTTTTATGACTGCTTAATTTTTTTTTGTATTTTCCTAATAATATCACTCTATTTCAGGACGTGTTGGTTCTTCAACTCCAGACAAAGGTGTCCCAGACATGACATGCATTCCAGACATAGATGAAACTGGAATCAATCGGAATTTAAAAGTTCGTTATGAACGTGATGAAATTTATGTAAGTTTTCATAATCATTAGGCTCGTTAAGTTATTCGGTTACGCAAAAAACTCCTCTTGCATTCTCGTTACAAAAATTGGATAAAAAAAATTTCTCTTGAAATGTTGCAAAAGCCTAGACCCCCCTCGCCCTAAAATGTGAAAGTTATAAGTGAACGACGTTATAAGACTTTTTTTTTTTTCAAATTTTTATTAAATAATCTGGATAAACAATGCTTGAAAGAAACAGATGCTACTTTTCAATTGAAAAACAAGAGTTTAAAAATAATTCATTCACACTATACCCTTAAAACGTTCACAGTAGTCATATTAATAGGTCAATGTACTTAAGTGTGTGTAAGAAACAAATTTGAGATGGGGTTGCTGTCTGTAAAATAATAACAAAACTAAAATATACTTAAGACACAAACACAAACATGTAGATACATTTAAAGTCAGCCATAAATCACATGTTTATCCGCAATACTCAACTTACTTGTTTAAATAAAAAGTATTTGGCAAATATAGGTTTATTATCAGTTAGACTATAGTCAATCTACCATTATCCATATCACCATAGCAAGGCATTTAATATTATTCATAATGACTGCTGCCAAAACTGGTTAGAACGGAATTATAAAATGTCATCAACGATATTTTTAACTTTGTTTTTAATTCTTTAATAAACTTGACTCAAAACCACTGAGTGGTCCAACGAATTAAATTCCTTCTTTATTTTTTTAATATTCTGAAAGCAAGTTAACAAATTAATCGGCAGAAAATCACAATAAACAAAATTACAAATTTTAAGGATTTGTCAAAATATACGAATAGTTCCCAATGATTTATACAGCAAACGTAAAATTTATGAACACAGGCACAGATTCAAAGGCACCACGCAAAGGTTTGCCTTTGCAAAGGCGCAACAAAGACAAAGATAAAGGCAAAAAATGCCTTTGACAAAGGCAAAGGCTTGTGCCTTTGAATTCAAATTGCCTTTGCTTAGGTCCACCTTTTTAAAGTCAAGTGCCAGGTATCAACACAGGGTTATATACATCATAATTCAGCTCTCTTTTATAACAAAGATATTCAGCAAAAACGCTAATATTCCCTAGAATCGTTCTTATTTAAAAGAAATAATTAATTCAACTTCAGAACTTTAAAATTTAAAATGTTATGTTGGAAAAATAATCTTCCGAATAAGGTTTTAATTAAAATTAAATATTAAGTCTTTACAACTTTTCCAAATCCTAAAATTCTTTGACATTTCGAACCAAAAATTTATCGAAGAAAATTTGTCGAGACCGAGAAATCGAAAAAGCATATTGATAATTATATTACACTAAATGTTAATACATAAACAAACAATGAAGACTAAAGTAGTAGAGAAATGAATGCTAGAAAAAATTTAAAAAGTGGTTTAAAGAATCATCAGTTTATATAAAAAATGTCATGTATTTTTGCAGTCCATAAACATAGTAATAAATTATGATCATGCGTTGGTATTCAATGAAATGTCTAAGGCAGTATAGAGAACACGAATCACGTTTCCTGTCGTTACTTCTTTTTCATTCCATATTTTTTCACTAGCCCTGAGCTGTGTGAGGAATTTTAAACTTCTTTAATATTTTTTTAAGGTTCAGTGTGAACATGTTGAGAAAAACTATATAAATATCAATTAAAACCTTAGTTTCATTAATTTGATTGTTTTGTAAAAACAATTCAATTTTAAAAAAGTTTCAAAAATTATTTTTTCTGACACAAATTTTTATTGCACAATTGCATGACCCAGGGTACATCAATTTGTTGCTTAGAGTTCCAACGGTCTATATAAATTTTCATATTTTTGTATCGGTTTTTACCGATTCTCTCAGATGTTGATCTATTTTCCTTCCTTTGCTTCCTCATGGGAAATAGAATGAAAGGATGTGATAACTATCCGTGACAAGACTTTAATTCCAATGCATTCCAATAGTTTTGTAGCTTGGTTGAAGCTTATGTTTTAGAATTGACGATGATCGCAACACTACATTTTAGCCTATCTACGCAATCAAATCGATGAATTACGTAGTCCGAATGCGAGTCAATTTTTGAGTTTGGTTTAAGAAATGTTTCTGAGATCGACGTTATGCTTGCTTAGGTAGTCGAGGAATGCTAATATACCGATTGCTTGGAGTATTTCCTCGAGGAACTCTGCAATTTGATTCCTCTGGGAATACTTCCCAGGTCATTCCTGGGAATATTATCCAGAATATACTCCTTATATTTTTATTGTACATGACCAGAGGTAGATTCTTTAATCTGGCATTTAAAAGATATAGTTTAATGAACATGATATTTTTGAACTTTTTTTCGAATCTAAATCATTGTGGGATGTTTTAATCCTTGAAAACTTGTCTCGAAAAGGTAGCTTAATAATTTACTTTATATTATTTTTTTTTTCTATTCCAGACTTACACAGGATCTATTCTAATAGCTGTAAATCCATACAAGGAAATCGATTGCTATGGGCTGGTAAGTTCAAAATTAATATGCTTTTTAAATTTGATCTCCAGATGAGTTGAATTTTCAGAAAATGAGATTGTAATTATTGGTCTAAGGCAATTCTTTGGATAATTTTTCCCATTAGAGGTTCTGATTTTATGATTCTTATCGATATTATATGTAATATCCTATTCCATGAAAAAATACAAAATTTTCAAACATATTTTTTCAAATTTTCACTTTATTTGGTTGAGTCGTAACATTCCAATAGATCATTAATAAATAAATAATTGTGCTTTATGATATACAAAAATTCTAGCTTATTATTCCTTCACAGTATTATGAAATTAAAGATATATTCACAAAAATTGAAAATTTGTGTGAATATGAAAACATTTATTTTTGAAATAAAACTAATTGGCATTGGATTATGAAAGTTAATTTTTTCAAATTCCACTCATCCAAAGAATTTTCCTATTCTTAAACACATTTCTCGATAAAGATCACTTTTAACCAGAGTTGCGAAACAGATCTACTGTCAACAGGCACAGGTTTTATTGAGACAGATGACATTTTCACATTTTCAAGTCAAAAGCATTTTACAATGATAGAATTTGGTATGAAAAATAAAAATTAAAAACAGACTTTTTGAACTAGTTTCCTCTTCTCTCATGATAGTTCATAAATATAGATCTACTTTAACATTAACCAAAAATAGAAGCATCGAATTTATGTTTTGCTGTAGCATAATAAATATCTATTTGATGTTGATGAGAAGTTCGTTGACCTTTGTTTTAAGAAATTTAAAATAATGTAAAGATTGATTTGTAAATATAAAATTACTTTATATAAAAGACTTTTTAAAAAACAACGTTTTCACTGTGGACTAAAATGTACATCTCGACAAAAATCTACAACTTAAAATATAGACGCATTTATAAGAAATTCAATCGTTCTTAAATATTCAAAATTTAGATTCTTATCCGTCAAAAGCCTTAAGCGAGTAGTTGAGCTGCGCTATCATAAGTTTAAAGAACCAGACTCTTACTCACATAAAGCTTCACGAATCTTAAATTTATTTTCAAATTAATTATTTAAATTTAAACTTAAGATTAAAAAAATCAAATTAGAATCTATTGTACCACACTCTCTAGACCTACAGTTTATAGTGGAATCCAAACCAATTGCAAGCTTTGCACATTGCAAAGACACGAGTACGTTTAAAGAACGTAAAAACAATAGTAGAAAAATTGTTAATACATAGGGACAAAAATTAAGTTACAATTTCTCACCTTTTACCTTTATCCGATTATTTTGTTATTCCCGGTTATTCCTTTTAAATTTTAATTTGAAGAATGTAATTGGCCGTAATTGGATTTGTCTTGGTCATTTTTATATAACAAAAAGGATTTCTTTACTTTGAAGTGAACATTTTAAAATTGATTTCATTAATTTTAAGCTAGTGTTAATTGTTTTTTACTTTTAACTATATTATCTGAATGAAAAATGTTAACGATTATTAATTTTCTTGAATCTATATAGGATCAAGTGTACAAATATCATGGTCAGAAAATAGGATTGTTGGAGCCTCACGTTTTTGCGCTTGCTGAAGCAGCATATAGAAATATAATAGATAACGATGAAAATCAAGTGAGTAGATAAGACACAACCATAATTCAGTGCGACAAGTTCAATTAAATCGCATCAATAATATTACTTATGATTTTTAACAATTTTTATGGAAAAAAAAATATTTTAAAAATTATTTTTTTCAAACAGTCGTGCGTAATTTCTGGAGAAAGTGGTGGAGGCAAAACGGAAACGACAAAATTTGTATTGCAATATTTATGCTCTGTAACATGTAATGTATCAACATGGGTGCAACAGCAAATTTTAGAAGCTAATACGATATTAGAAGCATTTGGTAAATATTCGTTTTGAATTTATATTCTGAAGATAATTATTTTTGTAAATCTGCAACATAATAATTTTGTAATGAATAATATTCTAATATTTTTTACAGGAAATGCAAAAACAATTCGAAACGATAACAGCTCTCGTTTTGGAAAATTTATGCAAGTTTGTTTTGATTCAAAACACACTATTAAAGGCTGTATAATTCAAGACTATCTTCTCGAACAATCACGAATAACGTTTCAAAGTCCTGGAGAAAGAAATTATCATGTTCTTTATCAATTGGTAGCTGAGGGTCAAAATAACAAGGAAGTGGGTCAGTCATTGCATTTACGCGAGCCATCATTCTACAAATATTTAAATGCTTCTGGAAGTGTTCAAGTTGATTTAGCGACAGAATCAAAAAGATTTGAAGGTTTACGATTAGCTTTTCAAGTTTTACAGATTCCACAGCATATAATAGATGGTATTTTTCGTGTATTGAGTGCTATTTTATGGCTTGGAAATTTAGAATTTGAAGATGTGGATGGCGAAAAATGCGAATTAGCCGTTGACGATAAGGAAATTGTTGCAAAAGTTTCAGAGCTCCTTGGCCTAGAATCTGATGACGTTAGCCAAGTAGCACTTAAAAGACAAATTAATGTTCGTGGAAATATTACAGAAATTCCGCTTAAAGTTCAAGAGGCTCGTGAAAATCGTCATGCTATGGCTAAAGCTCTTTACTCTCGGACTTTTGCATGGCTGATAAATCATATAAATACTTGTATAAACCCAGGACAAGATGCTACACGATTTTTGGGTGTTTTAGATATTTTTGGTTTTGAAAACTTTGTATCAAATTCCTTTGAGCAACTTTGTATCAACTACACAAATGAAAAACTGCATAAATTCTTCAATCATTATGTCTTTGCATTAGAACAGGAAATTGTGAGTCACTTCTTTGATAATAATATACAATTTGTATTTGATCGCTATTTTTTTTTTTATAGTACAAACAAGAGGAAATTGTATTCTCTCATATTCAATTTACTGATAACACACAATGCCTCGAGTTAATTGAAAGACCACCGAGATGTCTTCTTAAATTATTAACCGAACAATGCCATATGCCCAAAGGATCAGATGCAGCTTACGTTAACAATCTTAATAGTGAATTTGAAGGTCATCCACATTACGAAAAAAGTTCTGATAGGCGACATTTAGAAACTGAATTTAGTATAAAACATTACGCAGGATCTGTTACTTACCAAGTAAAGGGATTTGTTGATAAAAATCGAGATGTGCAACAAGATGTTCTTTTTGATTTCATGAGTCGTAGTAAAAATACGTTTGTTCAAGAAATTTCTTCTTATCAGGATCTGCTTTCGTTACAAAGTCAATCGCAATCACAACAACAACTTCAGAATATACCAAACGGAAATGCGACTGTGCAACGAGGAACATCTAAGGGAAAACTGACTGTTAGTGATACTTTCCGATATCAACTTCAATCTCTTGTTGATGTTCTTCAAAGTACAAATCCATGGTATGTTCGATGCATTAAACCAAATTCTGACAAACTTCCAAATGATTATGATGACCAAATGGTACTAGATCAACTTAGATATTTAGGAATGTTAGATATTATTAGAATAAGACGTGAAGGCTACCAAATACATCTTCCATTTGACGAGTTTGTTTATCGATATCAATGTTTAACCAAACGAGTCAGAAATTTGCCGATAAAAGATCAAGTTCTTGCTGTTATTAATAACCTACATGTTCCACCAACGGAATGGCAAATGGGAAAAACTAAAGTATTTATCAGAGCCAAGGTATTTGAACAAATTTTAATAAGATTGAAAATAAAAATTAAAAACTTTAATTGAATTTAGGTTCATGAGCCTTTAGAAGACTCTAGAAAGCAAGTAATAAATGCCAAAGCAACTGTCATTCAAAAACAATGGAAAAGATATCATGAAAGATGTAAATATAATAACATTAAAGTTGCAGTTATGAAAATCCAGCATGCATATAGAGGATGGAAACAACGAATTGATTTCCTGCGAAAAAGACGAGCAGCTGTTGTTATACAAAGTCACTTACGTGGTGTATTTGCTCGTGAAGTTGCAGCGGCCTTAAGAGAAATGCGACGAGTCGAAGAAGAAATGAGAAAACGTGAGCGACTTGAAGCTGAAAGAAAACAACGAGAAGCTGAACAAGCGGAAGCTGACCGTCTAGCACTTGAAGAATCTGAGCGGTTAGTAAAAATTTATAAATTTATAGTAAAATCTTCTTAAAAACATAATATTTACACATCCTTTTAAACACTAAAATTGAATCAGTAGCTTACATACAGCTATCACTTTCCATCATTACTTATTTCATTTCTTTTTATTTCGGCCAAATTTTTAAAATTAGTTTTTACGGTTAAACATTAAATTTATCTAATTTTAGCTATCATACAATACTTACTTTAGGCTTAGTTTTTGAAATGCATTTCCGTTGATTTTTTTACTCATGTATTAAGTTTTAGATTATTTTGTAGTGCGTAACATCAGACTTTTTATTCATATTTGAATACATCACTTAATACATGTATATTTTTGGTCATTTTGCTTGTTTTTCTTAATAATTAAGATCTATCATTTAAAACTTCGTATAGATGATCTTAGAAAGCAGTTTTTTTCAAACAATTGTCACTATTGACTTCCTCATTTCGATAATTTTTTTTTTCACTTAGAAATTATGAGAAGTCAGTTAAAAAAGTAATATTTATAATAACTCTTTGTATGGAAAACAATCGATGCTGGGTTATAAGTCCAGAGATTATAAGTCTAGGTACAAAAATCGTGCACAGAAAATTATAAGTCCAGAAAATCAAAGTCAATAAAGGTTTATAAGTCCAGATACAAATTGCACCTGGACTTAAAAACCTCACGTCCAGTTTATAATTCCAGGTACAGATACAGTACAGATACAGAGGTTTTTAAGTCCAGGTGCAATTTGTATCTGGACTTATAAACTTTTATTGACTTTGATTTTCTGGACTTATAATCTCTGGACTTATAGTTTCTGGACTTATAACCCAGCATCAAAACAATCAAATAATTAATGAAAATTACTCTTTACTTTTTGGCACTAATTTACAGCTGTCATTAAAACAGTTGTAAAGTGCGCATCAATTAATAAAAATACAACTCATACAAAAAATTCCAGTGTGTTGCATTTAAAACTACAGCTGCAATTTACAGATGACGTAACACAATAAAATAATAATCTGTAAATTACAGCTGTAGCTTTATATGCAGCATGCAGCTGTATATTTTTGTATGAGTTGTATTTTTATTAAACGTTGTGAAACATAAGCTGTGTCTTAATGCCAGCCCTAATTTAGTGCTAAAATGTATAGAAAATGTAAAAAATGAGACTAAATTTAAAAATAATTTAAAAAAATTCTGCATACAGTTTGAGAGCCACTGCTTTACTAAAAACACAAGAAAATTCTTGCCTAAATAAACTAAAAGACAACATAAACAATTTCATTAGATGTAAGAGAACATTGCTGAAAAATTGGATTTCCTGTTACATTTCATTTTTCTATATATTGATGTTTTAAGCATAAATGAATTATATGTTCAAAACATCATTTATGGACAAACGAAATCTTTCATATCCGGTTTATGATTTTCAAAATTTTTTCTTTTTCTTCTTCCACAATTTTTCATTTGTCTCCTTATTGGAATATAATAAAATATTTCGACAATATGAAAAAAATCCAAATTATGTATATCCATAAAAATGAATGAAAATTATGCACGTATAGAATTGCAAAATTGAATCATCGTGGAAAAGTTAAATCGAGTAAATCTAGACGGTAAGTAAAACAGCTTAAAGTAAATATTGATGTATGATACTTGATGTAATAACTGATAGATTTAAAGGTAGAACATATATGTTTTATAGGTGTGTTAATTTACTTTACTTATTATACACAATTAATATGCTAATTGGCACAATAAGCTGATTTTTTAATTCAAATATTTACTCAATAACCAAATCTCATGATTTGCTTAAGTTGTTCAATATGATTTAAAAACAAGTAAATTGAGCATGAATTTTTAAAAGATGTTAATAAACGAATTTATGTATCGACAAAGCTTTGCTAATAAAATAATTTTAATTCATTCGAATTAATAATTTGAGTTTAGCGTGTGATGTAATTGAACACTAAAATATTGTAATTAAAAAATAAATAAGGATAGTAATCGATCATTTTATTAATTCTTATAGTGTTGCAAAACAAGAAATTATGGCTTTGACACAAATGGCAGAACATATAAACTCGAAATTTTCTTCTCAACAACAGCAAAATCAAAGAAAGTCAGAAATATTTTCTAATGGGATAAAGTCATCAAATGAATCTGTAGATTTGGATAATTTATTTGCATTTCTTAGTGAAGTTACTCCCAACGGTCCAAACTCTAATGCAATCATAAACGAGATTGGAGAGAAAATGAATCATTTAGTCGAAGATTTAGATGTGGAATTAGAAAGTGTGATCCAACAAGAAATTGAAGGTTTGACGAATGAGAAAAATTTAGCAAAAAGTCAGAGCTCGCAAGAAAACTCTGAAAAGTCACACAATGTTTTGGATCAGCATCAAGAATTGCCAAATAAAAATCATATTCAAAATTTTCATCAGTCTATTCAAAATCATCAAGAACAACAAAATAATAATCGGCAGTTTAGTAATCCTCTACAGCAGACTAATGATCATCCAATTTTACAACAACTGCCTCAAATACAATCAAATATTATTCAACAACAAAATAACAAGATGGGGTATGGAAAAAAATATATTTGAATAACTCAATTAGTAATTTGTTATTTATTGAAATTTTGTTTTCAACTCATTTTAGTATACCATCTTTACCAGAACCAACAACTAGACCTCCCCCACCTCCATCTATATTTAATGAGAGTTTACAGGTGGCACCTCCACAACCACAACCACAAGCTGCTAACAAAATGCTATTTGAAGAGCCAATTTATGAAGCAGTTATACATCATCGTGAACCGCCAAATCATAATATAATACCATTACCACCATTACAACCAATTGTTACACAAGGAATCCAAACACTGCCAACTGTTAAAGAAGTTCCTGAGCCACTTCCGACACCTCCAATTAGCGAACATATAAAATTACGCCCAAAAAGTCCAGCAGTTCAAAATGTTCGTTCTGCTAGTCCGATGAACCGCTTATCTGGTGGTCCATTAAGTCCATCATCTCCAAAACATTCACGACCGAGTTCAAGAACTTCGTCAACGGGTGGACATCCATTTGAGCGAGAACAGCGTAGAAAACATCGTGTTGAAAAGAAATTACAAGAAATGCAAAGTGATAACATTGATCGTGAAAAAGAACAGCATCAAAGGGAAGACATATATCATGACATACTAGAATTTGCCGAAAACTACTTTAATACTCATGAGCGCTCTCCTGAAGGTACAATAATGGCAACACTTACACGAAAAGGAAGAAAATCGGTTGATATGGTGCCAAAATATGAAATGATTACTTATTACCGTGGTACTTCTATACCATCCTCTCATATTCATATGTATGATCCAGAGAATGTTACACTTTCGTGTAACATTTTTAAAGAACTATGCAAATATATACGTGGTGAATTAAGCTCTGAAAAAGAATTGCAAGTTATTCAATATATAATTGGACAAGGTATTGAACGTGAAGAATTAAGAGATGAGATTTTTATTCAAGCTATGCGTCAATCCACCAACAACCCATCCATTGAATGGACAGATCGAATCTGGCTCCTATTATGCTTGACCATTGTAGCTTTTCAACCAAGCAAATTATTATTCAAATATTATGTGAGTTTTTTGAAGAGAAATCTTGAGCAACATGATGGAAAATTGAGACAATATGTACAATGGTGCCTCGATAATTGTAAAAATACAAAAGTAAGTTGTCGACAATATCCGCCATCCTCGGTAGAAATTGCCGCAATGAGACGATTAGGAACGATAGTTTGTCGTTTCTTTTTCCTTGATGGAAGAACAAAAGCAATTGATGTTCATCCAACTGACACAGCAGCCGATGCTGTAGTAAAATTAGCTGAAAAATTAGGACTTTATAATATTGAAGGCTGGGCAATTTATCAATCACGTCCTGATGGAGAAGAACATGTAAAATCACACGATTTTCTATACGATATTATTGCAGCATGGGAAATCAAACAGACAAAGTTGCAAGCAACAAATTCAACTTTACGTAAAAATGCAGCTACTCTAGGTTCCGGAGAAAACAGATTTGTTTTCAAAAAAAGAATGTTTAAATCGACTAGAGAATTATCACAAGATCCAATTGAAATTAGTCTTCTTTACGCTCAAGCTGTATACTCTATTGTCAAATGTGATGAGTTTCCTGTTAGTGAAAAGGTTGCTATACAGCTTGCTGGATTACAAGCCCAAGTTGCTCTTGGTGATCCATCGAATCAGCCAAAACTTGAATATTATTCAGAGATTTCAAGTTATTTACCAGATAGAATTTCAAAAACTAGAGAGGAACAGCTATGGATTCCAATTTTAGCACAAGCACATCGTCAATATGGTGCTGGCCGTACAGAATTGACAGCCAAAGTTTTATATTTATCGTGCGTTATGCAATATCCACTGTATGGAACAACAATGTTTAATGTTTCGTATAGAGGTTATTGGAGCTATGGAAATAGTCTCATTTTTGGAGTAAATATTGATGGAGTTGCTCTTATAAAACCAGATGATAAATTTATCTTGTATGAGTTCCGTTATGCTGAAATTGAATCTATAATGCTGGATCCATCTGATTCTTTTATTACAATAAATTTAAATCGTTCAACGACAGCTCCAGAGCAACAAAGATGCTATGTATTTGAAACTAAACAGAAACATGAAATAGGATCATTAATTGTTTCATACTTCCCACCACTTTCCAATTGGATTACTGAGAACGAAAATCCTGTAAGAAAAGCAAAGGGCATGACAAATGAAGATCGAGTTAGGTTACATCATAACATTGTCGTTTGCCGTCGTCAACTTGTTGATACCGAATTGCTTCGCAAGCCTCATGATTTATCAGGCGGATTTTTAAGAAATACTTTAAGACGGTTGTCAAAGCATCGACTTGAAAAATTGAGAGCTGAAGGAGGCAATTCTGTAAGTGATCATGGTGAAACATATAAAGGCTTTCCTCATGCTTATTGGGCATTTTGTCGTCAAGCACTTCCACAATCTTTAACAAAATTACCTGATCAAGAAGAACAAGCTATGCTCAATGTCTTCCAATCAATTTTGACATATGCAGGTTTGGGACAAAATGGAGAAGTAGTTCAACGTGCCGAAGATGAACATATAACTTTAATTCAATCGATTATGGAACGATGTATGCGAAAAGAATCACTTTTAAATGAATTATATTTACAACTTGTTAAGCAAACGACTGATCATCCAGATCCAAACTCAAGAGTGAACCTTCGTCATTGGGCACTTTTGTCTCTTGCTTGTAGTGTTATTCTTCCACCACAAAAAATTGTTAGAAAATATTTGATAGGACACTTGAAGCGTTGTGCATCTGATTATATAAGTGAAGAAGGTAAATACGCAAGATTTGCTGAAAAATGTTTTATGAAGACCCAAGGAACAAGGCGACGTCAGTGGCCTCCATCTCGTGAAGAAATCGTATGCACAATCAATAGACGTCCTATTTATGCTCGCTTTCACTTCATGGATGGTCAATATCATTCTGTAGAGTTTCACCCAAGTTCAACAGCACGTGAAGTAATGGAAATAGTTAAGAAAAAAATTGGATTACAAGAAAATGCACAGGGATATGCCATTTATGAAGTTCTTGGTGCTAGCGAGCGAAGTCTTCTTCCTGATGAAAAAGTTGCAGATGTAATGTCAAAATGGGAAAAGTATAGAAATGCTGCAGCACAAGCTGTACAACAAAGCCAAACACAAAATAATGTTAATAGTCAAATGTGTCGTAGACAGCACCATTTATTCTTATTTAAAAAGCATCTGTTTTGCGATCAATACTTGAATTTAGAAGACCCCGTAGAAAAAGAATTGTTATATCATCAAGTATTGCATGGACTACGAGCAGAGAGATATCCAATTTCGGAAATGGAGGCTGTATGATATTTACATTTTTAACCAAAATAAATAAAAATAGAACTTAATATTTTTTACTTTTTTTTACAGATTATGTTGACGGCTTTGCAAGGTCAAGTGGAGCTTGGAGATTGTACTGATGCCGTTAATGACTATCGTTTAATAGCAGGTCATTGTTTACCTCCTCGGTTTGTTCCTAATATTCCACACGAAGGAGTAGCAATGCATCATCAAAGTTTACGAGGAATGACACAACCCGAAGCCAAAAAAGCTTTCTTAAATCTTATTCGTAGTTGGCCATTACATAAGGCAACAATCTTTGATGTTATGCAATCGTTCACTTCTAATTGGCCGCGAATTTTATGGTTGGCGGTTGATCAGAAGGGCCTGCATTTGCTCGAACATCGATCGCGTAATACACTCTGTACTTATGATTATCATTCAATTCTATCATTTTCACCGAATATGAATTGTTTGATGATCATAACTGGATCAGAGAAGAAACAGTCAAAAGTTATTTTAACAACATCTCAGGTAAAGTTGCGCATTGTCTAATATGCACACATAAAATTAAAATTATTTTTTGATACTTTTTTTAAGGCTTTCCAAATAGCAAATCTTATTAAGGAATATATGGAAGTGATTAAAACTCAAATGCAAAAAGAAGATAATCCGCCTCCTGTTGCACCACATGCACCAGCTCACGGAATCCAACAACCTAATAACTTGATAGGAGTAAATAATATGGGTAATAATAATGCTGAAATCAAACGAGGTCCTCGTCCAGTTTCAAATGTAAGTTTGAGACATTCAGGCCTGGCAGCACCAAGTTAATAGAAATGATTATAAAAGCTTAAAAAAAATCTAGTCAGACTCTGAGCACCATTTTAAATTATTAGAAAACAAAAACTATTATTATCATTTAAATTATATAATACAGCAACATAGATAATCTTCATTAATTTACTTAGGTGATAAAAAAATATTCTTACGGAATTTGTTTATATGATTATTAAGAATACTAATAATACTATTCGGCTTGTTATGATGAATATTGATTACCTAAGACAGATAAATGCTTTTTATAAATTCAATTGATATAAATACGAGATTTTGACAAATCACAAATCATGTATAAGGTGACCATCGTTTTATTAATGTGCTAAATTTCATTTCCAATCAAAAAGTGAGTGTACTACAATGATTAAAGTATTTTCTAATAGAAAAATTATGGCAAAAAAACTTATTCAAACTTTGTGTCAACCGAAGAACTCAATATCTCCAATTTAATAAAATAATAACTATTTCTTCCTTTCTCAAACAATTGATTCATCAACATAATAATAACTTTTTTGAAGTTAAAACTAATTATCATGTTATACAAATTATCAGTAGATATCTACTGAAATGGCATATTGAATTAAAGAGCATACATTGTTATATATCCAATAAAATATCAAGAAATTTTTTGCGAGATATATAGCATCGGAGAAAATTTTTCTGACATATTTTAAAATAATTAAGGTAAACGATCTGTTTTTTGCGGTATATCTGCTCTTAACAATTTTAAATGATCATAACTTTTTATTGATTTACTTTATTTAAACGAATGTTAAAAGTATAAAAAACAGAAAGTTAGGCTATCAATCGTTCACAATGTCATTACAGTTTTTCAAAAAATCTAACCTATTTAATGATTCTTTTTTTACGGTATGAAATGTGTTTTTGCGTTAAAAAAATCTTTTTTTTTGCGATATCTAAGATTAAAGAATTTTTGTACAAATTCCTTAGAAAACAAGAGAAAAACATAATCTTTTTTCAATAGAAATGGGAAGGTAAAATTTATGTGTTATGAAAATTTAATTAAAGCGAGTCAGTAGAGATTTGAAATTCAATATATACCCTGTTTTTTCGTTATAAGCTAGTAGCTTAGAAGAATAAAAAAGTGATTTTTTTGGCTCACTAGTAGCTTAGTAACGAGGAGTAGCTTAGTAAAGAAATAGAACTTCAATAAAAATTTTGAATTTTTTAACTTAATTAAAGAAATTTTGCTATCTTCTCGATTTTATTTCATTGACAATGTCATAAGGCATTGAAACTGATACTCAGAAAGTTGAAAAAGATTAATTATACTTTATTTTTGGCAATTTTTGGTAGTAGCTTAGTAAAGATTTCAAAAAAATTTCAAGTTCAAAAAACTTTACTAAGCTAGTAGCTTAATAACGAGTAGTAGCTTATAACGAAAAAACAGGGTACTCATTTTTAAACATTTTAAAAGGTTTAATGAAACAAACAAAACTAAAATTGTTTTTATATTATAATCTTAAATATCGCAAAAACAGATCGTTTACCTAATTCAAACAAAAATCTTAATAGATAGTTAAATAATCATAATTTAATTCTAATTCGAAGCAAAACTTTTTATATTTTTCTTTTCATTTTACAATTTATGTTGCAAATTTCCATACTTTACTGTGAATATGCAAAAATTATTTAAAAAACTGTAACAGAAAATAATTTGGATTTATTGAAAGTAAAATTCGCGAATTTTTGTTTTTAATATTTATATTCTGTTTTTTAAGTGACTTGAAACTTTTAATAATAAATATTTGGTTTTCATCAAAATTTATACAAAATTTTTTTTAACGAAAATAAAAGTTATTATCCAAATATAAGAAACAAATCATAGCTATTAATTATAAAAATCGGAATTTGAATTTAGATTTTGTCGATCTTATGCTTAAAATAATTTTTTTTTTTCCAGAACAAAGGTTTCGTGCTAATATATGGACGTGGATTTTTCCGAAGCAAATTTTTTTGTCGGATCATATTTTCTTGAAATTCTTCAAATTCAAAGGAATGCATTTAAAATACTTGGATTGAGATTTAATGGGACTCGAAGAGGCTCAGAGAAGTTTAAAATAGGAAAGACAAAGTATTTATTTTTGTAAAAAATGACTGGAAAAGTTGTTTTATGGCTATTTGAGACCATTAGGACCAAAAAAAATTTTTTGGATATCCATCGTCCGTAGCTATTCAAAATTATCGAAAATCAGCCCCATTGCCTCATGCTTTGGTCAGTTTTGGACGAAACTCCGCATATATATTTAAGACATCAATATCTCGAAATAGTTTCGGAATTAATTGATTTGAGCTTAAAACAAGCGAGAACGAAGCAAAAAATAATCAAAATTTTTCAAAAATTGCATACTACTAGGTAGACTTTTAGACCTTGTAAACTATCGTATCCATAAAATTGTCTGAATTTTGGCATAATTATTTTTCAATACCAGATCTATTTACCACAAAAAACCGCAGCTTCTAAAATGGTTCCAATTTTGAGATATGATCCATAGCAAAAAAGGTTCCAAAAACGTCAATTTTTTCAATTTTCAAGAGGCTATAGAATGTCATGGTAAAGTCAAAACATAGTCATATGGGGTGTTTTTGAAAAGCTCTTGAAGAGGATTATAAGAAAGAACTCAATATAATATCCAGTTTGAAAAAAGTCTAGTGCCACAGTGTATTTTGACCTAAACTAATAACTTACACGCATTTTCCGTGGAAGTTAATGTCAATCATATAGAAAAACTTTGTTTAAAGATAGCAATCATCAAATTACTATTTCTATGTCGTTCAGAATGTAAACGTTGACTATTAAGCACAGAGCTCGAATCGACTCCGAGTCAACTCGACTCCTTACAAAATTTAATCGACTTCGAGCTCTGCTGCAGCATGCTAGTCTTTAAACTCTATCATTATCTCATTGGTTTATCATATATTCCAATCAATTCAGAATCAAGCTCAAAACGTGAACCAGTCAGTAGACTCTTACACTTAAAACAATGCACAATGTAAATATTGAATATTTTAAAAAATCTAAAAAAAGTATTGAAAGATTCGAAGTTTATGAGAATCTGAAACTTTTTAAAAACTACTCTTTATTAATCCAAAAAGATGAGGAGATTATAGAAGAAGAAAGTTTTGATGACTCCTTTCATAAAGCAATTAAGCCAATCGCTACATTTGTACAGTTCCTGTTCCTAATGCCTATTTGTGGAATTTCAAGTGAATTTAGTGATAATTTAAGATTTAAATGGATGACAGTTCGTGTTACGATGAGCTTGCTGTATTTGTCATATGGATTATTTATTACTTTCTTGTTTTTTAAGGAAATTTATATTAAGCAAATTAATTTTGGAAATTCAAGTAAATTGACTTTCATTTAATATTTAAAGGTTCTTTTTAACAGTTTATTCTTGCAGTTGGAATGTTATTTTTCTCCTATACAACCACATGCACTTTAGTTTTCATTGATATAGCGCAAAAATGGCCAAACATAATGAAAATGTGGAAGAAAATTGATGATAATTTTACACGGCATCCTTACAAAATTTACAAAAGACGGTTATCAACAAAAATTAGATCTATTGCTGTAACTGTAATTATTTTAGCTTTATTAGAACATCTCTTGTTCCTTGCCAATGAAGCATTTAATAAGTATGTCGATGTCAAACTCAAAGATATACAAGTTGACAAACCTATTGAATATTTCTTAAATCAACAATTTGGATTTATTTATGCAAACTTACCATTTTCGGTCCCATTGGGCTTATTTAATGAAATAATGAACATGAATTTCACATTCGCCTGGAATTATATGGAATTATTCGTGACGATGATTAGTTTGGGTTTGTCTACAAGATTCCATCAAATAAATAAAAGGATTGCAAAATTTCGAGGAAAGGTATGTATTATTTTTTAAGAAACTGAAGTCAAATTGCTAATAGAATTCATCATAACGTTTTTGTATATGAATATGCTAACAGATAGTTTCGGAAAAAATATGGATAAGTGTCCATAAGGATTATGTTTCCTTATGTGAACTAGTCGAAAAAATAGATTTTGATCTTAGATATCTAATACTGCTGTCAAACTTAAACAACGTTTTTTTCATCTGTTTTCAACTTTATCACATATTTGAGTATACAGATATCCATTTTATAAGAAACTCAAAAAAGCCTAAATGTATACATATTTATTACAGAAAATTACCATACACGATAAATGTGATATATTTCTGGTGCTCGTTTTTATATCTCCTGGGTCGTACAATCATTACTCAGTTTATTGCATCCGAAATTAACAGTTCGTCAAAATATCCTATTGAAATAATTAAGTCAATTCCACCAGAAGGATGGTGTATAGAGATGCAAAGAATTTTAGATGAAGCTCGTTCACAAACTATTGCTCTTTCCGGGATGAAATTTTTTTACTTGACCCGAAAGACAATTCTCACTGTAAGAAGTGCTTAATTTCATAAATTATTGAAAATCATACGTTTATACATTTTTTTATAGATGATAACTACAATCATCACTTATGAGTTGGTTTTATGGCAAATCACTAATACAAGAAAAACAATTAATACACATGTTGACTAATTTACTTTATTCATTGTTTCTGTTTTCAATTTGTGACTCATGATTGTACAATCATCACCAAAAATGTTGGAGTCAAAAATAATTTTTTAAATAAATTTCATTTTTCTAAAATTAATAAAATAAGTTTATGGTGCTGATTTAAAATTTTAAAGAATAAGAATTAAGTTGAACTAGTTTTTCAGTGTTACTACAGTAAATATGGATGTTTTTCCATGGAGTTGCAACGTTCGTAATAATCTTCTAATGAGAGTCTAAATTTAATTAAAAGCTAATTCAATGGAAGAAATTTTACACGAAAATTGATTTTTCTCGAAATACACTTGATTTTCAACTACTTTCGCTAGTATTAATTAAGCATGTAATTCTTCATTTCCTAGTTTTAAATTTAATTTATTTCCTTCAATATGCTTATATTATAGGAACATTTCCATTTTATGTCGTTGCTCAGACATATTTTTTGGAAAATTATTATTATTATAAAAAGCTTCCTTATGCGGTACTTACTTTGAGTTGATGTCAAACCATGACATGTTGCTCGACTGGTGCAGTAGTTTTGGATGATGTGGTAAGACTTAAAACTTCATGAGGATTGATTACTAAGTGCATTGTTATTTATCACATAATTATTGACGATCAAAGAACCATCAACAGCATTTCTTGCATTATTAATTCAAATCGCATTCAATAAAAATGAAGAAAAAGTAGCATAAATGGCAGAGATGCCTTGTTCTCTCAATTTGATAATTTGACCACATACACAGGAATTTGACAATATAGTCAAAGAAGCTTTAAAGAAGCATTAGAACGAGAAAATGATAAGAATCCAGAATTAACAGATATAAACGAGATCGTAAGATCATAAGAAATCTAAAAAACCTTAAGAACCGGGATTAGATGACTAGATGAACATAATCATCGAATATTTTCCTGGAAAAGGTTTCGAATCCTTATAGTTCAGCATCTAATCGTGTTTGAAACTTAATCACTTCCCCAAAGTTTAGAAACTCGCAAAAGTGATTCCAATATCAAAACCTGGAAAACCAGCAAATGATTTAAGCAGCTACAGGCTAATAAGTCTACTCAGCTTAATAAACAAAATACTAGAGAGAGTATTGCTGAACTGAATCAACGATTATATCAAGGATAACAACATTATCAAAAGTCAGCAGTGTGGCTTCAGAACAGGAAGATCAGGTGTAGAAAAAGAGTCTTACATAACGGACTCTTGTACAAAACGCTCAAACTAAGATTTACGTTGCCGCTTATAAAAACTGCAATAAATATATATACAGCACCGTTCAAAACTGTTTCCATGTTTCAAGAAAATTTTTCTTTCCAACATATTTCTTATAAAACGTAATATTTTCCCAACATGTTATATATCGTTTTAAAGCTTGTTTAATAAGCTATTTAAAAATGATAAGCAACTTTGGAAAATATTTAATTAAAGTAGATTTTTTGCTTAAAATATACACTGTCACATGGAAACACTTTTGAGCTCATAATTGTTTTTCCAAATTTTGATGCATAGCAGAACTAATTGACTAAAGTTTGTATATTATAGTAAAAAGCAAGTAAAATATTAGATAAAAGCGCATAAATTAGGTTGCTAGACATAGTTAAAATATATATATAAGAATGTTAAATCACATGATAAATTTTCACATAATTTTGCAAAAAATTTTGATAGTCAAATATGATAATTTATTATTATGAATTGGATATTTTAATTATTTTAATCATTTTGTGTTGTCTTAAGTCGATATTTACGTAAAAAAATTGAATTTTTGCAAATGCTTATAAAAAATTTTGAATATGGCTGTCATTGACCAACAAAATTGTAAAAAACATCCTTTTACTCTCACAATGACTACATAAATCATATATGGTTATCTTTGTTAACATAAAATCTATCAGAAAAAGCGATTAAAGTTCTTTGAAGTGGAGGAAGTAATAAAAAATTTTGAATGTTTTTGTTTGCAAGTGAGAAAATTTAAGTGTTTCCATGAAATCTTATCAATTTTTTTGCATTCAAATGCTTCTATTTACAATTAAAAACTGTTTTTCAGATTTAATAAGCTAAAATACATTTGTATGGATGCAAACGTCGCAACATTTGGCTTTAATTCAGTAATTTTTTGCAAAATTATGTGAAAATTTATCATGTGATTTAACATTCTTATATAAATATTTTAACTATGTCTAGCAACCGAATTTATGTGCTTTTATCTAATATTTTACTTGCTTTTTACTATAATATACAAACTTTAGTCAATTAGTTCTGCTATGCATCAAAATTTGGAAAAACAATTATGAGCTCAAAAGTGTTTCCATGTGACAGTGTTTATTTTAAGCAAAAAATCTACTATAATTAAATATTTTCCAAAGTTGCTTATCATTTTTAAATAGCTTATTAAACAAGCTTTAAAACAATATATAACATGTTGGGAAAATATTACGTTTTATAAGAAATATGTTGGAAAGAAAAATTTTCATGAAACATGGAAACAGTTTTGAACGGTACTGTATATATATATTGATCGCAGAAATCTAATAGTTATATTGTTATCGTGAAAAAGCATTTAAATGATTTAAATTAAAATTACATTTTGTCATTCAGCAAGGATTAAAATAAAGAATCAATTATTTTAATTACAAGAGGTTATGAACGCAATGAAGTATGAAGATAAATGATACGCCATGTGTGAGCGATTGAACTATGGGAATTATCGTTTCTGGATGCTTCGACTTAAGATGATTTTGTTCAAGGATGATCTATCGGATGTCATCGATCCTGGAAGTTCAAAACCAGAGGATGCATTTAGAAGCTTGAAAACATTGGCGCATATTGTTTTGATGGTTGATAATGATCAACTGGTTCATGTTTCCGATGCTAAAAATGGAAAAGAAGCATGAGATTCTTTGAAGAATTTTCATCAAAACGATTCAGCTGGACATAAGATGAGACTTTATAAGCAACTGTTCAATACTGAATTATCATTTGGCAGTGACATGCAGAAACAGTTGCAAAAATTTGTTTAAAATTGTGCAAAACATCAAGGATTGTGATGATCATCTTGTAGAACCATGATTGTGATTGCAATTTTATCAAGTCTGTATGCTGAATTTAGTGACTGGATTAGAATCATGGAAAGAGACAGAACCAACAGTGCAAAATGTCAAGTTGAAACTCATTGATGAATGGGAAAGGTGATGTGGAATTCAAGCAAAAGATCTGATGTTTATTGTGGCAATAAGACTGATATTGAAAGGAAGAAACACATCAAGTGGCATCAATGTAAACAAGAAGGACATATCAAACGAAATTGTCCAATGATGATGAACGAAGAAAAGAAAGAAAGCAAAAATGAAACTGTTAAAATGGCAAAATTCAATGCATAGCGAAGACGTTGTTTTGATCCAAGAGACTCTTAGAGGTGCATTTACTCGGATGCTTTGTCTCACATGACCTACAGTTTGTCGTTTTTCATTAGTTTTGATGAAAGTTTTAGGGGTACGGTTAGGGTTACTAATGTGAGAAAGTTGAGTACAAGGGTCGTGCACAGGTTCGATTGAATATATTTGTGGGAAAAAAGAACTTTAGTTTAGATCTGACTCACATACTTCTGGTGCCATGCATTGACAGTAATTAGATCTCTGTCTCAAAGCTTTGTTGTAAGGGCTTTAATCATATTTTTGATTCAACAAGTTGTTACCTTAAAGTAGAAGGTGTGGAACAATTGCAGATTGCTGAGAAATTAGGCGATATATATGTTGTAAGAGCTGAAGTCGAAATATAATGGTTAGATAATGGAAATGGAAATTTGCATGATATACTCGCGATGAAGGATAAAGGTTTGAAAATTTCCGTTTGTGATTAAACAAATGTGTGTGAATGAATCATGCATTCTAGAGAAAATTTCTAGAAATCCATTTCCATAGAAACAACACCTGTTGAGAATACACAAGACTTTATTCAGAGGGCATTCGATTTCAGTGTACTGTGGCTCACTTACCAGAGCAAAATGGTTTTTCCGAGAGAAAGAATAGGACTTTAGTTGAGGCTTGAAGGACGATGCTTACTGAGTCAGGAATGTGTCGAGAGTATTGAAATGCTATAATGAATGCGAATTACTTATTGAATCGTGTTTTGAGCAAAGATGATCCAAAGTCTCCGTATGAAAAGTTCTTTGTTAAAAAGCCAGATTTCTCAAATTTTAAAGAGTTTGGAGTTACCTCATCAGAAGAGAAAGAAGTTAGATTACAAGACAGAAAAGCTGGCATTAAAAGGATATGACGGATGGTCAAAAGCATATCGACTTGCAAATGTGAAACAGCGGAAGAAAGTTGTGTCACTTGAAATTGTGTTTTTGAAGAGAAAATTTTATGAAAATAAATCAGAATTCACCTCATGAAACGATTAGTAGCAGCAGTGATATGGTGCCGTTTCCGCTTTCGTCTGATTCTATGAAAAACAGATTGATCAAGAACAAATTGAATCTGCCGATTTTGAGAATGACCAAAGTCAGGAAATCGTCGTTGATCATAATTTAATGAATGATCAAAACGTTTCGGTTCAGGAGGATAATGAAAGAAGTGATGAAATCAGAGTATCAAGTAGAAGAAATAAAGGACAAAAACCAGAATGTCTTGGCGATTTTATTACTTATTCATCAAGAGTCGATTTTGAGCCTAAGACTTTCAAACAGGCTATGAGTTGTGTTAATGTTGATAAGTAGAAAAAAAGCTATGAAAGACGAGATTAAGTCCATTAATCAAAATAAAACCTGGGATCTCGTAAAATTACCCAAAAATAAACATTCGTTTGGCTGCAAATGGGTTTATAAGCTTAAGCAAGATGAGAATGGTCAGGTGTGTTCTTATAAAACAAGATTAGTTGCTCAAAGTTTTTCCCAAAAGTATGGAGAAGATTATGATGAGATTTTTGCTCTAGTGGCATGATCAGCAACATTTAGGATTCTTATGTCGATAACTGGTGTAAATAATTATCATGTTAAGCAGTTTGATATTAAGACTGAATTTTTAAATGGTGATATTAAGGAGGAGATATATTTGAAGCAACCACCTGAATTTAAAAAGGGGAATGATGCTTTCAAGTTAAGAAAAAGCCTTTATGGATTGAAGTTAAGTTTACTACCCGAATGGGTCAACAAATACATTCATTCAATTGTAATTCCTCCAAGGTTTTTTTGCGCTCCTTCAAACAGTTTAAGTACTGTTTTAGGGAGCTTTTTCCATGGACAAAGGAAAACAATGAAATAATGAATAAAAAAAATTCAAAAAGCAAGCAGCAAAAGCATGGAATAAAGTTTATCATGAAACAGTGATTAGCTTTGGATTTAAGCAACGTGAAGTTGACAAATGTCTGTACAGCATGAAGAGAGGAAACGATACTTGCTATATGATTGTTCATGTCCATGAGATTCTATTCGCATCAAAAAATTAAAAATTGATAGAACAATTTAAAAATAACATCGGAAGTCTTTTTGAAGTAAATAATATGGGAAGTGTAAAGCACTTTCTCGGAATTGATATTAACTCGGATTGTAAACTATTGTATGTTAGCACAAATACAAGACCTCATATCGCTGCATCTATTGGAATATTGGGTCAAAAAATTTCAAAAACAACAATGACCGATTTGATAGCAGCGAAAAAAAATATTCGCTATCTGCATGGAATCAAGAATCTAAGTTTGAAGTTGAGTAACAAAAAGAAAGTTGGGAAATTGGAAATTTATTCTGATGATATCCAAAAATGAAGTTCTTAATTGGATTAAATTAATTGCAGTATTTCTTCTGTAAAAGAAAAAGTGGAAGTGCCCAAAAATCACTTTTATTCGAGTTGACTCGAGAAAAGTTGAGTTGACTCGAAAAAACCCGAGCCGACTTCAAGCTCTGGACTTTACCAGGCGTCAAAATTTGATAAAATGTATTTTTCACTTGCTTCCAAATTTTGAGGTTACATAACCTTAAAATCTCGAACCTAAATTTCATGCATTGCCTGATAAAATAATACCAAATTATTTTAGCCATTTTTAACAATTTTGAGGAGTTTTGAGTAAGATCTAGAAAAGGAAAACAATTTTTATAAAATCCCTTACGAACCATAACATGTGAGAATAATATTTTAACACGATTGATAAAATGCATCTGAAGGAAAAAAAACTAAACAGTTTTATATGCGCGCACATCCACCGATACGAAGATAAAAAAGAGTACTCCAAAAATGAGAGTAAAAAGCATCATAATCTCTGAAATGAATCAGTCAGCGGTAAAACTTGTTGACATACACATGTTTCGTTTAATAATATTTTTGTGTGATTACTGTTGTATTGTATAATGTTTAAAAATAATCATTTTTATTTGATTGATGAAGTGACAATTCAGATAACTAATCATGTTCAACTTGAATTCATAAGTTTAATTAATAAGAACAAAAGAAGTGAACATATTAGCTTTTGTGGATTTGCAATATGTATTAATTTATTTACAAATTCAAAATTAAGTTCCCTTGAATAACAAAAGATAAAAAACTTAAGACATAAGAAGATTTGCATCATTCTAAGCGGATTATTATTTTGAGAAAACAAAAGCAGATTTTCTTCTAAAAAAATTTCAGTTTAAAATGATTTTTATTTCAACAATACCTATTAGATTAAGGAATGATGCTTGTATGTTGCTATAGTGAAACTTCTCATTTTTTTCTTGATTGCTTTTTTTTTCTTCACGTTTTCAATGGCATTTATTGAAAATGAAAATCATGGAAACAGATTTAATTAAATTGAGGTTTTGTCATGACAACTAAATACGTTTATTTGTTTCTCAATAAAACGTTCTTTTCTTCATTACTAACATTAAAAAATACATCACAAAGCAAATGAATGAATTTCAAATTAAGTTTAATTTAAAAAAAATTAAGTAAAATTTTAAAACATGAGTTTTTATTAAAAATATAAACTTGATTTTTTACGCTAATTCTAGATTATTATTAACATTCAAAAAGGTTTTGCTGTAATTTGCTACCCTGTTGTAACGTCACCATCAGAAACAATAAAAGAAGTTAAACTGTGTAATTTTTGAATGAATTTTAACTAATGTTAATAACATCACAGTTTGAGTGCACCTTATGCTTTAATTTGTAAGGTAGGACAACAGGGAAAGGAGAAAACTTAATAATGAAAACTTTTTACCTGTCAAGTGTATTTTTGCTTCCCGTAGTATGAAACTTTTTCATATGCACATCACGCTAAGAGAGAACAATATAGTGAGTAAAAGAGATAAAAGCGGTTATTGTAATCCATCGATGGTTTTTTGGCACCAGAAAAGCTTATAAACTTTTATTTGCTTTGTAATGTATGGCATAGTGGATGTTTGCAAAATGATGAAACAAGAGAAAAATTGATTCAGTGAGAAAGTTTGTTGAAAAAACTCTGACAATTAAATTTTGACAGATGAATTTTTAATTAAACGAATTGCAATTGTAAAACAAAATTCTAATGTGCTTTGATGTGGACATTAATAAAACGAAAAATACTGAGAAAAAAGATTTAAACGTATTTATTTTGTAATTCTATTTGTGTATTTGTGCATTGAAAAAATGTCGAGAGGTAAATGTGTAAAAGTGCATTGCATAAAAGGTAAAACACAACATAATGGCATTAAAGGCTACAATATTGAACGGAAAAAGCCAACAAAAACAAAAATTTATCTCGATAAAAACGTATTCAATTCTCGTCATTAAAGCGCATTTATGGATGATATAAAAATTATCAAAAAGATAGCAAAACCAACACTCAGATTCATACTTAATTAATTTTATTTTATGTTTTATATATTTGGAGGGAATAGTTTCTTTAGAATTTTGTAACGCTTTGTGTGAATTTTTCGAAAGTACACAGATATAAAACCAATGATACCATTTAAAGCTACTTTTTTTTTATTATTTTATATGATGTGTTTTGAAATAAGAAAAGATATGCTTTAAAAAGAGGGATGAATAAATTTGCACCCTTAACATTATATTTAAAAAAGGAAATTCAATTCACATGATTTTATGTTATGGGAATTTTCTACCTGTTGCTTCTTCTCTTTATTTGCTTAAAAGTAAATCAATGACTCGCCATGTATATAAAATATAACTTTTCAATAATTTGATCCTGACCTAATTTCAATTTCTTTTGTTAACTAAAATCGTTTAAACTCAGAGGTGGCGAACAGAAATCTTGCCGTTGAATTGGAAAGAAATGAATCCTTATTACCAAACATTTTCTAAAAAATAAACTTTGAATTCATTGTTAAAAATTACTTTAATTGATTTACAACTTTATTTTTGTTTAAAATATGATTAAAAGCTTTAATCATTATGATTTGCTTTACTGGTAGTAAGGTTTGGGGAACCTGTTAACAGAAAGCAGAAAAACAGCTGTTTTTCGACAAAATCTGTTAACAGAAAACAGGTCTCAAAAACAGATCTGTTTTCTGTTTTTCATTTTTACATATAATTTACAGAAAAAAAAATTTCTTAATTTTTTAAAGAATTTAATATAGTTTTCTAGAATTTCAAATTGAAACGTATTTACTATTTTAAATTTTTTTGGATGTTTAATAGGTTTGAAATCATTATCAATTTTATGATTAATCATTACTAATTTTGCAATCGAAATTTTAAATTTGTTGAACCTTTTGTAGCATTTACTAAAGTTCAAAAATATCTCCTGTTTTTTTGTTATAAGCTAGTAGCTTAGAAGAATAAAAAAGTAATTTTTTTGGCTCACTAGTAGCTTAGTAACGAGTAGTAGCTTAGTAAAGAAATTGAACTTCAATGAAAATTTTGAATTTTTTGACTTAATTAAAAAAATTTTGCTTTCTTCCCGATTTTATTTCATTGACAATGTCATAAGGCATTTAAACTATTATACTTTATTTTTGGTAGTAGCTTAGTAAAGATTACAAAAAATTTTCAAGTTCAAAAAAACTTTACTAAGCTAGTAGCTTAGTAACAAGTTGTAGCTTATAACGAAAAAACAGGGTAATCAACAATTTTGCAAGATATTTTTTTATTTGGAATATTTTTTTGATGTATGCTTAACTGCTTATAACCACCAAAAACCTTCATTATCTTAGAGAAACACTTAAGATAACTCAGTTTATTTTGAATTCTTGAAAAACAGGAAAACAGCTGTTTTTAAAAATCAAAAACCGAAAACAGACTGTTTTTCAAAAACAGACTGTTTTCCACAAACCCTAACTGGTAGGCACTGGACTTTATAAACGGTCGTTTTTTATTTTTGGATTAAAAAACATACTTAAACTTAGCCTATTGAACTCAAATGCTTTCTGGTATAAATTCAATAAATCTTTATGATTAAACATAAAATTAGAATAATGTTCTTAATTTTAGTTCATCTTTTAACAATCTTTAAGAATATGCATGATTAGTTCGAGTAAACAGCTTAGATATACAAAACTTTGCAAAAATTTATTTACTGAAAGAAACTTTGGTCAAGAAAAAAATTTCTCATCCACAAAAACTTATTAATTCGCAAGTATTTCCAGAATGAAACATATGATGAACTAAGTTCATAAACAGCTTTATTTTTTGAAATGAGCCTTAAAATTTCATCAAAGTTATTAGAAATGATTAAAATTAAATCATATTAACTGATTTTAAGCACATTTGATTAAAATATAGTGTGTTTAATAAAAAAATTGACTGTTCATAAACTTTTGCACGCTACTGTAATGTTAACACTTAAAAATTTACCCGAAAATTTTCGTAATTAGTTTCAAAATTCATCAATAAATTTTAAATTGATTCTTTAATAATTTTTTTTACAGACATGGATACTTTAAGATTAAAATTAAATTATTAAAAGAATTTTGTAGATTATATTAAAGTTCGTAATCTTTACATACTTTCATAATAATAATAAAAATCAACTAGTAATTTTAATAACTGTAAAATTTGCGCTCCTTGCTACTATATATTGCAGAAAAAACATTTCTATCAAATTGAGTTCAATGTTCATAATTTGATAACAGATTCAAAACATGTTTTTATTTCGAAGTCTTCATTTTCCAAAAAATAACAATAAATATACATTTTTAAGTTTAATTTTTTCTTTCAGTGTAGAACTGTTTTTAAACATTGGTTTAAAAACATTAAAACAATGTTATTACTGGATAAAACATTCAACATCGGATTCTTCAATTTCAATGATTTGTGTAAAAGATGTCAACATTATTGGGGCAATATACTTTTTAAGGTTTTGGGGGACAGGGGAGGAAATAAAATTTTAATTAATTTTAATATAACATTATACAAGAATTCTATTGTTATTTTTTGACTATAATTGAGTAACTTAATAAATGAACGTCTCCCCACATGAATCAGAAACGTTCTGGATTTACAACAATTTCCCCTAAACAAATGAAATATCATGCGCAAATCAAATATCATGTCATAAAAAATTGAATGATGGCTCCCCAATATTTAAAATATCAATTTCGTTTAAACTTAAAAAATTTCAATTCATACATGTCATAAAATAAGCTTTTACAAGTTCAAAAGCTTTTTAAAACATTTAATTATTATTTAATAGCAAAAATTGTACTGTTAATAAAAATTGAAATGCTTAATAAATGCCGGCAAAAATTTAAACTAGCCTTTAAATAAAACTTTCACTTGTTTTATGACTTATCGCACAAATGAAAAAAATCTTTCCCAAGTCTCTTCATTTTGTGAGTACAAAAATGCGCGTGGAGATTTCTGAAGCTCATTGAAACATTTTTTATCTCTTTCATGCACGTATATCAGAGCTTCATTGCGGTTTGAAGAAGAAAAAAGATTTGCGAAAAGAGAAGTTTTTCAGTCCGAGATTAAAGTCCCTGCTGTAAAGACACACGTTCGTTAGTTGTCATGCTTTCTTCGGTTGTGCAAAGAAAAATTAAATAACAATACATTTTTTCTTTTGTTATTTTACCTTTTTAGTTTTTGTAATTTTTTATAATTTTATCAAAAGTGAAAAAAAAAATTTAAAAAAGCTTCTTCATTCTCGAAATAAGAAAATGGTTACATCTTACTAAGTACCATCATTTTCATTCCTCCATGTTGTTGGATATCTCATAAATGTATATTATATAGTGAATTAATCTGTGATAAAGTGATGACAATAATGATCTTCATTACCTGTATTAAATTAAAATAAGTAAAACTTAAGAAAAATTTGATTAAAAAATCAAGAATTAAATAAATTCGGAGGCCATTTTGTGAAAATCATCAAATTTTCTTTTTGGGGAGCGAAGAAAAAATAAGAAAAAGAAAAAGAAGAAAAGTTTTAGTGAAAAAGCTCTTTTTGAACAGCACCAATCAGCATAACATAAAACAAAATCTTGCTTTTATTGTGGATTACATAAATTTAAAGAAGCAAACTAAACTGAGAAGGCATAAGACATCTAGACATGTTCAGGGATTTTTATATCGTAGTACTGCTGTTGCTATCAACTATCGAGAATAATGGTAAGAATAATTATGTAATTTCAAATCTACTTTTTATTCTTTTTTTAAAGAAGTTTTTTTTAAACGCTTTTATAATTTGAACGGTTTGAATTTCTGTAAGTTCATTTGTTTGTCTATATTCATCCTCCTTTTGATTCAGTGACACACAATTAGAATTTTTTTCATTATTAAAGAAACTTTTGAAACAAGAACTGTTATGCAATGCTATTTTATGTTTTGAAACTTGTTTTTCTGCCCTTTTTGAAAAACTAAAAGTTTGACTTTAACTGAACTTTGAAATTCATTGAAAAAATGACTAAAAAAATTCATTCATACAAATTCAAAAATCAAAATCAAAATTACTTCTAAATTCCTCTTTTATTAATTGAACATTATATATTATTCAAAAAGTAATTAAATTACCTTTAAAATAACACATAATTGAAGGCTCAGCTTTTAAAACTTTTTTTTTTGTTTAATGCAAATGAACCAATTTACCTGCTAATAAGAGTACCGCTGAACTCTTATTTAATTTGCTACAATGGAAATGAATGTCAACTGCATGAAATTTTAAAGTTTAAATTGGTTTAAATTTTAATTGAATCTTTATTTACTGAATATAATTCGTTTTTAAGAAACTAGTTTTTCTGTTACCTTCGAAAGCTTTATTTACTAATACTATCATGCTAACACAATCAAAACACCAAAAAATAAAGTGCCCAAAAACCTTAATAATTCAATCACTTTCAAATTGAGAATAAAGCTATTCTACATATTTCAGAAGCTTAAACATCATTATTGGGTAATTCCACGAATGTGATGTTCTTAAAATTTTTTTCCAAAAATGAGCTATCTAGACAATCCAACAACTTAATATAAGTATGTAAAATGCTGAATTCTACCTGAATGAATACAAAGCGTCACTCACGTACAATTTCTTTGCGACGAGGCCCCTATATAATTTTATATATATATTCGTATACGTGTTGCAGTCTAAAGACCTTGATTTATAAAATTGAAAAACAAATTTATAAATTATTACTGATGTTTGTCTAAGTTTAAAAAAAAGTTTACTTTTTTCTCATCTTATACAATGTTGGTCAAGCTAAGGTCGGTAAGACCGATTTGAAATGTTATCATTTTTAACTTCATTAATTTTTCTGTATGTACCTGTTTACAAACTATGTAAAAATTCTCCCGTTCATTTAATAATTATGCTGTTAATTAAAAAAATAAAACGAGAACATTGAGATGATAGACTAGTTTTTATAGACTAAGGTTAATGAATCGCTTATTACCTCTTCTGTTCCACGTCAACTACATAATTTTTGCTAAACTGCATATAAATAAGTTATTTTTTTCTTCTTTCCGTTCTTTTGTTGTTAACTTCTTCTGTCGTACAATGATCTTTGTTGTGCTGCATTTTCTTTCTTACCTACTTTAAAAAAAATATATAAATAAATGAAGACAAAATTAAAATTAAAGAAAATTATTATTTTGGTGCATTAAAAAGCATAAGTAATATTAATGTTCTAAATTTTTGAGAATTAAATATATTAAGAATTGGTATGAAAAGTTAAGAAATGGGTTTAAAAATTAAATCAAATTTCATTCTATTAACCGTATAGTTGTGGATGTTAAGTGCGTGCATTAAAATCATAGTATTTATTTTCCCGCTGTAACATGTCGAGAGTTGTCCATTACCTTGATATAAAATAAAATGATCACGTATGTTCATTCCAAAAACAGAAACGAAACTAAAAAGTTGAAAGTATGCATTTCTGCAAGTATTTGAACCAATAAAAAAAATGTTTTGTAAAAGTAGATTGGTGCTTTCAATAAATTCTCAAGTTTCATGATAGTTTTAGACAGCATTACTAACAATTTTATTAGTTATCAAAATAAATATTCTAAGGTTTTTCGGTCGTTTCATTTTCAAACAGCATTCTTCACTCATTCCTATACAGAATGTAGCTCATTAAATTTTGATAATGGAAAATTAAATTTCATTTTTATGATGTGTCATGAATGATAAAACGATGAGACATAGAGGAGATGGGGTAAAGTGAAATAGAGAGATTGTGGAATATTGAATGAAAAACATCCCTCGTAATAAACCTCGTACTAAAACTGAATATAATACTCGCTCACTCATCATATAATCACCCTTAAAGTACATAACTCTCTCTTTATATAAATGTATATATACATCCCCATAATTCTGCACTGACAGTAAACACACAATAAATATGATCCATGAACGAACGAGGGTGATGAATGAAATAAGAATGAATAAGAACGAAAAAAATTCACAACAGGAATATCTTTATGTATAAAATCAGCTTAATTTGATGAACAAAATCGAGACATGATTCATATGAATATTATAATAATGAGAGAGATGTAAGAATTATATGATAATGATCTATTTATCTACTACAATACCCTCAGTTACTTTTACCATAGGAGCTTTTAATATCATTTATGAAAGGATTTTTCCAGAAAATCTTTTTTTATTCGTTCTAATTTTTTTTCTCATTATATAAAATTCAAAATAAACTCAGAAGTCGTTCATGTAACGTAATAAGTGAACAAGTTCTTACTTTAATAGAGGAATAAACAAATCCCTTGAAACAAATTTTATAATTTAATCCTTAATTATGAAATAAGAAAGAATGATTCAAGAGGATTTAATAGTATTCAACAGTATTTGCAAATATATTATTTAATACAATCAGGGTTTTCTACAGGTTTTAAAACATTTTAAAACTTTTACGTTAACATTTTTTTTTAATTTTAGAATTTAAATTTAATTCAAAATATTTCAATTATTTTAAGTGAGATTTACTGTAAAAAATTACAGAAGTTCTCGTGTTATTGATCGCGGGACTTGAGCGCATTTTTGACTAAATAAACAAAAAATCTCTTGAGTTCAACAGCATTTGTCATTTAACATTTTTGGTAAATTCAAAAAAAATTTCATTAAACTGTTTTTGAAATTTAAACTTTGTGGCTGTAGAAATAAATTTGAATTTCTGAACGTACTCTGAACGAACCCTTAAAAATATTAATACTGGGGTCCTCGATTTGAGTAGGTGTTATGTTCCAGAAAAATCCTATTCAAATCGAATCTACTCAAATCGAGGACCCATAGTAGATATATTAATAAAATTTTCAAATTTCTGAACGTATTCATTAAATGTTTTTTATATGAAATAAACAATCTTTTATTATAGTATTAATACACTGTCTACAATGTCTGAGATAAAAAGTTTCTTGCCTTGCCCGATTAGACAAAGTAAGTTATTAAGCAACCTTTTCGAAACACGTTTCGAAAATGCGCTAAAAATGGATGACTCATCTTGTAGCTAGCACTTCACCTTGAAAGCGTGCAGAAAGAAAGAGAACAAACAACTTTTTGATGTAAATTAATCGTCATCGATTTTTCATCTTCTTTTATGACATTTATCAAGTTTTACAATAAATATAATGAATATCAGATTTATTGACTAGGGAAGCTTCAATGGAGAAATAATCAGATTTATATTTACTGTATTTTCTGACTTGAGTTATAAAGCGCTATTGTCTGTTTTTCTATCTGATTTCCATACAACTTTGCAGTTAAGGCCTAATCGACTTGAAATTTGGCACACATGTAGATCAAGGACCTGCCCCGAAAAAGAATTTTGGAACTGGAACTATTATAAAACCTTTCTTGTTTTACGACTTTAAAAAATGCGTGTCGCGAGAGGTATGACCTAATAATTTCTAAGGAAAAAGAAAATTAAATGTAATGAATCAAAAATGATAAATGTAAAAATTTCTGTATGGAATTCTCTTTCTCATGAAAGGATTTTTTTATTGATCAGACTTTAACATAGTCTACTGTTAAATGATGTTTCAACAATATTATTAATGAAGAAAATGATCTAATGTTTGAGAGTGTTGACAAGGTGGTTGTCAGGTGGGGGTTGGGTGTCAGGTGGGGGGTTGGTGTCAAATGTGGAGTAAGGTGGGTTCGAATTTGAGGGGTTTGTGAAGCCATGTGAAGTTTTGTGAAGTCATTTTTAAAATTTTTGTGGGATTAGGGGGGTTCAAGTTTGAGGGGGTCTGTGAAGCCATGAGAAGCCAATTATTTGAGAGGTGCTGACAAGGTGGGTGTCAGTTGAGGGGGGGGGGGGGTTGTAGAGAAGATGGGTGCCCGGGATGAAAAGTAGGGTGTCAGGAATATTTTGTGAAGCCATATAAAATTTTGCGAAGCCATTTGAAGTTTTGTGAAGCCATTTATAAAAGTTTTTTGGGATTAAGGGGGTCCGAGTTTATGGGGGTTGTGAGGCCATGTGAAGTTTTGTGGTAGGATCACATTAAACATCATCATCAAGCATATTTATTTGTCCGCATTATCTACCGTAATTACAGAGATAATTACAGATAACTTGCAGACAACTACTAGATAAGTATTTTCAAGAAAAAATTTTTAGCTATCAGCTATTTGGGTTGATTCGATAAGCTTCAAGTAGTAAATTAAAAAAAAGTAGCTTTTCTACATTACCAAAAACAATATATTAAATTGAAAATTTGGTGTGAATATGACTTAATATTAAAGATGTTTAATAAATGCAGTTTGTTTTTGTCTGTGATGAATTGAATAAAAAGTTATTTCCTCTCATTTCCTTGATGAACTTAGAGATCCATTTATCCAATTCCTTATTCATTATTCTATAAAGCAAAGCATAGAAAAAAGGAAGAATTACACATTAAAAAAAGAGGGACGATTGAAGAGGAAACTGTCCCTTCAGTTTCTTTTCTTTTTTACATTTTCATATCCCTTGACAATTTTCCTTGAGCTCTTCGAACAATAAATAGTGATTTGATGGTTCTTAATGTGGAATTATCCTAGCAAGACATTTACCATTTAAATACGGTGTTAATTTAATAACAGCATTGATGAATGCATCAATGTTGATTATCTTAAACAAACAGACATTGAATTTCATACCATTAAATCCGTATTTTATTAATGTAAGGATTGTCACAGTGCAAACAATTCTGTTTGGTGAATAATGTTTTTTAAAAAAGAGGGTGATGAAAAGTGATAAGAAAATTTTACGGAAATTTAGAAAGGAAAATTTAATTTTAAAACCCTTTTTATCTGGATACACTCTATAGCTGAAATAAAATAAGATTCAACATTTTACGCTAATCGATACTAGCGAACTAAAGAATTTTAAAATAAAAAAAAAAACATAAACGTAAACAACACACTTTGTAAATTAAAAGATGCTTCTGACTATTTCCTTTCACTTTTCAAGGCCATTCGATTATTTCACTGTCGGAACAAGCGTTTCAACACATGTAACACATACATATTTTTAAAAACTGGAAAGATTAGAATTTTTTATTTATTCTAATATTTATTTTAGAAGATTGAGTTTTTGATTTATGTTCAGGCATATAGCTTTTTGATTTTAACTTTGATCGATTTTAATAATTATATCCATTTTATTCTAAGCACTTTTATGCCTAGCAGCAAAAGTCATCATTATATTTTGTGATTAACTAGAATTGATTGATGGTTTAACGAACATAGACACTTCCTCGTTGACTTTTTGTTCAACCAACTGACTTTATTTTATGCCTACAAGGGATATTTATATGAGTTTCATTTCGTGTCTATTTGAAGCTTCAGTTAATTTGGAAAGACAGAATTTATGAGGGTTCGTAAATAACGCACTTGTTGAAAATGCTGGTAAATTCCCTTCATGTAAAATATTTATGATGAGAAAATTCTTGAAATTTTTTTGATACTTAAAGAAAAATATTTTTATGCTTAATAAAATTCTATTGCATTCAAATTAAGTACAAAAAGTATAAGTGGTTGGTAAGGTAACAAATTTCAAAGGTCGCAGAAGAAATTTATAAGGATTTTAATTGTGGAATTTTGGTTTGTTATTATTGTTATGTATACTTGCTGCTTAGTAGTAACTTAATTTTATTAATTAAAACTATATAATTATTATTTCGTTTTATCAATATAAAATGAGAACATAATATTGAATCATCTCACACCACATCCTCTCGTAGTCTTCTCACATTTCTTTCATTGAGGGCACAAAAAAGAATAAATGATTGCATGAGGGGAAATGAAATTTTATTTGAAAATGATGATGACATCATTATTTTTCTACAAAAGGATACATACATACAAGCTCAACTGTGTACTATATACCTTTGAACGAATACATTCGCATAGCTTTTTTCACTGACAAAGAAATTCATTTTCTACAATTGGAAAATCCTTTTAACGAAATTGCGTTTTCAACTCATACTTCTCTTTTACAATTTCATTCATATGTTTTGCACGTTGTTCAATGCGTATGTGCAATGATAAAAATGCCACAAATTGTAACCTTTTCATGTTCTTTCTTTTTTACATTTATTGTGGGTGAAAAACCAAGGCATATTTTATTATGTTCATGTATGCGTTCATGTGGAAAGAAAATCTAAAACTTTTTTTTATCCTATTCATTTCTTTACAGGCATTAATGCACGAGCACCACCAGAGCCATACTACGGACGTTTAATTGGTAGTTTTACAGAATTTGCCCATGGAATTAAGGTAAAACTTTTTTACTACTCAATATTATAGAAAAATTATTTAAAATAAATAAAATAGGGCATAGTGTATGCAGTTGATGAGTCAACCTTGTTTATAAAAGGATTTGCCTACGATGGGACTGGACCAGACGCTTTTTTTTGGGTGGGCAATTCAGCGAGACCAAGTCCTGAAGGCTACATCATACCTTATCCTGAAGAATATAGTGGAAGGTAATTGACTTATTTATTCATTAATTATTTATTTTATTACGGTACAATGGGTTCATTTTCAAAAATCTCAAAGGATATTAAAATGTGTGTATTTGAAGGTTGATTTTTCTGGATATAAACTTTTACAATTTGACTTCATCTTTAGTTCCAATACCCAAAAAAACCGTCTTTTCCAATAGCCCTGACCTGTTTATGTTTCTAAAAAATTCAGTTTTTGATTGGTTCGAAGCTTTTTGTTGTATAAATAGGTAAGCTAGGACTCCTATCAAAAATGTACTTTCGCAAACATTGAAAACATCTGTCAACATGTATCAAGTATGTTTATGAACATAATTTAATTCATATAAGAACTCTTTTTTATGTAAATCATTCAATCTTCAACAACTGCCGTGCTCTTTTTTATTTTAATCATAAGCAAAGTGTGAAAGTTGGTTAAAAATGGTTTGCTGAAGAGCGTAGCTCAGCTAAAACGACATTCTTAAAACTTTCAATCATTACTAAACGAAGCTCAGTCAATTCGTCAAGCTTTAAACCTACAAACATATGTTAAGTGAAACTCCACTAATAACAAGACTTTAGATGGTACGGTGTGAACATATCCGCACTGGGTTTCTACCCAATACTTGCCAATACACTAGTTGCTGTACTTGTTGTTCTTATGTTTTGTTGAGAGCAATTCTCAAGCAGTCTTGGAAGTGAATGTGAATACTGGTCTGATGGCTACAGCTTTTTTTGATTAATCATGTTTTTTTTAAGTACTGGGGGTCCTCGATTTGAGTAGAAAATTTTTGGAACAAAACAACTACTCAAATCGAGGAATCCCAGTAAAGTTATTGGTTTGAATGATTCTGTCAATGCGTAAAAGTGATAATTGTTTTTAATGTTTTAGGTTTGATGGAAGGTAAATTAAGATTTTAGATTTTATCGTATTAAACTATAAAAACATGAAAGAAAGCCACTGTGGAAAAAATGCGTTTGTTGAAAAGCTGAAAATCCCTATCTAAATGAGTGATGAATTACAAATAAAGAAAGAAAAGAAAGGGAGAAAAATTTTCTTGTTGCTTGTTTTTATTTCTTCACTTGTTTCGCATTATATTTAATATCGTTCTAAGCTTAGATGTATAAGTAAGAAGTGTATGTTTCACATAAACAAGATGATAAGGGGAAAGTGAAGAGGATTTGTTTGGATATATTTTTTTCAAATCCATTAAATATTATTTTCTGTTTTTTTGCTCGTTTTACTACGAATTTCAAATTATATGAATATTGCTTTTAATTTTAAATTTATTTAAGATACTGTAAAGTGTTATTTTTCAAAACTATTTTAAAAATCGCTGTAACATATGTGGACGAGCGTATAAAGTGCATTTTTTCGCGAAGATCAGTAAAGTCATATTTTAGTCTTACCTAGAACCAAAAGTAAAAATTTAATTGGATTGAGCTGTGTTCAGAGCCAAAAATAAACATTGTTTCCTAAGGAAGATGCATTTAAAATAAATCGAGATATTCAGCTTAATGTTTAAAAATTGAAATTTCATTTAAATCTGAAAAAATCATTATTTAAAAAACGACCACAATTATGTTTACAATGTTTTTAATTTTGCCATTCTAAGCTGAAATTTTCGATGAATTTTATTAACTGCTTATAAATACGCTGACGCAACAAGAAATTGATTAAAATGCACCCTATTTAAAAAACTTTTTTGATATGGGCGTCGACGTTTTTTTGAGGATTATTACTCAACGGAAAAAAATTTGTATTTTTCACAAATACTTTCTTATTAACATATCAAAATACCAAAAATTAATTTTCTTGAATTCTTAATAATTCAATCACCTAACACGAAATTTATGGTTTAACGAAGTAAAAAATTTTATACCGAAGCTATTTTAAATATTTCAGTTCTGAAATGTCGATAAGGGGCCGTTCACTTATTACGTTACGCAAAAATCCGACTTTTTTCACAACCCCCTCCCCCCCAGTTACAACATGTTACAACTTCCACCCCCCCCCCCCCTGAACGTTCATAATTCAAATTTTTTTCGTGAACGTTTTTTTAAAAGATAGACGACAGCTAGAACGTTACATTCTTCTTGACCCCCCCCCCCCCCTATGTTACATTTTGTTACAATTTTTCAAACCCCTCCTCCCCCCTAAAATGCGAACGTAATAAGTGAACGGCCCCTAATCAGTTTTTATGACTTTTCAAATTTCTATTTCATTTGTGTTTCTTATCAAACAAACTCTCATCTGCAAAAATTCATCAATTTTAAAGTCAATAAATAAATTCAAACTTAATTATGTGAATTTAAGTATATTTCCGGATCAATCTATTTAGTATTTGGACCCAACTTGTAAAATTTCTTATCTTAAATAAAAGATTTGAATTAAAAATGAGCTTTGCCAATTTAAAAAAATTCCCCAAGAATTATACGTCAGTGATGCTTAATTAAAGTGATATTTTGAAGCACTTCGTTTTGTGAATTGAATTTTATGTCTAAAAGATGTGAAATTCTATTCTTTTTTAGAAAAAATAGTTTTGAAATCAGACACCTTTAGTATCATATAAGGAGAAAATTAAGAAATACATAGCGTCAGTCACGTATGATTCATTTACGACGAGGCCCATATACATAAATGTTCTTTTTCATTATTCACTCTAAAATTGTCATTATTTTGCTGGTTACAGTGAATAGGAATATTTCCTTGTTTTCTAGATGATAAATTAAATTAAAATAATTGTATTCCTTTAAAAAAAAATGATTGTTTTAGGAGGATGTGACACTAGAACGAATAGATATCAAGATTTGATTTCAAAAGAAGAATGTGTCGCTTCAATTATTTTTCACAACCAGAAAGCAAGAATATTAAATATCTTAATTAAATTATCTTTGTTTTTATCAATCAGTATCTATCACCATCAAGGGTACAAATTACAAAAGTCCTCGTGTTATTGATCGAGGAACTTCAGCGCATTTTTGATACAGAAATGTGTGACTGAAGTATGACGTCATGAAGTGTCCAATAACTTTGAAACTTTGCCAGAATTAAGTTCATATTACGTACAATTGCGTCCAACAAAAAAATGATTTTGCCCTACTTCCTGTGGCTGGATATAGCAGATTTTATTTTTGAGGATTATGCCGTCGTACTTCAGGTTTTAAAACGGCATCATTTCCAAATATACATTAAGACATAATTTGCAAGATATCCAAAATATCAATTTTGATGTATAATATGTCTAATAAAGTTGATATTTGGAAATGATGCCGTTTTAAAACCTGAAGTACGACGGCATTATTCTCAAAAATGGAACCTGCTATATCCAGCCACAGGAAGTAGGACACAATTATTTTTTTATTGGACGCAACTGAACGTAATATGGACTTAATTCTGGCAAAGTTTCAAAGTGATTGGACACTTCATGCCGTCATACTTCAGTCACACCCCTTTAGAAATCAAGTTTTCAAAAATGCGGGAAAAAGAGTGGAAAATATGGTTTAAAACAGAAATTTGTTCACCCCTTTTTCGTGTCTTTCGGCAATTCCATGAATTCTATTTTAAAAAATTCATCTTTGGAACAAATTTCTCTTAATTAAGGTATCTAAACGTTCCAAGGACTAGATATACTTATGGAAGACAGCAAATTCAATCGTTTTGTGGCTATTGCTTCTTTTAACATGCTTTAAATAACAATAGGGCCTCGTCACAAAAAAAAATGTACGTGAGTGACGCTTTCTTATTATTGATTATCTCCTTATCCTTAAAGGTGACAAATTTAAGAGTTACTTTTTTAAAAAGAGAATTAAAATCCCCATCTATTTTTGTACAATTCACTTCTTGAAACTTTATAGTTGCTTAAAAACCACTTTAACTAAGCGTCACTCACGTACAATTTTTGGGAATTTTGCTATATCTTCATTATTGCTTATTGATATATCTCCAAATGTATTTTTTTACGTCCTAAATTCAATTCTGTTCTTTTTGAGTTTATAAAAAATTTAAAATTGTTGCGATAACATAGGGATTTATTACGTAACGCGAAAAAATGACTTCTTAGACCCCCCCCCCCCCCCCCCCCCTCGTAACAAAATTTGTATGAAAAAAAAATTTCCTTGTTTGAACCGTAACAAAATCTTAGACCCCCCCTCCCCCTAAAAGCGTTACGTAATAAGTGAATGGCCCCATACCTAAATGGACAAAATTAAGTTAAATTTTTTTTAACGGTTTTAACTTTTTGAATTTTTTCGGTTGTAATTTGTTTGTTTACAAACAAAATCGAAAATGAAATTTGAAAAGTCACGAAAATATCACCCAATAATGATGTAAAAGCTATTAAAATAGTCAGAACAGCTAATTTATCATCTACTTTTCGTATTCAAATCATAATATTTGGGATTAATGATTGAATAATCAAGAATTTTGAGAATTTAATTTTTGATGTTTTGTATGATAGTGTTAGTGAAAAATTCAAATTATTTTTTTCCGTTTAGCAAAAGTTCTCAAAAAACGTCGAGGCTCAATATATTTATTAAGCGTTGCACTTGTACAGAATGTTGAATTCTGAACTTTATGCCAAAAATAATTCACTTTGCAAACATTTAGACATCTTTTGACTTTTGTTTTACAGTTCATTATTTCTTGTTTTATGATTCTGTATACCTAGTTTATCTTATAAAAGTCTCATTAAGTAATAAAATAAAGAATTTTAATACACTTTCTGGTACAAGTGCAACGCAAAATCGTAAAATTAAATATTTCAGGTTGGAGAAGAATTATACTCATTTTTGATGAATTCAACTCATCCATGGAATTGCTCTTATATTAATCATTTCAATTATTATTGTGTCGTTGCAACAAATCTAAGTGCATTTCTGCCAAAAGGGTTGTGCGTGTTCTTTGAAATGCTCATTAATATTCAAAAGCTCAGTCTTTACTTGAATGGAAATTGGAATGATATGATCTGATACGATAAAGTCATTAATTTTTTTTTTATTTAATTATTTCATTTTCATGTGGTTAATAAAAGCCTCAGTTACAATTATGCTCAATCAAATGATATCTCTATATTTATCTAAAATGCTGAGGTAGGCGTGAAGTACGGCCGAGACCCATATCGACACAGTTCAAAATTTATACCTAATTTATGTCATAATTATGTCAGCTACAAAAACACTTAGTTTGAATTTTGTCACCCTCAGGAACACTATGAACCAGTATAGCTGATTTTGGTCCAAATCTCGGCACTACTTCACACTTATTTGAACCATATTTTCTCGTAAATGTTAAAATATTATTAAAAAGTAATTAATCCTGAATTATGTCGCTATTTTGTCAAGTGTTTTAAGATAAAGAATTTGTTTTTTGGTTTTCACAGTGAAGACTATGAACAAAATTCAGATGGGGTAGTCGAAATTTTAGATTTCGATTTTTTTTAAGCTATGCATTACAAAAAGTAATATTGGTATGTGATTTATGTCAGAATTATGTCAATTCAAATAAAACATACTAAAATTTTTTTGAGCAGAGAACCAAGTAGGAAAAACATTTTCAATTTTGGACTAGGGGCGACCCTAGTCATCGACTAAATTGAAATTCTGAGCTTTCTATAGCTACATGCTGACAAAATATTACACAGAATCATAGTAAAGCATGTAAAGTTCAATTTAAATACTTGAAATCGGTGTTAAATGGATTTTTTCTATCAAAAAAATCAAAAGTTGAGTTAAGCCGAAAAAATCGGCTTCGATCTCTGATATTTCATTATTCAATCAATTATAAAAATGCAATTTCTTGACATAAAATCTTAAATATCTCGTCAATATCTATTCAATAAAACGAAAAAACAAATTTTTGGGTAACTCTGAAAAAAAAGATTTTTCTATGGAATTATGGGATTTAAAAAATTATCGACATTACACATGTAGATAAAAAAATTTACTAAAAATCGTCTGTTTTCTAATTAGCATAATGTCCAAAGGACGATATATCGAATTATATATTAAACTTATGTGGACGATTTTTATGTATTTTACAGTATTACATGAAATTTTCGTTTGCAAAAAAAGTGTTTGAAACCTTTATTGATTTTTATAAATCCACAGAACGAACATAAATTAAATATCGTGCATCAACATTCACTGTATAATAAATATGACATTGATGAAAATATCATGACATTAAAGAGCATGTAAAAACAAGAAAAGAAAAATTTCCATGACAGCCGTAATATCGATTTCTAGAAAAAAGATTTTTCAAATGTAAAGAGAAAAAAAAATCATCCAAGCGACAAGAAAGGCATTCTTTTTTATATAAATATCTACTCATAATTCTTCCTTCCCTTTATTCTCACTCTCTTATCATATCCAGTCAATAAAATGCATTTTCATATTAGTTATGGCACGTGGCTTCACATTGTTATTAGTCTTTATGACATAGTGGTACATGTTCAACCCTCCGTTAAATGGAGATTCTATGTTGTCGCCTATGCCATTAAGTATCCTAGCAATATACAATGATTAGCTTGCGATTGCTTTGAACAAAACATTGAATTTTCAACCTCTCATTGTATTAATATTGTTGAAATGAAAAATTAATATAGCGTTTAATGGATTTTTTTTTCTTTACAACTTTAAAGCTTCAATCAAAAACGGCTTTAATATTTTTCCTCTTTCCAGAATAAATTAATTTTTTTAAGGGGTAATGTTCGTTTCATTTTTATGCTTTGGTACCTCCATTCTTTTCATTCAAATCAATTTTCTTTTTCAAAATCCACTGCACGATTTAACAAAATAATATTTATGAACATTTATACTATTACAAATTCTGGTTTTTTTTATTTTAAGATGTTTTCAAATATTTTACCTAATATTATAAAGTATCGTAAACTATTTTATACTCATTACAGAGAACCACCAATTTTACAAGCGCACAATAATACTGACATCATTTTGAGATTGCCTATGGGTAAAAGAATTCGTGATATTCGATGGCTTTCTGTATGGTGTCGTCGATTTACGGTAAGTAAACAGTATCATGCAAAAATTAGATGAAATCCCTCAAGAAAACTTTAATAAAATGATACCTTTTATTTTTATTTTCCTTTTATTTTTCAACATCCCTTCCCCTTTTAATCAGATTATTAACGCAATATTGCCAAAATTATGAGATTTTCCACATTTCAGTAATTTTTCCGCTTCAAGCTTGTCCGATTTCTCATCTCCTTTTATTCATTTCTTGGATGATGCATCATTTTGCGCAAAAATTTTTGAATAAAAAAACTAAAGAGTTTAAAATATGCCTCAAATAGCTAATTTCATTGACAAACGTAACTTTTGTTGTAAGTTTTTATTATTGATGAAATATATCCGCTTGAGGTTATAAAATAATAAAAAAAGGCCAAAAATAAATCAACTTCACATAAAGATAACGAGAAAATGATAGACCACCTTATTTACAGAAATTATTTTAAACCAAATCATACAAGAACTTGTGTATAATTCAAAATTTTAATATTGTACTGTAGTTTTAAATACTTTGTATAATTATTCATTAAATCAATGAAATTGAATCAATCATAATGTGTGCCAATCGGTCTTCTCATATTTTTTTTAAAAATCATATAATATGCAGTGGTAAAATTCAACAATATAGAAAAATTTATGAAAAGAGAAGATTGTTATTACATTTTATTTGTGAACAAATAGAGGGAACATGCAATAGATGAAGCAATTTATTTCCAATATAAACACTTGATGATGATGTGCGAGTGCCGATCTGTAAATATTAAAGATTATACGAACTGAAATGAAAAAGATTTTCTAGTTAGCAAATATTTATCGCATTCACAAAAATAAATTACTTTTATTTTATCGATTTTTATTAGAATAATAATTTCACAAATATAAGCATTAGAAATTTCAATGTGAAATTTTTGAGTGACGCTATATTTTCTTGAATATCTCCGAAATCGCAATAGTGACAAATTTCAAAGTTATATTATCTTAAAGGAAAAATCATTTATTTTTGACATACAAAAACACTTTAATTAAGCGTTACTCACGAATAATTTTTTTTATATTCACACCGTTTTCACGTGTGAATCTATTGGTTTTGTTCAGTTTTTCGCATTTTGCGATGAAATGTAGCAAGATAGCTTAACATGTTCCAAAATGAAAAGTTTGTGCCTGAAATTTCACATTCTTTGCAAAAAACAGATTTCAAATTGGTTGCGGCATTGCTGAGAAAATCGCCAAATACTCATTCTGTAAGCAAACAAGCAAGCAAGCAAGTTAATCAGCAAGAAATCTCAATAACGAGACATCGTAGAGACTTCTAGTTTTTTACATTTAATCCGTGCTGCTCTATAGAAGAGCTGTATTGTTTTTGGGCAAGGTAGGAACAGCCGTTGCTTCAGAAAAAGCAAAAAACTTTCCTTTCTTACGAATTTTTCAAAAAAAAAAGTTTACTATGATTTTTATAAGATTCAACTTTTGGCGTTAAGCTTTAGACCTTCAAACTTATGCTAAGCGAAGCTCAGCTGACTCGCTAGCTTTATATCTCAAAACTTATGCTGAGCGAAGCTCAGTTAACTTATCAATCTTCATACCTAAATACTTGTGCTGAGCAAATCTTGGTCTATCCATAAGACTTTTGATGGTACGGTGTGAATATATCCACATTGTGTTTCTACCCGATACACTGGTTAAACTTTTGATAATGTTTTTTTTTTTAATGAACAACGAGTCATGAAAATATCACTAAATACAGAAATTGAGTTACTTTAATGCATAGAATAGTTTCAATGTCAGAAGTTTGAAAAGCGTTTTTTGCGTAACGTAATAAGTGAACGAGCCTTAGGTGCCCTGTCGTTATAATCTCAAGCACATTTTTTTCCTCTGTTGTATATAAAAAATAAAGAGAGATAGGAATTGATACGACATTTGAAGAAAAAATAATTCTAGAAATGAACATTTAAAAAAAATCGTAAAATTATGTTTGTACTAGCATTAAGCAACGTCCGTAACATGCAAATATACTGACTATAATAAATGTCTCAGTTAGCTATTGTGAATAAAAGTGGGGAGATATGAAATATAATTGAGCGAGATGGCATTATTTATACTTTAATTTATTGAAATGCGCAAAATCCAATACAAATGAAAAAGGAAAATTCTGCAAAGAGAATTCATGTCGTTTCATTTTATTTTCCCCTTTTTTGATTGTTTTACATATTTAGGTTGATTTTGGTGAAGTTTTCATCCCACCATTGCTAGATGTACCAAGACCAAGAGTATTACCAGAGTTTAAAAGATTAGCACATGGTCTTAGATCAAGTAATATAAGCGTATTAGATGCAAAGACGTTTTATATTCCCAACCTTCACTACGATGGAGCTGGGGTAAGTAAATACTAGAATTTCAAAATAAGTTTCCAATATTTTGATAAAAAACTTAAGTGTCAAAAAAATTATCTTTTTTATTATGAGCAGTTTTGTTATTTGAATTAAAAAAAAATTGTTTTTTTTTTAGCCTGACGCTTATTTCTGGGTAGGAAATGGCTCTCAACCAAACATTATGGGTAAGAAGATTAATCTTCTTCTAATTAATTTACAATTATTGAGTAAAAAGATTGAATATTATTTGATTAGGTTTTAATCTGTATGGTAATTAAAATTTTATGAATTTAATAGGAGTCAAAGTTCCAAATGAACTAGGAAGCTATGAAGTTTTGCGCGGCTATCAAGGTGAAGATATAGAGATACAACTGCCAGGAAATTTAACAGTTTATGATATTGACTGGTTGGCTGTATGGTGCGTAGAGTATCGACATAATTTTGGTCATGTTGTGATTCCAAAGGATTTAGATGTGCCTCCTGCTTTAGGACAAACGAAAATAACTGTAAGTGTAAATTTTATAATTTGTGGTTAATAAATATTATTCATGTCCTTACTTTGCAATGATTAACTTGAATACCTTTTTAATGCTTTCCAAAAAATTTAAAGCCTGAATGGTGGTATAATCCTGTAAGTTTAAGTTTATACTATTTGATTTGTTGACTTTGTAATTCCGAACATACAATGAGCATTCTCAGAGCTTGATTTTAGTATTCTCAAGAGTATACTTATTAAATTTACTCACGTGAGCTCATAAAATTTTTGTAAAAAATTAAATTTGTTTTTTTCATGTCATTAATAGACGACAACAACTACTCAGAGGCCAAAGGCGAAGAACTGTAAAGAAATAATCGATGGAAAGCTTCAAGTGCAGTGGGAGATACAAGGAGATTCTGTAGTAATTGAACTGTATGGTAGAATAACAGAAGATCAATATATGGCCTTTGGCCTATCTGGAGCTAATGGTCGATCACAAATGGTAAATGGTGATGTGGTTGTAGCATTTTACGACAGGAGCCAATTAAGATTTCGAGTTGAGGATTATTATATATCCCATTTATCACAATGTGACGGCAAACAAGGCGTTTGTCCTGACGAAAGAATTGGTGGAAGAAACGATGCAGTTTATAGTAAAAAATTGAACAAAAAAATTAAGTTTATTATTTTGCTAAATGTTATCCTTTTTTCAGTACATGGGGATAGAAAAAATGGAGTAACGTATATAAAATACCGACGTTTTCTTCAGACAAATGAACCCGTCAATGACCAAGCAATCCCAATAGATCGTGAAGTTAATGTAATTGCAGCAATTGGGCCACTTAATTCTCGAAAAGAAGCGAATTCTCACTCTCACACTGGTGATGAGCACACAGTTGATGACATTAAAATAGATTTTTCATCAAAAAATGAGCATTCATGTATGTCGTCATTATATGATAGAAAAGATGAAAATATTGTAAAGCCTTGGCCATCAAGAACAATAATTAGTGAAAATACGATAACTGCAAAAATTGGACCTACTGGAGGCAAGAAGGGTTATACAGCGATTACTGGTATGTGATTTGAATATTAATCCATTTTTGTCCTGATTTTTGTTTAATAATTTTCATAAGTTAATATATATTTTTGTGATTATTATAGGTTATCCTTCTTGGGGAATCGCATGGTATTTAAATGACTTGTTAATCCCAGAAGTTTATGTAGAGAGAGGCCAAACATACACCTTCCTTATAGAAGGTGGAAACGATGAAACACAACCAGCAAGGTAAAAAAAATCCTCAATCTAGTCTACATTAAATCTAATTTATTATTTTGATGTAAACAGATATCATCCTTTCTATATAAGCGATTCAGATGAAGGTGGTTATGGTCAAAAATCACAACTTAAACAATCACGTCAGACAGTTTACGCTGGTGTTAAATTTGAAGATGATGGCTATCCAAAGCCTACAGGTGAAATTATGTTCCGTTATATATGTAGAAAAATTGAGTTGACTCAAAAAAAACCCGAGTCGACTTAGAGGTCTGCTTTTTCGGTTTATTCTGAATCATGCAGAAGATAAAGTTTTGAAAACAAAGTTTGTTGTGCTTACTAAGAAGAATATTAATTTATTATTTAACAGCTGCAGGACGATATTGTGAATGGCAACACATCACAATCGACAAATCAAATGACATTGAAACATTCGAAGAATATAAAAAGACCTTGAAATTAGAATGTGAGCCGGGAGAACCAGCTGTTCTTAATTGGACGGTCTCTTTTGACACACCAAATTTGGTTTATTACCAGGTATATTGTTATTTTATTATTGTGGCACAAAAGAAGACAAAAAAATATATAGTTTTGTTTCCTCATTTTTTATTAATTGTTTTCGAAAAGAGAGCTTAATAATTCACTTTGTTCGTTCGTTCGTTCGGGATGACAAAAACTATTTAACCAGACATCGTAGAGAATTTGGGATTGCTTTTTAGCTTCGTTACTATCGATTTATCGGCGAATCTAATAGTTAAAAGTCATAAAACAGTGTGTAAATACTATAATTAATGATTTTTTTAATTTCAATACAGCCCAACCTGTCGAAATTTTTCTTCATAGAGTGTAACTGGTTCAAATTTTTCGACCACCTCTATAAGGGCAATTCCAAGGATGAGTTAAATTCATCAAAAATGAATTGTAGTTCTTCTCGAACTTGAAATATTAAATTATTTATTAAGTTAAATGAACACTTTATAAAAACCAGATTGAACACATTTCTTTTGACTACATTTTCATAATAAACCTTCTAAACAAAGAATATGTTGTTAATCAAGGGTAATTCCATAGAAATATTTTTCTTCTGTAATTAACAACCATTTCTCTGCTTAGAATATTGTTTATATAAATATGGACGATACTGTAGTTGTTGAATTAGTTTTCATAAAAAAACATACCATCAAGTTTAAGAAGAATTACATTTGAAGAATTTTTGATAAATTTCACTCAATTTTTTTTCGAAAAATCTATGGAGTTACCCTTAAAATAAAAAAAATATTGATTCCATTTTAAACAGTCAAATTTTAAAGGAAAATTCCAAAAAATTGCAAACTGGCTGGAGTCTGAATCTAATGATAAAATTTTCTTCACTCTTTCTTACAGTGCTACACTCATAATAACCTTGGATGGAAAATACACGTAGTCGATCCAGGCACAACATTACACAGAAATGGAGTTAATATTATATATTTAAATATATCATTATTACTGATACTAAATCTAATTGCCATTCATTATGCTAACGCCATAAGATGTAACTTATAGTTGATAAATAAATTTTTCATATTAACCTTCAAATAGCATAACTTTTCCAAATACATTACAGAAGGTAAAAACTAGATAATTTTAAATTTTTAAAAGCTTTCATTTTTCTTGAAAGCACAAAATATTCAGTCGGAGAAAAAGAGAAAAACTTTAGAATGAGACCATTAACTTTTCTCAAAAATAATATCAAAATTTCAAAAAAGAACATTTTGAAGTTTTTAACCTTGCGATATCTACGAAAAACATATCTGTGCGAATGTTGTGTCTGCTAGATTCGTGTGGGTGAGTACTTTAGTTTTTAAGGCTATTTCGATCAAAAGCAACGATGCCATTTGGATAAAGTTACAACTTTTTCCCCTCATATTATTAAATGTACGAAAAATTATTGTGGAAACGAGCAAAAAGTTATGATACAAAATTTCAATTCTGAAAAGTAAGATAACTAATGTTTTACAGCAGCTTTTCAAAAATTTCCCCTTCGTACATGAAACATGAGCAAGCAGCAAAGTTGTAAAAGAAAAAAATGACGTGAAGACAATAAGAAAACAAAAATAATTTTGGAAATCACTGACAATAATCTTTTAAAAATAAATTAAAATTAATGAACAAAAAAATATGTCAATTTTTTGATAACAATTATGAATTATAAAAAATTAATGAAACCAATTTTTTGCGTATGAAACAAACCTAAACGTAATTTTCAATTGAAAAAATTTATTTTCTCATTAGTGTTTCTTTTAAAATATAAAATAATAAAAAAAAATTATAATAAACGAACAAAAGCTGTATTGAAAAGTTGACAATAAAAAACTAGAATATACATAAATGAAGAAACTTGTGAGAATGAAATATGTGAGTGACAATATAAGTTAGAGCATAAGTTATGATTGCTTACTACTAACAAATTACATAAGAATAATCAAGAGTATTTATGGTTATATTTTATTTAATTTTCTGTAATTGAATTTTTTGTCCTTAAAGAAAATGACTGAATTCACTAAAATCTCTTATTTACTTCTACAATATAGAACTTTTAGTAACACATTATTTTTCACAAACTTGTAAAATAGCTTAAAATGGAGAAAAAGAATCATATAAGTTCACATACAACTGGGCCTCGACGATTTTTCAAGATTTTTTACTAATCGGAAAAAAAAATAATTTAATTTTTCTCTGCACTATCTTAAAACACATTCAAAACATCAAAACTTCATTTCTTAAAACATCTTAATAATTCAATTGCTTAATACGAATTTTTTTGGTTTAAACAAGTAAAAGATTTAATATTAAAGCAATTTTCAACACAACAAATTAAAACCAAAAAAATTTAAAACCATGGAAAAATTTTAATTTAATTTATGTTTCCTGGACATTTTGTTAAGTTTTTGAAAGCAAAACAAAAGAGAGTAAAATTTCTGATAAAAAAATACATTTAAAGAAATATAAATGAAAACTGACAAAGTTGTAGAAAAATTCTCAAGAATTTTTCGTGATTGACGCTTAATAAAAGTGATTTTCTAAAACAATTTCTTAACATTAGGAAGTGAGTTATATGTCAAAAGATGGGAACAAGATATAAAAAATACTTTTTTTAAAACCACGTTCTCTTGTGAACTGAAAGGTAGAAAATAATTTTATTCTTAGATTCAAAGGATATTGTTTTGAAAATTTCAAATTAAATTGAAAGTTTAATACTAGAGACCTCGACAATCAAACAGATAAGAAAGCAAGTTAAGAAAAACTTGGTAACGTGGTTGTTAATTTTGAAAATTTTACTAGTGTGGTTTCGGAGATATATAAACCAAAGGGGCCGTTCAATTATGACGTCCGAAATTAACGGTCATTTTTCAAAAACAAACAATGGATTTCCAGGAATTTCTATTGTTCTTTTCTGTCTGATCCCCCCCCCCCCCCCCCCCTGGACGTCATTAGTGGGGCCGTTGAGTCTCACTCACGAATAATATTTTTTTTCGTCCTGGTCCAGTAAAATTTGTAAGCATTTAAACCTGACTGCAAAATTTCAAAAATTTTAAAGTCGTTCAATCCACGCAAAAGCGTGTACCCTGTTTGTCGTTATAAGCTAGTAGCTTAGTAAAAAAAAAGTGATTTTTTTTGCCACTTTTGTAAAGAGGGCTAGTCGAAAACAACAAAAATTAAATTCAACAGTTAATTTAAAAGTTTTTGAAAAGAGATTTTAGTGCAAAATTTGTTGTTTTAAAATTTTTTCTATTTCGTTTTGTTTCGGTACAATATTTAAAAACCGTTAAAAGATTTTTTGTTAACTATGTTGTGGTAAGATTTTGGGGATATTTAAAACAATTTTGATATAAAAAGATGCACAAACGCATGAATAATTGATCTAAATATTTGTTGTAATTCATTCATGTAAACTGAAAGAATTTTTTTGTCGAACTTTGATTAATTAAGATTTTTTCTGGTAACAGGATGTTAAGGATAATATTTTTTGTTCAAATAAAAGTCTTGGGGAGTTCTATTATTCCCCATCCCTTTTTTTTTTGTGTCTTTAGTAGTTGAAGAGGAAAATTGCAAAAACTAAGGTCGCTGACGCTGAATTGATTTTCGACGACCCCTAATTTCCCAAGTATGTTTCAGGACCAATTTATTAATAATTTTTTGAACACAATCATAACAATATGGGGTAAAATCGAATTTGTATGCCAAATTTCAGGTCATTTGTAAAGAATTTTTTTCAAATTAATAATATAAAAGCCTTCATTTGCCTTTCTTTCTTTCTGTTCTTAATTTTTTCAACTGGATCCTATTGAAACTTAATATATTGGTATTAAAATCTTTCTATCATTTTTCGAGAATCCATAAAAAATTACTAAACTTGCGTTACTGTATCAAGAACTAGAAATCGCAATAACATTAAAAAAAATTTATTGGTCCAGGATTACATCAAGCTTCTCAAAAACTATAAAGTGTTTATTCAAAAAGTTATTTTTATGGAAATTTTATAAAAGATTTTTTTTAATAAAAGTTAAATTAAATGATATATAAATTCATATTGTGTTTAAAAACAACCCGTTCATGCTTGACAGGGTACTACACTAGTATATATATTTGAGGCTCGTTCAAAAAACTCAAAATGAAGTATTAAAAGTTTATAAAACTCATCTTGACAATAATTTGATGTTATTAATAAGGTACTAAATACCCAATGAGTTGCTCGGAACTTTTACTGATTCTAACATTTCTTTTTATACTTTTAAATCTTTTAGAACGGAACAAAGTTTTAGATAAAACTACGTGCAACATATTGAAACTATTAATTATAAATTTTGGTTGATAATGAAATTAAATTAAATAAAAAGTAAAGTCAGGAAAAATAGCTTTACGCTAAGCAATCTTCCCTTGCGAAAGATATTGTTTTGTTACTTTTAAAAATAAGAATTTTTTTTCAATTTTTTGAAATATTTTCCAAAACTGAAAGTTTATACTTATTTTTGTTTATCGATAAAATTTATTGATTTCTTTAAAAAATGTTTTAGATTCGCTCAATATATATATATATATGTAGATGTGCTCATACAAAGCATACTCGACCATACATAATTTTGTTATCTCATTATAATTTCAGGTCAAATTTAAAAAATTTAATGAACAATAAAGCATTTACAATGTTCTTGTAATCATAAAACTCTACAGAAGATAAAAATATGAAAAACAAAAATTGACAACTTTTTTTTACTAGTGATAATAAATTCAAAATTGAGCACATCTATATATCTTGCAGTCGTTAATGACTAAAAGTATAAATATATTTCAAGAAATTTTTTTTCTTATGCCTATTACAAAAATGTAATAGAAAACTAATGTTAAAAGTTGTAAATGATTAATTATGATGTTGGCGTTAAACATCATAATTTTAGCCCAAGAAACTCATTCATATGGCTGAAATTTTTTAAAACAATTAAATTGATGGTGTAATAATGACATAAAGAATATTGTTCTCTAAAATAATTGAAAAACCTCTCTAAACCTTTCAATTCTAGTTTTCTTCCATTTATATGTAAAATTTAAAATTAAAAAATTACAAGCTTTATGATTAAAACAGTATAAACTACTAAATTAATTTTTTATTCCTTACACGTGTTGAAATTAAACTATAAAAATGACTAATATGAAAATTTAAGCTTTTTAGCTTTTATAGCTTATGCATCGAGAATTCACAAAACCACGTAAGAAAATTACTTAAATATTTCACATTTTACATCTTTGAATGAAACATAATCTGTACCTTAATCAATTAATAATCTTACAAATTCTATTCTATAGATAATTATTAAATTAAAATTTTTTTTTATTTTTCAAAAAATTAAAATCGTTTTTCATTAAAAAGTTTCTACGAATGCATTCTACAAAAAAATCCTTCATGCGACAATTGATTAGAAAATAAATTAAAACAAAATTGCATTGTAGAAATTTATTCAAGGTAATATTTTAAGTTGTTTTGTTGTCTTGAATTCTTATTGAGTTGATTAAAATATAAAAATGCAATAATTTTAAGAAATTGATATCTATTGGTGGTTATATTTCAATTGCAATGGGTTTTATTAGATTTTTAACTTTATTTAATTAACAATTTAAATCATTATATGACTCAGCGAAATCAATAGTAATGCTAAAATTCGAATTGACAATTTAAATAAAAAGCATTGTGTATTTAAAACCACAGAAATACGAAAAATAATGTAAAACAATTGTACATGACAATAAATAAAATCTTATCAGTGACAATAATATAAATGGCACAAAACATGTAACTCTCCATTATCATCATTAATTATGCTATAACAATTTTCTAAAAATGAATTTAAATAAAGAAATGACTTAAATTAAAAAAAATATTGTTTTTACTTTTAAAATGTCTATTTAATGAAAATATCGAGGTAAGTTTTTTGGTTTGTATCCAGGGTTTGGGGAACCTGTTAACAGAAAACAGAAAAACAGCTGTTTTTCGACAAAAATCTGTTAACAGAAAACAAGTCTCAAAAACAGATCTGTTTTCTGTTTTTCATTTTTACATATAATTTTCAGAAAAAAAAAATTCTTAATTTTTTGAAGAACTTAATGTAGTTTTCTAGAATTCCAAATTGAAATGTATTTACTATTTTAAATTTTTTTGGATGTTTATTAGGTTTGAAATCATTATCAATTTTATGATTAATCATTACTAATTTTGCAATCGAAATTTTGAATTTGTTGAACCTTTTGTAGCATTTACTAAAGTTCAAAAATACACTGGTGGAAATTGAAATGAGACACCCATGTTTGAAAGTCTTACAAATGAAAGATTAAGCCTTACTTGTTGCATATCATTGGAAAGAACTTTAAAAAATAACTTAAGTACAGGAACAATGTACTGTGTGAAAATGTAGCAGTTTAAAGTTATTTACAAAATATGATTTTTGAGGTGGAAATTGAAATGAGACACTTTAGAAAAATTTACAAAAATCTTCCTCAATTTTGACTTTGACTATACATATTGTATATAGACTTGTTAATTTTTACTTTTTTAACAATACTAGAGCATTCTAAAATTTTTTGGAACTTCCAGTTATCCAATATCCTCAAGAAAAAGTAGTAAAAGCCAAGTTTTTTGTTTTCATCAAATATTTTTATGAATAATCATCTATTAATAACAAATGAAATCAAAATATGTAGATTTTTAAATGCTCTTTCAGATAAAGAATTGATATTTACCTCTACATAAGCTTAAATGACAAAATAAATAATTTAATTATACTTGGTTTTAGTTTTTTTGTAACGGTCATAATTTTTGATAGCATAATATCCTAAACATAGTGCATGATTCTCTAAATTTAATAAACATACGTTTTATGTGCATAAAATATTAATAAATGACAAAAATAAGAAAATTTTAACGGAATTTTTCGATTTGAAGTTTTGCACTAATAATGTGAAAAATTTATGGAATTTGATATTTTGGGATTTCATCATGAATTAAATGTTAATCCTAGCGTTCATGGATGGAGATAAAAAATATATGGAATTGAAAACTAATAGTAAAAACAATGCACACAGTGTCCTGAAAACTTAAGATTTTTTTGATTGATCAAAATAAGAGAAAAATTAGTTTTTTCATATCCGTACTCACTCGTAACAAGCATTTTAATTATTTTTTGTCATTTAAGCTTATGTAGAGGTAAATATCAATTCTTTATCTGAAAGAGCATTTAAAAATCTACATATTTTGATTTCATTTGTTATTAATAGATGATTATTCATAAAAATATTTGATGAAAACAAAAAACTTGGCTTTTACTACTTTCTCTTGAGGATATTGGATAACTGGAAGTTCCAAAAAATTTTAGAATGCTCTAGTATTGTTAAGAAAATAAAAATCTACAAGTATATATACAATATGTATAGTCAAAGTCAAAATTGAGGAAGATTTTTGTAAATTTTTCTAAAGTGTCTCATTTCCACCTCAAAAATCATATTTTGTAAATAACTTTAAACTGCTACATTTTCAGTCAGTACATTGTTCCTGTACTTAAGTTATTTTTTAAAGTCCTTGATGATATACAACAAGGCTTAATCTTTCATTTGTAAGACTTTCACATAAAAAACATGGGTGTCTCATTTCAATTTCCACCAGTGTATAATCAACAATTTTGCAAGATATTTTTTTATTCAGAAAGATTTTTCTGAATATTTCAAATAAAATATTAGAGTTTATGGAACTTTTGCAATGCAACAATGCAATGTTTCTTAAAAGCATAATTTTTTTTTTGAATTTTTATATTACATTATATTTTATAGAGTTAATTAACGAAAAATTAAGAAATAATAATGCTTAGCTCTATAATGTATGCTTAACTGCTTATAACCACCAAAAAGTTTCATTATCTTAGAGAAACACTTAGGATAACTCAGTTTATTTTGAATTCTAGAAAAACAGGAAAACAACTGTTTTTAAAAATCAAAAACCGAAAACAGACTGTTTTTCAAAAACAGCTGTTTTCCACAAACACTATTTGTATCCAGGGGTTGACACGATTTCATACAATTTTTTTATAAATAGATTTTTTTTTTCATTTAAAAGCGTACATACGCATTTTATTGGATTGTAATTAATTATAAAATAATACAAAAATCAAAAATTCATAAGATATTCAAAGAATATAACTCAATAAGATGGGACTTTTGAGAGATTATTACAAAATTTCATTAGAAATTAAAGCATTCCTAATGTTGTTTGTATCTCTGCCATTCGAAATGATATTATTTCGGTAAAAATTACGACTGATTACGTTTAGATATCTTTCATCTGCCTGTGCTATTGTTGACTGCCTACACCAGATTGATTTGTCAAATAGAAACAACCCACATCCTTCAATCTTACGTTCCTATTGCCTGTGCTTTCAAGCATCGATTGTAAGTTACTTATCCCATTTTGGTTGTATGTGGATATATAAGTTTCGTCATCCAACATTTTCGTTGCTAACTTGTTATTAAGTAAAATCCCATCAACCAAGTCCAATACACCATTTGTGTCACATTCAACTAGGATCTCCATAATTCGCTCTGACGGGAAGAACTTATTATATCGTAACGATGAACTCATCTTGAATATGCTGGACGGGAGATCAATCGACGAGTCATCAAGAACTGCATGTCGTACTTCTAATTCCTTCTTTGCTGGATTCACATTCAAGATTATCCCATCGATAGTAAATTCCTTGAAGTTCCATAGAAATTGTGTAAACTCACTGCTATTTTTACAGCCAATAATCCAACTACTACAGTTATTAGCATTCTCTACTAGGCGCTTATGAATGAAGAAAATGAAATTTAAATTTCCATGAGATCTCAGATAAGATACAATCTTTTGAATGGATAACACATGAAAAACATGATGAAAGAAGATGCAATCTGAATATAAAAAGATAAAAGAAGATGCAACCCCTGGGTTTGTTTTTCATTTTATTTGTAAGTAACCAAGTAAGTGTGTTACAAAATTAAATCATATTTGGCTGCATGTTGCAATTTGTTTTTATTAATTGTTGATAATTATTATTACCATCACAATATATCTCAAAGTAATATCCTTTAATCTTAAATTTAAATAGGTTGAGTGAAAATTTGATCTAAACTGTCTGCTCGAGAGAATTGTAAAATCCTAGCCCTCTAATGAAATAGTTTGACGAATGACATAATTTTGTCTCTTTCTCGTCAAAAATTGTGTACTATTTTTAAGCATTTTTGACATGATTTTAAAAAGCTCTTGAAATAGGCAATTAAATTACTTCTTACTGTGCCATTTGAACCGAAAAATTAATATTTCCATGAAATTTTTTATTCAAACTACTAAAATTATTGTTTGGCTGATGAATTGGTTAGTAAAAATTATGCGCTACACACTGAGCTAGCGTACATAATATAGATTTAAGAATTATTAATATTAATAAATTGAAATTGAATTGAAAAAACTTTTCAATAAATGTTTGGACAAAAATTTCGTGGAAATTATTTTTAATCAAGAATTTTTGAAAAATCTGGAAAAATCCTTTGAATATTTGAATAAAAGTTGAAAATTTTTTGTTCAACTTGAATATGTAAGAAATTTGAATGAAAAATAATTTCTTTTTGTTCAGTTTACATTTCAAATTACATTTCTTATCCTCGAGAAATCGTCCAAAATATCCAAATATTTCCTGAATTAGAGTGACGTGATAGCTTTTAATTATACAGCATTATAGGATTTATAAAGTTGTACAATATTTAATTATCTTCTGTGTCTCTAATGATTATTAGTGAAATTTGTTTTCTCAACTCAATTTTTTGAAAATATTTATACATAATCCTTTGGTTAAATGTGTCTAAAAAATTAAAACATACATTGTAGTGTTATTAATCAATAAGAAAAACACGTGAAATCGCCTATTCTTTAAAACAAAATCTCATTTGTATGTCTTTCTACTGTATTTAAGGAAAAAAATGATCAATTGATTATTGCAAAACACATTACATATTTTAGCTAGATACAGTATAATTACTGATAACACATTCAATGATGAATAATAAGTCTCAATTAGTCGAAAGAAGTGTTGTAATGTGTATACTAGATGAAAATGCTTAAAAAGTTTTTGAAATAAAAAGTTTTATTTCTATTTACTCTAGAATCACCATAATTTTAAAAAAATTTGGTAAAAAAATACATTTTAATGACAGATTTTTGAAAAACTCATCCAAAAAATCGCTAATCAGTTAAACCTAATATACTAATCTGACATAACATAGTGAATGAAAGAATTTTTTTGCTATACATGATCTGCTGCAGAAACAGTTGTTATTTAATAGGATTCTTAAGGAATGTTACTCCGTTGACTAGGATGTACATATGAATAATGGCCTGTTGTTTTGTTTTGATTTCAGTTGTTTCGATTCTTTGATTTTATTTTCCATTTCTCTATTATTTCTTGTCTGGTTTAATAACCTGTGAAAATCGCTGTATGTTTTTTATGCCTAATGGAATCAAAAGCCTTTGAAAGATCAATATATGTCAGAGCTAAGGCTTTCTATTGTCAAAGTTTTTTTTTACTTTACAAGTATAAGTCTTAATTTGATTTATTTAACAGACGAATCTAATAATCAAATGAAAATAGATACTACACATCGAAAAGATGTAAACAGTGCATTTTCTTTTTAGGTAGTTCTCATTTTTCTAGTTTTCTCAAAAAATTTCATGAAAAATTTTCATTTTATGCTCGAAGAGTTTTCAGTCTGAAATCTCGTTTCGTGTGCTCAAAACGTAAAAACAAACAGTCGCGCAGCTTAAGGAAAAGATTTAATCTTCATCTTCTTCCCAAATAGAATATTAATAAGGAGGAAATTGTAAGCGAAAATTGGTTTTTTCTTAAATTTTTTTTTATAGAAAAACTATTCGACTTATAGATTTTATCTGATAAAATTTGAATGTCAAATAAAATGGACATTATAAAGTCAAAACTGATAAAATCTGTGGTTACATAACTTGAAAATGAATTTTTGAAGAAATAATAAATAGATTTAAAGATTAAACATCAATATATATTATACGTTTATATATATCATTAAATCGAGCGAGTAAAAAAAGAAAATATTATTTTTTATATTTGAATCTTCTTTTTCTAAAAAATTTCTTTTTGAAAAATAAATATTTTAAGAAAAAAAGGGAACCGAGTGAGAAAATTAATTTTTTTTTGTATTTTTTTTCTTATTTTTCTATTTGAAGATTTAAAAAGAACTCGCAAAAATTTGAATGCGCCTTCGTATGTATTCATTTACAATAATTTTCTTTTTTTTTTGAACAAATTAAAAATAAGTTTGAAGAGCGTAAACATTTTTGTATTTGAAATGTATGAGAATTTGTGGGAGAAAAATTGAGTATTTTTAAAGAGAAAAAAATGCATGAAAAAATGCCTTTTACGTTACGAGCATTGAAAGTTTTCTTTTCTTAAATTCATTACGGCTATTTATTACCTTAAATTATTCGTCATCTCATTTTCATGTCAACGTACGAAGCTGGTTCCATTCCAAAATTATCTAGCATAGCTTTGCAGCAACGCATTTACTATTATCCTTAATGATATTAGTATTCAAGTGACAGATAGATCAGGCACCCTACCAAAAATTAAAGGTCTTCTTTTTGAAGGCATAAGTTCGATACCCTTGGTTAGACCTTATATTTATATGTATGTTTCACAAATGTTTCATAATCATGAAAGATTCATAATTATGTCATTGGATAATTTGTTTAAGATCGTAGATTATTACTGTCGGTGGGAGATAATTTCAAATAAAAAATTTTAAAATTAATTCGTTACTTATTTCGAACATATTAAGAGATATTTTTAGAGATTGTCATATGATGCATCACAAAAACTTTGTTTGGTTTATATAAAATTTCATTACACAATAAATACATTTTCGCCAAAAAAAAATCATGATGTCAAATATTAAATTGAGTGTCATACATTACATTCCTAAATGTGCATTATTCTGTCACACTATTTTTTTGGCAAAACTTTTACTTTTTTGAAAAAATTTCTAATTGTAAACTATTACAAACAAAATAACTTTGCATTTAACAATTTACTAAATCAGATGAAAAATTCGTTTGACTTAAAAAATTATTATTTTTTTTTTTTTTGGAAAATTCAATTCAATTTATGTAACACCAACAAATATATGTTAAAATTTTTAAAACAAATATGTAACTACTAAATTAATTTGTGCTTAGCAAAACAAAGATGGGGAAAAAAGGGAAAAATAAAAATCAAACTCCAAATGTACACCAAACTACATTGTCACCAGAATATGAAAACATTGAAAAAGAGGAAAAAATTCAAGAAACTGTTGCAGAAATACCTAAAGTTGAACAAATACAGAAAGACACTAAAGCAGCTGAAATTTTAACAGAAGATGTTCTTGAATCAAAAGATGCAACATTGAAGTCAAAGAAAAAACGTAATCGCAAAAAGAAAAGTAAGTTTATTTATTTAAAAAAAGGTTTATTGATTACAGTCAGAAATGTCTCAAGTAACCATAAGTCGACAAATGAAAGATACACTATAATCTTTTGTGTATGTTTGATATGTAAATCGTATTTACCATAAATAGGATATTATGATAATATCGATGATTTTAAGTTGATTTTTTTTTTATCAATTTTGATTCCTTTAACGTCGATTATTATTTTTTTGACCTCTATATCTCCCTAAAATTATATGGTTACGTGAGGTACAAAAAGGATGTAAATAATTTATAAATTTCCTTTTTATATGTAGATACAGCAACAGAAATAAATGTTGAAGAATCAACCGAAGAAAATGCTGAAAACGTTAATCAAAAAGAGAAAGATTTGCAAACTCCAGATCAAGTGAAATCTGAGGCCATTGAAGAAAAACCATCTGCTGAGCCATCAGATGATACATTAAAGAAAAAACGCCACAGAAATAGAAAGAAAAATAATAGAAATGTAGGTGATGTTCAAGAAGAAATCAATGAAGAAATATCAAAAAATGAAAACTCCGGTGAAATTATCAGTGAAAAATCTGGAGATGATCCTGCATCTTCACATCAAAACACCTTGAAACGAAAAAGAAACAGAAATAAAAATAAAACTACAGTTAATAAGGAGCAAAATGAAGCAATTGTTGAAGTTGTTGAAAAACTATTAGAAAACGAGCAACCACAAAACATTGAAGCAAAATCTGAGCATAAAGAAAAACCCGAACCACAAAGAAGAGGTAAAAAACAAAAACGATCTGATTTAAGCTCAAAGAAAACTATATTAGATGAGTTACAAGATCGACAAGAACGTGAACAAAAAGAAGCCAGAGATCACATTAAAAACGAAATAGCAAAACGTGAGAAATTATTAGAAACTATTGATTTGGTATTAGATTGCCATAAAACTGAAGCTGAGTTAGCAAAGAATCAACAAGAATCATTAAAAGATGTTATGTTGTTAAGTCAAGAAGCAGCAAAGCCTCGTCCTCAGCCATTACCTTTGAAAAGTCCTAAGCAGTCATCAAGTAAGAAATCAACACCAGTTGAAGACGAATTGGTAAATAAAATAGAACAAGTTTTAGGAATGACAAAGCTTGAAATTCAAAATGCTCAAACTCAAAAAGCTTACGTTAGTCGACTTGAAGCAGAAGTTGCAAAAGTTAAACAAAGTAAAGACATTTTACTAGGAGGACAATCTAGTTCCGCCGTTCCACCACACATCCAGAAGATGGCAAAAGAAATGAGAGATCTTACTAAAGGTGAAGTCCCAAAAAATAAGGAAGAACTGATTAAAGAAATCGAATCACGAGATGTACTAATGTCAGAAATCAATAGAGTTCTAGACAATACTAAGAGTGAAATTGATAAAGTTCAAAAGCAACAGAAAATAATTCAAAATCTTGAAGTTGAATTGAATAAAATGAAAGATCAGGAAATAGTTGAAAAACTAATGGTACTCGCTGAAGATGAAGAACCAAAAGAACCACCTCCGCCACCTAAGCAATCACCTGCAACAGCTTCACTTTTGGATGCTCTAATGGCAAATGTTGGAAAATTAAAAGAAATACAAGCAATGAAAGAAAAACAGAAAGCTGAACAGTCAGCAGTTGAAATTTCTGGAGAGTCAATTACTAACGTAACTTCTGATTGCATCCAAAAACATGTTGAATTACACGATATAGACACAAAAGTTGAAAAAAAGGATGAAACATTAACTTTTGACCAAAACCAAAAAGAAAAATCACAAAAAAAAGATGCAAAAAGGATTAATAATGAGAAAAAACAGGCATCGCTTGAGAATTCACCAAAAGAGCAAAGAAAACACCCAAAAGATCAAAAGCAGCAACCACAAAAGGTACACGAAACAATTTCTAAAGCTGAGGAAATGATAAACTCTGAAAATAAAAAGGAGGAAATTTCGGCAAAAATTGAATTCTTAAAAGGATGTGGCTCAGTTGAAGTAAAAAAAGAGAGTATGCTTGAAGTTTCTGGAAATAAAAATTTAATGATTGTACCCGAATGTAAATCAAAAACTGATGATATAAAATTAGAACCTGTTAACTCAGAAAAAAAAGAGCAAAAGAAAAGGGACCACAACAAAGATAAGGAAACAAGTGAAAAAGAAATCAAGAAGTTTGAGAAAAAAATAACAACAGAGACAAATTTGACTCGTGAAAAAACTACTTCAAACCAAGAAAATAATAAAGATCAGAAATCTGAAGATAAAAAAATTGTTTTGTCTGATCAAGAAAAGACTAAACGACCTGATTTGGAGAAAAACGCAAAAGATGTCAAGCATGTTATGCCAGTTGAAGATAAAGCAACTTCATTATCTGAGTCACAAGAGATTATTAAAAACGAAAATAACAATGATTTAAATCAGAAAGGGAATAATCAGAAAAAAAACGATAAAGAACACAAAACGTCACCTAAAAGTTCCAACAAAAATAAGAAACATGTGTTGAAAGGGATTCCTGAAGTTATTGTTCCGATTTCAATTACTGCTCAAAAGCCTAGCATGGCAGAAATGTTAAAAAATGCACCTGACCCGCCACCAGATGAAATTAATGAAGAACAAAATGTGGAGTTAAAAATTGAAGCAGCTCCATTAGCCAAACCTGAATCTTTAATAATCGAAATTAACCCATCTGAACAAATTAAAGAATTAATGCAGTCAACAATGTTGGAGACTACTGAAGAAAAACAATTTAAAGATGTTTCAAAAGAATTATCTGTTGATGATAATAAAATTAAAATTGGATCTGAAATACAAGATGATGAAATAGTAATTGTCAACAAAGTGGAAGTTGAAGCAGAAATGACGGAACAAAAAGTAAATGAACAAGAATCGACCGATCCAAAAAACGTGCAAAGAGGCGGTTTTGTGTCTCATGCTGAAACAAAAGATACAAAGCCGCTGAAGAAAGATGAAAATCAACATGCAAATAAGAACAAGTCACACGTAAAAATGCCGACGAGATCAAATCTACAAAAAGAAAAAACAGAAGGAAAAGCTACACAAAATAAAACAGTTACTGTAAAGCCTAAACTAGAAGTTCAAGCTAAAATTAGCTCGAAACACACAGATGTCAAAAAAACCCAACAGTCTTCAACAAAATCATTATCACCAACTACAGAAAAGCCTCAACCTAAGTTTGAAAGTGCAAATAATGTCTCGACCGAAACACCTACTTCCTTAAAAATTGATACCCAGAACTCAACTCACGATATTTCACTACCTAGCACTGATAAACCAAAAGTTCCACTACGTCCCGATGTAACTAAAACTAGTAATACAAAACCTGCACCGAGAGCAGGTAATGTAACTAATCAGCCTAGTTCACCTATCAAAACTAAAACACCCTCACCAAGTAAATCACCTTCGGTTTCTAAACCAGCTACAACTAGCACTGCCCAAACAGAATCACATGCTGTAAGGCCAAAACCCACAGTTTCACAAAAACGAGAACCTGTCACTTCAAAATCCCCTACTAAAAGTACTAACCAAAAGCCATTAAATACACCACAAAAAGTAAATAGCACTAAAACAGCAACACCAAAAACTGTATCATCTATGGTAATTTGAATTCCAAAATATCACTTAACTTTCAATATGATTTCTTTTTTATAGTGTGATTCTGTTTTTAGGCTTCGGCAACTGAAACAAAATAATATCTTTAACCAAAAAACATTTAGTCAACCAGCATTTAGAATAAATAAAATGGATGAAAAATCAATGAATCCCATCAAGCATCCTTTAACAACATCAAATTCCGATAATAATACTAATCAAATGAATGCACTTTTAACAAAAGATGGCACAATAAAAATTATTTTACCATCAACTTTGACTGGAAATTTACAAGAAATCTTTTTTTCAAAAGATGTCACCGCATTTGCTACATCATCAAAAATTCAAAATGATAAACCAACTCAATCATTTAATAAAGGATTTTTATCTAGCGAAAATATTGAAAGTAATGATGATCAATATTCAGAATATAAAATAACACCCAGACAAATATTCTGTGCATCAATTTGTCAAGTATATTAAACAAAATTATGCCATTATATGTAGGTCACCCAAAAGTAACTTAATCAATTTTCGTAGGTCTGTAAAGTTAATTTAAGTCGATATTTTCTATGCAATGAGTGCAAAATAGTTGCGTATTGTAAAGAAGAACATTTGAAGATTGATTATCTTAATCATCGAGGCTTATGCATGGCTATTCAATTAATAGCCAAACGAAGAGGTGATATTTTATTCAAAAGTTTTAAAAATTCTTAATAACTTTGAAAAACTATTTTTATCAGGAGGTCACGTCTACAATATGGCTAAACATCTTTCAAGTATGGAATTCAGAAATCTTCGGCTACATACAATATATTTATGTGAACAATTTCTTAATCGAACACTACTCTCATTTGAGCGAGAAATTTTAATTTTTCCGAGACTGTGCCATTACAACAAATGCCGAGAGTGGAGATCTAATTTATTAAGTGATTGTGGAAAATGTGGACAGGTAATGACTTTTAAATTTATTAATCAAGATTAAATTGCTTGAATAGTAAAAACTTGAAACTTATATTTTAATTAGATTTCATTTTGTTCACAACATCCTTTAAATGAAAGTCACAAATTAATATGTGATTCTTACGCACTATTTCAAAGAATTTTATTGCACGAAAAATCATATGGAAAAATTAACATAGCACTTCCACAAAAGGTTTTAAAAAAGATTCCAATTTTCACTGAAAATGTTCAAGATATACTGCAGTTATTATACAAAAATGTGACTGCATTTAAAGATGAATGTATAAATGCTGCACTAATGCAAATCGTCACAGCACCTTTAACAACATTTTATTCAATTCAAAAAGTAGGAATTGAATTTTCGGAACGATTAATCATTCATTTTGTTGGTATAGTTGTCTTAAAATATTAAATTTTTCCTGGTTCTTATATTAACATCTAGTCATTTTGTTTTTTTTAAGGTGCTGAATTAAAATTTGAAGGTGATAGACTTGAAAAATGGGAATCGCTTTTTCTTCATCTTGCACATGGTGTAACTGATTTGCAGATAATATTCATAGGTTCTGAATTGAATCATGAAAACCTTCCTGTAGAAATTATATCTCGAACAAGGTTTTTTGATATTTTTTATATAGATGTTCATAATTTAAAATAAAAACCTTTCACATTTTTTTTAGAGTATGTAAAATGTGTCGTCAAAATTGCTGTGGTTTAAGATTCGATTTCCAATGTAAAAAGTTCTACCATGACTATTGTGAAAGTGCAGCATTTGTTAAACCCGACTTTATTTGCATCTTCAATCCAGCTTTACATCGTTCAGGATTTTTCGGTTTTGATACATGGCCAAAGACAATTGAGAAAGCTTTAAAAACTGGTTCGCCTGTTTTAGTAACTTCAACTACCGAGAACGAATGTTATTTGGATTTAAACCGAATTAAAAAACTTACAAATAGTGAAATTGAAATTTTAATACCACCTCTAAAGAATCCTTACGCTAGTACGCGACCTGAAAGAAATTTTGCCTCGGATGATCAAGATCCAATTATGTTCAAAAACAATTATTTATTTGCCATCTCTAAAACACAAGATTTAATTGACCTTTAATTATCCTTTATCTGATTTTTCATCCAGAAACTCATTTTGAAATTTTTCCTGAGCATTTTATGTTTTGTGTGATACTCATTTTTTTTTTGGTTGAAGTTTGAAAATAAAGCAAGTTAAAAAAAAAGGTTTTTGAGAATTTTAAAAATTGTATTCCTGAACGAATGCTTAATTTTACAGTTATGAGCTTTCAAATAAACCAACACCAAACAGTAAATTTCTCCTGGTAAAATGAAGTGTTATGAAAGGTGATTGTTTTGTAGAGAAGGTTCGAAGCAAATAATTTTCTCCGCTTTTTACATTTGGATTATGGCTGACATTGACATTTTCACCGCTTAGATCTTCGCATAATTTGGAAAAATCCCACAGCTTAAGATTACAGTCAAGTGCACCTGATGCTAAAATTGTTCCATCACGACTAAAACAAAGGGAATGAATTGTTGATGTATGACTAGCTAGACTTGCAACTAAATGTCCATGTGCCAAATCCCAAACATTTATTACTTTATCATTTGATCCACTAGCCAAATATCGTCCACACATTGAAAAAACGATAGAATATATAGCTCCTTTATGACCTGTCATTAATCGTACATGATTGTTGCCGGTTAAAACATCCCATAATCGAACTGTTCTATCACTTGATCCTGTTGCAACGTAATTTGAATTTGGATGAAATGTGCATACATCAACATCAGATAAATGACCCGCAAAAATTCTCAATGGATGTGGAGAATCTGTAGTCCAAACTCGAGCTGTTTTATCATGAGAACAACTAACGAAATAATATCCGTGCGGTGAGAATTTAACATCCCAAACAGGATTTAAGTGTCCTTTATATACAACAAGACATGTCCATGTTTGCAATGACCATAAGCGTATCGTACTATCTTCCGAACATGATAATAAAAGAGATCGATCGAATGTAAATGAGCAACTATATACTGGACCTGTGTGACCTAGTAGTATTTTTGATGCCTCTGCTTTTCTATCATCCATCATCCGTACAAGCACATCATCAACTTCTCTATCAATATCCTTCAACTCTTCAGCAGATTTCAATTCACGTAATTTAGCTGGTGTCATGGACCAAATCTTAATTTTAGCATTAGAAAATCCAATTGCAATGAACGAAGAATCTTCAGCGATTTCTGCACAAGTTACTGTGTGTAAGGAATTCAGAAGAGTGTAATAACAAACAGAAGGCAAGCAATCTGGTCCAAGATCTACACGTTTTTGCGCTTCACGAAGCGCTTTGATTTTTTCACTTAATTCTGTTTCACGTAATTGAGGTAAAATTACTCGATCTAATGGCGGAGCATTTGGATCAGATTTTGTTTTCTTTCCAAACACTGAATCTTTCCTTGACTTCTTCTTTTTTAACCTATCTACATCTATATCATCATCATTTTCTTCTTCTGTTAGTGACGCCTGTGTCATCATTTGCTGATAATCAGGCTCTTTTAACAATCCATAATAAATTTTCACTTTATTGTCCTGTCTCTTTGCTTCACCTAACAATGCACCAGCCGTTGCAGCACATTGCGTTTTATTTCTAGCCATTCCTTCGTATAAATCAAAATATAAATGCTCATTAATAATATTAATAAGGACATTTGCTTTCATCTCTTGTAGATGTTGTTTAAGCAATGACAATGTGTCACGTGATATCCGAATTATGAATTCATTGGATTTAAAAGTATCAGTTATATCATTTCCACTCATTTGATTCCTTTTTGTTGTCATTGCAAGTCTCTTTATGTCATCTTGATAATAATACTCTTGTTCCGGACCAAATTTTTCCATCATTACCCTTGCCTGATCTTCGTGATTATTATAAACAAGCTCAATGTACATATGAACAAATACTGGATACAAGATCATACTCAGTTCAAACTAAAATCAAATAGATAATTATGCTTGATATACAATATATAATTATTATTGAAAACTTACTTTGTTATCATCAAGCGAGGAATCGACAAATTTTCGTAATTCACTATAGCAAGCAACATAGGTATCTGGATCTCCTTCACTTTGATATGTCTCGAAAACGCTATCCGATGCATCGTGTGTTAAGATCTCTGGTATATCAGGAAGATTTGCTTCTTTCTTTAAAGTATTTTCTGTATCCTTAAAATATCAATTTGACAGTGTTAAAACATCATAAATTATAAATAAAAATCTCTTCATTTTCTCCCAAAGTACCTTAAATTTGTATCTTTTTAATACTTGTAGAACAGCTAAAATATCATTTTTGTTAATTACACTCATAATTGAATTTTTAAAAGATATTGTTTTTGTAATTTTTTGTGAAGAAGTTTAAAACCCCTCTTTGCACTTACACTTTGAAATATAATTTTCAAAAAAAAACCAACCGTTATTGTCCAGAATATTTCTTAATTCCAAATAGATAGGGCATCGACGATTTTTTTAGGATTATTGCTCAACGGAAAAAAATAAATTTGAAATTCACTAACACTATCTTACAACCCATCAAAAATTAAATTCCCAAATATCTTAATTATTCAATCATTATTCCCAAATATTATGATATGATTACAAAAAGTAAATGAAACATTAGCTATTCTGCCGATTTTAAGAGCTTTAACATCATTATTGAGTAATTATTTCATGACTTTTTAAATTTATTTCAATATTTGTTTGTAAACAAACAATTCACGACAGAAAAAATTCAAAAAGTTTAAAACCGTTAAAACTTTTTTAACTTAATTTTGTTCATATAAGTATGTTTCGGGGACAATTTATTCCTTTTTTTGGAGCCAAACAAAAGAGAATAAAATTTCTGATCTAAAAAAATACATTTGAAGACATAACAATGAAAACTGATAAAGTTATGGCAAAATTCCCAAAAATTATTCGTGAGTGACGCTTAATTAAAGTGATTTTCTGAAGCAACTGCTTAATTTTATTAAGTGAGTTGTATATCAAAAGATGGGGATTGTTTTTTCCTACAGGATAAAATAACTTTAAAATTTGTCACTTTTGTGGTTTCGGAGATATTTAAGATTTTAAAGCGTCACTCACAAATAATTTTTTTTCGCCGGGGCCCGATAATTTCTTAAAACAGCAAATAACACCTAACACCCACCTTGTCAACACTCCCAAAATTATTGGCTTTACACGACTTCACACGGCTTTCGATCTAGACTCAGGAAGGGAATTGGGTGTTTATAGTATAGTTTATAAACCATGCGTAATGTACACGAAAAAGCGCGTTAAAAGAAATTGATAGACATCCAATGAATGAATGAACTTGATTAAATTAATGAAAATTTTGTTCTATGCTTGCAACAAATTTTTGCCGTTTTATCAGCAATAAATAGACTGAAAAACTCATCAAAACAGTTTTTACTTTTGAGCATTCTAATATAATGGGTCGAATGTTTACATTACTTGATCCAATTTTTAAATCTATTATTTCAGTGTATTAACAAAATTTCCATTTTTTGAATCTTTTTAAAAACGACGACAATAATTTCAAAAAAAACAATGTTTTGAAAAAACAAGCTAGACAAAATAAAAAAGTAAACAAAAAAAAACTTAAAATTAAAATTGTTAAAAATTCATAAAATTAACATGTTATCGAGCAATGTAATTGGGAATTATAAATTTGTGCTATTTGTAGATAACTATGGTATAGAACCAAATTGGAAGATAATCTTGAAGAAGCTGTTAGAGGAACAAAACCAAATTTACAAATTTTACGATGAATTTGAGGATTGTTTGGAAAAAAGCAGCATTATAATATCACTGTCAGAGCTGGAATTAAAGTCTACTGATAATGTTTATGAAAACATATTTAGAAAAATTCAAGAGCTCAAATCCAGTGATAATGTGTTGCAAATTTTCGGATGGATTTGCATTAAGAATGTTCAGAATAAGATTCTTGTTCCATTTCTGGAGCATATGAGTAATTTAATAGTTACAATTAACGATAGTGAGCACATGACAATTGTTTCAAAGAATAAATCTGGAAGTATGAAATCAAAAGATTTTATTCATGAGTTGAGTTTGGGAAAAACTTCGGTTCAGGAATCTAAAAAAGAGAATATTCAATCGATAGTACTGGAAATGAATGTCAATAATTTAGGAACCTTCAAAATAGGTCAAAAAGCAGACGAGCTTGCAGCGAAGAGGAATCTAAAACTTCCATTTGAAATAATGTGAGTAAAACAACATTACTTAATTTTAAAAAACAGCCTTTAATTTGAAAAAAACTTTATATTTTAGTGATCTTCCAAATAAAACATCAGAGGGAAAAATAATTTATACACCAGACAGTACAGATGATTTTGACGAAGAGGACGATCCAGATAATGATTTACAATTTTAAACTTTCTGTCATTGAGTCATCAATAATATTAATAAAAGTCGTTTTTATAGGCTTTATTCAGTTCAGAAAAAAAAGAAACAGTATAAATAAATGAAATAAGTATGTTGGACTACTAAAGAATTTATAAATCCAGAACATGCATTTCAGTCTGAAAGTCTTTTACTGATTTTTTACCATACTGAATTTTAAAAGTAAAAAATTTCAAAGAACAATAATAGCTGAATGAACTCCGAAAAAAAATAGTTGCCATTTAACTGGAAGTATTTATCACAAGATGTTCAATTGATGTTAAATGTTTGTAATGCGTTAAAAATGTAGATATGAATATTGTAACACTTGAATTAAATTCATGTTCATATTTAACATGAATTGTATTTATCGCTATGATGACGAACCATCAAAATTTCCATAATCTGTTAATAATTCACTTTTGGGGTCAGGAGACATGGAACTCCAAAGTGATTTTTTGCATTCATTAAATTTAACAATATTCTTTGATGTTAGATAACTTGGGCCAAAATTACCCAAATATGTTCCTATTATATCCCTAATATTTTTCTGATTGTACGATATGCACGTGTCTTTTATCAAATAAAAATTTGCTATCAACTTATCTAAGTGATGACTTGAATTTAAATCTTTGGTCATTGTGTTATTGAAACTCGGAATTACGAGAAATTTGGTGAGTCCAATGAGTGACTTTTTCTGCAAAATTTTGACTGTCCAAATACCGCTCATTAAGGGATGCTTTAAATTAGATTTGGAAAAATTAATTGATGTTACTGTGATGTCTTCTATAGTCATTTCTCCTATATCCTCAACTTTATCATCAGGATTTGTCCAAACGACATTCAATGTGATTGTAGAGTTTTCAACTTGTGATGTACTTGATAGTTTCATAATTAAACAAGGCTCTGAATATTGAGAGATAATTCTCGGAAAATTTCTTGACATTTGTTCCTAGACAGATTTATGTTAAAATATTTTAAACCACTATAATATAAACTAAATTACCTTTTGATCAAAATCGGTGCTAACATCTAATTGCATAATCTTTTTTGCTATTTTGTTTGATTTTGAAACCTGCGCGTGTTGATTATTTGTACGGCACCATGTTTCAACTTCTAAAGTAATATTTTCATTAAATCTCGCTTCATGCCTTATAAGAAATCCTTTGTAGACATCTAAGTCAAAATAGTCAATAATCTCAAGTACTTTTCCAGGCTCATAAAATTGTTGAAATGAATTAGATTTTGAATTGATACGTATTAAACTACTTCCAAGAACTAAAAGTGCTTGATTCGACGAGGAACTTTTATCTTTATGATGATAAAGACTTTGCCAATAGCTATTTAAATTTAAGTAGCCATCAGTATATGGTCCAAAAAGCCATTCCTCTAAAAATGTATAATAATTTTGATTAATTTCAGAAAAGATAAAAAAAAACTAAAGGTTTTAATACCTAATTGTAATATCACAAGTTGATTAACAACTGGTTCGAATTTTCGCCCAAAGAACAATTGCTTTGTTTCGGTTGCTTGTAATCGAATCCAGTCTTCAGGTTTGAAGTCATTTGGAGAGCATCCACACCAATCGCATATATGTCTATATTGACATTTACATCCTAATTTGCGCTTCCAATTTGTTATATGAAGATTATTGTCAATGTACGAGTCACAAAAAATTGAATTGCGAATAGCTGTGTGGAAAAATGACTCTGCAGGAAGTAAAGTAAATCGAAAAATTTTAAGTAAGCCTTCAATAAGCTTGTCTTTTTCTTCTGCAGTTACATATTCTATAAAGTTCCTCGATAAGCATATCCAATCACTACCACCATCAATTTGAATTCCAAGCGGTAACAATCTATCGCCTTTATTTTTTTTAAAAAACAAGTTAAGAATTTTAAAAAAGTAAGAGAATTAAAAAACCTCTTACCTATTCTCCACATATGAGTATCGCATTCTACAAATGTTTTGTCTAAGCCTTGCTTTTGTATGAATCGTTGAACTTCTCTCCCATGTGATTTTACAAAATTCTTATTCTTATTTGCTGTTAAGAATTGCGTCAATTTATCAATGCTTTTAATTGGAAAATCGCTTTCACTTAGATTTAATACAAAATCCCATTCCCAATCAGATTTCAATAAATCAGCCATACAACTTAAGAGCATTTCTAATAATGAGGCACCTCCCCAAATTGTGGCTAGTCGTTTCCTTGCCAGACGAATATTTTGAAATGCTGTCTCTAATGGTAATAACTCTCGATAAAGATAATCTTGTCGCTAAAGAAAATTGTTTTAAACATTTGTGCTATGAAGAATTTAATGCTCATTATATTACCGTATCGACATGAATATAATAGAAATGATCAACACTATAAATTGATTTAATTAAACGATAAACTTGTCTCAAAGCTCTTCCATTTAATGTTAATAAAAACACAATTTTTGCTTTTGTTTCAGCAATTTTCGGTTGAGATTCAGCAATTTGTGGTGAAAACTCTTTAAAAAAAATCAATCAGTAATTATAGTGTTTTTCTACAAGTATAAGTTAAATAGCTTACTTGCGATTCCAGTTTCAAAAACATTCATAGTAAAATAACCGCCACAAATAGCTTTTTGATCAGCCGAACATTTCATGTTGCAACTTGAATCAGGAAGTTTATGCTTAATATCTGGTTCAGTATTTCCACAAAAACATTCCGTTGAATATTGTAGTCCGCTATAAAGATACCCTGACAAAAGGCAAAAATTTATACACTTTTTGGGCGAATTGGATTCTTTGAAATTGGAATAGAGTTTGGATAAAAGACGATTCTTTTTGTTATCCTTAAAACACCCAATTGAACGATTCGCAATGTAATTACCACTGGGACAAGAATTTGGAAGTGTATTAGGATATAAAGTATTCGATTTGATTGCACATGCCACATCTATAATGTGCTCTTTACACTCTTGTGTTTTAGCTCGTTGGATTGCCGATAGAACATCTTTATCTTTTAAAATATCACATTTTGGTTTAAATTTCAATTCGCTGAGTAATGTTGCTAATGTTTTCTCTTTATCGTTCCTAAATGCGCTGGTTTCTTGATGCTGTACATTTGAATTAATGATATCCTCATCATAATTTAATGATTTTTGCTTTGTTTCGTGAAAACTTTGGAACTGATCTTTAAGACTATTAATTTTATCTACAAATAACTTATTGCCTGATTCAATTGGAATTTTAATTGATTTATATGCGAGAAACACTTGAATTAATAATATTACAATTCCAAGTAGAAATAACAATTTATAGCGACGAAATAATATAACAAACATAGTTGAATGAAGCGTAGATAGTCAAAAATGATCAGTTATTATTCTATAGCCTTTTTGTTTCGTTTTAATTTTATCATTTGACTAATTAAAAACTTTTTCAATAATCCCAATGCGTTTATCCTCCTTTCATATAATATCTTCTCATCACACTCATTTGTTCTTATAGAATCTGTCACGCCTTTGTGATTTATAGCACATAACTACATGCTAAATCACTAAAACTTATCAATTTTTAACATTTTTTTTAATAATAAACTATCCTACATTAATGTAGATTTTTGTTGTTTCACTAGTTAAAAAGCCCGTTTGATTTGAATTCTACAGAGCCGTTAGAAAAAAGAGAAACTTTAAATGATGCAAAGATCAAATATTTTAGTCAACCAAGGTATATGCATACATACACTTACCATTTTTTTTTATTTTAATAGGAATAAGACGGAAATATAAGACATTAGCATGACATTAGTCTCCACTTTGTCGAAAGATTTCAAGAAAAAAGTAGTGGGGGTAATAAAATGAATGACCACCCTGATGACCACTATGACATAGTCAATCTATTCGATATTGTCAAGCTAGTAATAAAAAATTGAAGAAGATGTACTGTTTACCTAGAAAAGGCTGCAAGTAACATTAATAGTGAAACATCAGTAAAAAAAAAGTCATCGACAAATTTGAGCTCAAGAATTAATATTGTGGTTCTTGTCAACTAGAATTGTTGATATTAGAAATTAATTGGCTTTACGAATTAATGGAACAGAAGTTATTTGACTTCCAAGAAACTGAATTTATTTCTCTCTTTGTTTCTTCAAATGCAATAAAAACTAGTATATCGGGTATAAACTCAATGCGGATATATTCACACCGGACGAAAATTTTGTGGATGAACCAAGCTTTGCTCAGTTTAAGCTAGAAGATGAAATGGATGTGCCACATACGTAAAAAAAAATTATTCAATGTTTAATTGTATAAAAATCATACGCAAACTAGATCTCAACGTGAACAGACGTGTTTACAAATCGCTCCGCAAATTATTCAAAAATCTCAAAAGAAACAAAACAGAGACTACCTGAGAAGCTTTTTGTTTACAAAAAGTTTCAAAATCACAGTTTGATTCTCAAAACATCAAAATGATAGCATCACCAAAAACTACCAACAACGAAGAAAATCTTTCTCAAAATCAGCATGGACTTAATAGTTCTCAACAACAACATTCATCTTCAGTGACAATTCTCAATATTGAGGAAATTTTCAGTGAAGATGTTTCACAAGCAGCCGACATTGAGATGACAAATCTCAAACCAAAAAAACAAATATCAATAAAGAAGTTTCTCAATGAAGCAAGTAAAGCAGAAAAACGCCCTCGAGAAGTGATAGTTCCCAACGCTCTTTTAAAAAGAGTAGCAAACGAAAGCAAACCAAAAGATGGGAACAAACCACTGTTCGTACTCCCACCAGTGAAGAAAGCTTCGTCTTCTGGAGTACCGTATCTATTTGGTTCACCAGAACAGGAGAAAAAAAGATCGACAACTTCTTCGTACTGGGGAGAAAACAGCAAAACATCAGAGCAACAAAAGACAATTTCCGTAAACACGGAAAGCAAAAACAACAAATCTCAACAAAAACCAAAACCACCTCCAATTGTCATCAGCACAGGAGGAGCTGGTGAAATCAAGAGATTGACGAATGAAATAAACAATCAACCTGGAAGTTTCTTAATTGAGACCAAAAAGGGCAAACAAGGAACAAAAACGGTAACAACGGAGAGTTGGGATTACTACGAGAAATTCATCCAACTACTCAAAGACAAAAAGCATCACTTCCACACATACTCCAGCCAAGAACCACTGAAGAAGTACGTACTCTATGGACTCCCAGATATGGAAATCAGTGAGTTGGAGAAGGAACTTCAAACCGTAAAAATCACACCAGTAAAAATTGTCAAAATGACAATGAAACACAAAAGACACGAACAAGACGACGACCAGAACTACCTCGTGTACTTCAAAAAAGATGTAGAACAAGGTGGAAATTTCCTGGAATTCCTCAGAAAAATCAAAATTGTCAGCAGTTTCAAAATTAAATGGGCTGACTACAAAAATAGACAAGCTGGACCATCTCAATGTTCGAAATGTCTGCAGTTTGGTCATGGACAAAACGGTTGTAACAAACCGTCCGTTTGCTTCAGATGCTCTGAGCAACATGACTCGAAAACGTGCCAGTACATATCGAAAGAGACCAACAAGGTTCCACTCGGAAAACTCAAATGTTTCTTCTGCGGTGAAAAACATACAGCAATTTTCACAGGTTGTAAAACCAGACAAGACATAATTGAAAAATGGAAATCAAAATCTCAGAATGGAAACAACCAAAATCAAAACAAAACAGCAGGCCATTATTCATATGGACAACGGAGAAACAATCCTCCAACACCGCATCGTCCTGAGAGATCAACCAGAAACGTCCAACATGCACCAAAACCTCAATGGAGAAAGGAGTATATGGAACCATCAACATCTGGTACACAAAAGCCTGTTCATCAAAAACAAGTTCCAGTCAACCACAAACCAAGGAACACAAATCCTCCTCCAAATCACAAACCCTCAAATCAGGGAAATAAAAATAACTTGAACAACCAACAAAACAATAAAGAAAGAGGAAAACATTGGAAAAAGAATCAAAGAAAAAAGCAAAACGAGCGCATTAATAACAATCAACATCAAAAACCAAAGCAAGATGTTGAGCTTATGGACTCAGAAGACATCAGTGCAACAAGTCAGACCTCGAATGAAGTCTTCCCAGAACCTTCATTCAGTGTTGAGGTAGTGAATCGAAACATAACAACTAATCAACAAGCTCAAAGCACCAGCACAAGAGATAAAAACATCTCAGAAATAGAGGAATCAAAGTGCAAGTACCTTATCAGCGAGCTTCTCAAATTAATCGCCAAAAATCCAGAGTTCATCGACGAAATACTCCAAGCAATCAGCTCAAGTGCCAAAAACACCGCATACAATAATGGATTGTAGACAACAAAGTATCAACGTCCTCTACTGGAATGCTAACGGCCTCACTGACAAAATGTTAGCATTTCTCGACTACCTAAGCAAGCAAAACGTCGATGTTGCTTGCATCTCAGAAACATTCCTAAAACCAAACTCAAAAATTGACTCGCATCCAGACTACGTAATTCATCGATTGGATCGCGTGGATAGACCAAAGGGTGGTGTTGCAATCATCGTCAAAAGAAATCTAAAACATCAGCTTCAACCAAGCTACAACACAAAACTAATGGAATGCATTGGAATCAAAGTCTTCATCAATGACACGGATAGTTGTCACATCCTCTCAGTCTATCTCCCAGGAGGAAGCAAAGGAGGGGAAATAGATCTACATCTGAGAGATGACATCAACAAAATAACAAATCTGAGAGGAAATTACTACATCTGTGGAGACTTCAATGCAAAACATCGAGAATGGAACTGCAACGTTGCAAATAAATCAGGAAATATTCTTCAGGAAATGTCAGGAGAGTTCATGATCTACTTTCCTGACTCGCCAACGTACTACCCAGAAGATCGAAACAAATCAGTGTCAACAATTGACCTGATGCTCTCGAATTCCAACCTCGAAACAACAGAACTTCAATGCACAGAGGCAATGAGTGATCACTGCGCTGTGTATTTCCAAATCAAAACATCAAAAATCGACAGAACTGAAAATACAGTCTACAGATATGACTACAAAAACGCCAACTGGAAAAAGTTCAAAGCACAAATTTCACGCCGCATTGAAGACAACATTGGAGAAAATTCTTGCAATACAACAGATGAGATCGAGAACCACATTAAGATTCTCTCTGAACTCATCATGGAAGCGAGGAACTCAAGTGTAAAAATGAAAAAGATCAAGTTCGAATCAACTAAACTCACACCGGAGATTAAAGATCTAATCAACACAAAAAGGAGTCTTCGTCGAAGATGGCAGAGAAGCAGAGATAATCAACTCAAATCTGAATTGAATTATCTGCAGAGAGTCATCAATGAGAAAATTAAAGAACTCAAAAACAAAAACTGGAATAAGCGTCTCTCAGAGATTCAACCGTCAAACCAAACAGTTTGGAGAATAGCAAAATTTTGCAAAAAAGGTTCAAAAACAATGCCTCCATTGACAAATCTGGGTAAAACGTTCATCACCAACAAAGAAAAAGCCAGCGCACTCAGCGAGTATTTTCGTGAAGCTCACGAAAATCCTCTGGAACAAAACGATCCACAATATACACAGGAAGTAAACAACACAGTCAAAGAAGCATTGGAACAAGACAATGATGAGAATCCAGAACTAACAGATGTAAACGAAATCGTGAGCATCATAAGAAATCTGAAAAATCCAAAAGCTCCGGGACTAGATGAAGTCAACAACATACTCATCAAGAATCTTCCTGAAAAAGGTTTCGAATACTTGAAATTCATCATCAATTCGTGTCTGAAACTCAACCACTTCCCCAAAGTTTGGAAACATGCAAAAGTGATTCCTATTCCAAAACCTGGAAAACCAGCAAATGAGCTAAGCAGCTACAGGCCAATAAGTCTACTCAGCTCAATAAGCAAAATACTGGAGAGAGTATTACTGAATAGAATCAACGATCATCTTGAGGATAACAACATCATCCCAAACCAGCAGTGCGGCTTCCGGACTGGAAGATCAACATCTCACCAGCTCATCAAAGTGATCAAATCAACAAAAGAAAACTTAAACAACAAAAAGTCAACAGGCATGATCTTCCTGGATGTAGAAAAAGCATTTGACAGAGTCTGGCATAACGGACTCTTGTACAAAATGCTCAAACTGAGATTTCCACTGCCGCTTATAAAAACTGTAAGATCTTTCCTCAGTGAAAGATCTTTCGCAGTTTTTATTAAAGGTCAGTTCTCAGAAATCAAGGTAATCAAATTCGGAGTGCCACAAGGAGCAGTGCTTTCACCAACTCTCTACAACATCTTCACGTATGATGTTGTAAGAGAGACAACCAACAACATCGGTCTTTTCGCAGATGATACAGCACTGTATCATTCTGCAGAGAACTCGGCCGATATTGTGACACATCTACAGCACACAGGAAGAAAAGTTCAACAATACATGAACAAATGGAAGATCAACCTCAACAAACAGAAGACTCAAGCCTTATTCATCACAAACAGGCACTCCAGGCAACTACCAGGAAATAACATCAAATTTCTCAACGAAAACATCAAATGGGAAACAGAAGCTAAATATCTGG